ATATAAATATCCCTGATACATACCCTTCATGTCAAGTGTGTAGGCGAAACGTGCAGCGTATCATGTTGGTTGTCCCAGAATATCAATATCCCTGATACATACCCTTCATGTCAATTGTATAGGCGAAACGTGCAGCGTATCATGTTGGTTGTCCCAGAATATAAATATCCCTGATACATACCCTTCATGTCAAGTGTGTAGGCGAAACGTGCAGCGTATCATGTTGGTTGTCCCAGAATATCAATATCCCTGATACATACCCTTCATGTCAATTGTGTAGGCGAAACGTGCAGCGTATCATGTTGGTTGTCCCAGAATATAAATATCCCTGATACATACCCTTCATGTCAATTGTATAGGCGAAACGTGCAGCGTATCATGTTGGTTGTCCCAGAATATAAATATCCCTGATACATACCCTTCATGTCAAGTGTATAGGCGAAACGTGCAGCGTATCATGTTGGTTGTCCCAGAATATCAATATCCCTGATACATACCCTGCATGTCAAGTGTATAGGCGAAACGTGCAGCGTATCATGCTGGTTGTCCCAGAATATCAATATCCCTGATACATACCCTTCATGTCAAGTGTATAGGCGAAACGTGCAGCGTATCATGCTGGTTGTCCCAGAATATCAATATCCCTGATACATACCCTTCATGTCAAGTGTGTAGGCGAAACGTGCAGCGTATCATGCTGGTTGTCCCAGAATATAAATATCCCTGATACATACCCTTCATGTCAAGTGTATAGGCGAAACGTGCAGCGTATCATGTTGGTTGTCCCAGAATATAAATATCCCTGATACATACCCTTCATGTCAAGTGTGTAGGCGAAACGTGCAGCGTATCATGCTGGTTGTCCCAGAATATAAATATCCCTGATACATACCCTTCATGTCAAGTGTGTGTAGGCGAAACGTGCAGCGTATCATGCTGGTTGTCCCAGAATATCAATATCCCTGATACATACCCTTCATGTCAAGTGTATAGGCGAAACGTGCAGCGTATCATGCTGGTTGTCCCAAAATATCAATATCCCTGATACATACCCTTCATGTCAATTGTGTAGGCGAAACGTGCAGCGTATCATGCTGGTTGTCCCAGAATATAAATATCCCTGATACATACCCTTCATGTCAATTGTATAGGCGAAACGTGCAGCGTATCATGTTGGTTGTCCCAGAATATAAATATCCCTGATACATACCCTTCATGTCAAGTGTGTAGGCGAAACGTGCAGCGTATCATGTTGGTTGTCCCAGAATATCAATATCCCTGATACATACCCTTCATGTCAATTGTGTAGGCGAAACGTGCAGCGTATCATGTTGGTTGTCCCAGAATATAAATATCCCTGATACATACCCTTCATGTCAATTGTATAGGCGAAACGTGCTGCGTATCATGTTGGTTGTCCCAGAATATAAATATCCCTGATACATACCCTTCATGTCAAGTGTATAGGCGAAACGTGCAGCGTATCATGCTGGTTGTCCCAGAATATAAATATCCCTGATACATACCCTTCATGTCAAGTGTGTAGGCGAGACGTGCAGCGTATCATGCTGGTTGTCCCAGAATATAAATATCCCTGATACATACCCCTTCATGTCAAGTGTATAAGTGAAACGGGCAGCGTATCATGCTGGTTGTCCCAGAATATAAATATCCCTGATACATACCCTTCATGTCAAGTGTATAGGTGAAACGGGCAGCGTATCATGCTGGTTGTCCCAGAATATAAATATCCCTGATACATACCCTTCAGGTCAATTGTATAGGCGAAACGTGCAGCGTATCATGTTGGTTGTCCCAGAATATAAATATCCCTGATACATACCCTTCATGTCAAGTGTGTAGGCGAAACGTGCAGCGTATCATGCTGGTTGTCCCAGAATATAAATATCCCTGATACATACCCTTCATGTCAAGTGTATAGGCGAAACGTGCAGCGTATCATGCTGGTTGTCCCAGAATATAAATATCCCTGATACATACCCTTCATGTCAAGTGTATAGGTGAAACGGGCAGCGTATCATGCTGGTTGTCCCAGAATATAAATATCCTGATACATACCCTTCATGTCAAGTGTATAGGCGAAACGTGCAGCGTATCATGTTGGTTGTCCCAGAATATAAATATCCCTGATACATACCCTTCATGTCAAGTGTGTAGGCGAAACGTGCAGCGTATCATGCTGGTTGTCCCAGAATATAAATATCCCTGATACATACCCTTCATGTCAATTGTATAGGCGAAACGTGCAGCGTATCATGTTGGTTGTCCCAGAATATAAATATCCCTGATACATACCCTTCATGTCAAGTGTATAGGCGAAACGTGCAGCGTATCATGCTGGTTGTCCCAGAATATCAATATCCCTGATACATACCCTTCATGTCAAGTGTATAGGCGAAACGTGCAGCGTATCATGCTGGTTGTCCCAGAATATAAATATCCCTGATACATACCCTTCATGTCAAGTTGTATAGGCGAAACGGGCAGCGTATCATGCTGGTTGTCCCAGAATATAAATATCCCTGATACATACCCTTCATGTCAATTGTATAGGCGAAACGTGCAGCGTATCATGCTGGTTGTCCCAGAATATAAATATCCCTGATACATACCCTGCATGTCAAGTGTATAGGCGAAACGTGCAGCGTATCATGCTGGTTGTCCCAGAATATAAATATCCCTGATACATACCCTTCATGTCAAGTGTATAGGCGAAACGTGCAGCGTATCATGCTGGTTGTCCCAGAATATCAATATCCCTGATACATACCCTTCATGTCAAGTGTGTAGGCGAAACGTGCAGCGTATCATGCTGGTTGTCCCAGAATATAAATATCCCTGATACATACCCTTCATGTCAAGTGTATAGGCGAAACGTGCAGCGTATCATGCTGGTTGTCCCAGAATATCAATATCCCTGATACATACCCTTCATGTCAAGTGTGTAGGCGAACGTGCAGCGTATCATGTTGGTTGTCCCAGAATATAAATATCCCTGATACATACCCTTCATGTCAAGTGTATAGGCGAAACGTGCAGCGTATCATGCTGGTTGTCCCAGAATATAAATATCCCTGATACATACCCTTCATGTCAAGTGTGTAGGCGAAAACAGCGTATCATGTTGGTTGTCCCAGAATATCAATATCCCTGATACATACCCTTCATGTCAAGTGTGTAGGCGAAACGTGCAGCGTATCATGTTGGTTGTCCCAGAATATCAATATCCCTGATACATACCCTTCATGTCAATTGTATAGGCGAAACGTGCTGCGTATCATGTTGGTTGTCCCAGAATATAAATATCCCTGATACATACCCTGCATGTCAAGTGTGTAGGCGAAACGTGCAGCGTATCATGCTGGTTGTCCCAGAATATAAATATCCCTGATACATACCCTTCATGTCAAGTGTATAGGTGAAACGGGCATCGTATCATGCTGGTTGTCCCAGAATATAAATATCCCTGATACATACCCTTCATGTCAAGTGTGTAGGCGAAACGTGCAGCGTATCATGCTGGTTGTCCCAGAATATAAATATCCCTGATACATACCCTTCATGTCAATTGTGTAGGCGAAACGTACAGCGTATCATGCTGGTTGTCCCAGAATATAAATATCCCTGATACATACCCTTCATGTCAATTGTATAGGCGAAACGTGCAGCGTATCATGTTGGTTGTCCCAGAATATAAATATCCCTGATACATACCCTTCATGTCAAGTGTGTAGGCGAGACGTGCAGCGTATCATGCTGGTTGTCCCAGAATATAAATATCCCTGATACATACCCTTCATGTCAAGTGTATAAGTGAAACGGGCAGCGTATCATGCTGGTTGTCCCAGAATATAAATATCCCTGATACATACCCTTCATGTCAAGTGTATAGGTGAAACGGGCAGCGTATCATGCTGGTTGTCCCAGAATATAAATATCCCTGATACATACCCTTCAGGTCAATTGTATAGGCGAAACGTGCAGCGTATCATGTTGGTTGTCCCAGAATATAAATATCCCTGATACATACCCTGCATGTCAAGTGTGTAGGCGAAACGTGCAGCGTATCATGCTGGTTGTCCCAGAATATAAATATCCCTGATACATACCCTTCATGTCAATTGTATAGGCGAAACGTGCAGCGTATCATGTTGGTTGTCCCAGAATATCAATATCCCTGATACATACCCTTCATGTCAAGTGTATAGGTGAAACGGGCAGCGTATCATGCTGGTTGTCCCAGAATATCAATATCCCTGATACATACCAGTCATTGCCAGAGATGTTGCCAGATAAAAGCTCATATTTCATAAATATTATTGCTGTGAGAACAATGATCATACGGTATATTCGTGTATATTGGGGAATTATTTAACAATAGACTATATCTTTCTGTGGGGAGATACAGATTAATAATTACATAAAATTACATACAAAGATGCCAACTCCCACAACTTAGGCGTGAGACGTTTTCAATACTCATGTCACGCTCTCACGACAAAACTGATAAATCTCACGCCAAACTTTAGCATGCACATTTTTAACATTTGAAATCAAGCTAATAAGTCTGAATACATGTACATCTTTTTCAGTGACTTTTCTGAGAGGGGAATTTGCAATAATGCTTTGGTTTAAAGTTCTTTCTCACTTGGGGTTGGGGGGCGGTGGGGTAGCCTAGAGGGTAAAGCGTCCGCTCGTCACGCCAAAGACCCGGGTTCGATTCTCCACATGGGTACAATGTGTGAAGCCCATTTCTGGTGTCCCCCGCCGTGGTATTGCTCTGATATTGCGGCGTAAAGCTAAACACACTCACTCACTCTCTCTCTTGGGGTTGGAAGCTCCGTACATATCATACGATTTTTCGTCCTATAATGTAAGCATCATACCGTACCAGTGAGTTTTACCGAAACGTCCACGACGATGAGGGCATGGTAGATAGCTCTGACAGCTTCGTTGAACCATTCCCCCTTGTGTTTCAGAATGCCTTGGCCCCGAGGAACGTGACCGCGAATCCAGACAACGGCTCTCCGAGCTAAGGGACATAACTCTAGCCAAACAACTGCCGGCCCAGAACATCCTCTCCTACAACATCACGTGGCATCCTAACGGTAAACTACCTCGTCATATTGCGACACTGAATACGACGCCGTCCACGTCCACGTTAAGTGCACTATGCGACAAGGTGTCACATGTAACTGTACAATAAGGGACCGTTCATAATTTATGGCTAGAGGGGTGATGATGATTTTAAGGGGGGTCACCTATTTTGTTCTGGGGAGCTAGGGATGGTCAGTAATTTTGTACACACGTATTTGGGGAAGGGGGAGGGGGCAATTTGTACAATAAAATATGTTAAATTTATGCTTAGAAATGATGGGGGGGTCATTGATTTTGTACATGCCATGCAGGGGGAGTCACTTATTTAGTACATAAATCTTAGGGGGCTTCATTCACATAGTACATGCTTCTCCATAAAAATCATCTTCAACACCCCTCCCCACCCCACCCAAGCAACCCAAGCCATAAATTATGAACGGTCCCTAAGTACATTTGCCTTTGCTGTAAACGTTAATCGGAATGTCCATCCTCTGAAGTGTACGTATGTCTCCACAAACATTAACTGTCACTAATTGTTTGGTATACGCATTTTCTCCACATACACGTCATCAACTCTTCTCAAATTAACATATACTGTAATCCATTTTTCTCACATAAACATGATTATTAATAATTAAAAATTAGTCCATTTATATTGCGCCAACTTGCTCATGTTCTCGTAGAAACAAATACTGTTAGCCATGCTCCTCTCCTAAACAATTACTGTCACCAGTTGCTTTCGCATGAGCGTTTCTTCATATACTGTCAGCTATTGTATTTTACACACATATTAATAATCTTTCGGCGTTTATAAGAGCGAAATGTGCTCATGTCTTGCAGTCTTGACGTTTAAAATATTTTGACCCCAATTTCATACACCCAAAGCGTGTCAACTATTCTGCTGTGTAGGGTTGTAAAACATGACATTCCCTCCCTCCGGAATTCTAAAATGTACAGTGACAGTTCCTCACAACCGGGTGACAGGAATGAAATGACTCAATTTTCTGTCTGTTTTGGTGTATAAGAATGTAAACCTGAATTACTTGCTATCAGGGTAATACAAAAGTAAAGTATCAATGTTCAGTCCTCCCGGATGTACAGGAAGGGGTGTTATTGTCACTCGTAAGACAGTAGCATCATACAGTATCCTTATTCCTCGCAGTGCGCATTTGTAGTGCAGTGTATGCGTTATTAACGATGTGCTCAGTGTGACGTGCATGGTTCTCGCAATCCGGCTAGGATGCATCCTCGATAATCTCCAGGGTATACGTTACGATCACTCTCCACTATACCCTGGATGCATCCACGGCTTGGGGCGATGATTTTGTTACCTCCCCTGGCTGGCTCCGCATTCTCACAGTAGCCAATCAGCTAAGCCGCCGTCACAACCGAGCTTGCCAGTGTCAACAAAGATTGCGGTCGCAGTTGCAAAGGTTTGTTCACAGTGCCAGTCAGATTTTTTGGGAAATAATAAAGACAAATTCACAGATCTGAAACTTGAAAAAAAGAATATTTTGAACTCCTACTTCTTTCAGAGTACCTCTGCATCAATTGTGTTGCCAAGTTTAAATGGTTAGATAATTTAAGACGCGAAAGTGAGTAGTGATTGGTACGCTCAACTTCCCAGCGTAGGCACCTGACTGGATAAAAAGCCAGAAAAGGGAGGTAATAAAATCATCGCTCCGTGGATGCATCTAGGGTATAGTGGAGAGTGATCGTAACGTATACCCTGGAGATTATCAAGGATGGCTGGGATGTAGCATTGTGTTTGTTTGCATTGTGCCCGGACAGGTGTTGACCCCGGCGTGGTCAAGGAGCATGAGGAGTACATCGACCGCCTGTGTGAAGACTTCCAGTTCAAGGTGTCCAGCATGATCACCCAGGCCATACAGGCTCGGCAGGACACCTACCTCAGCAACCCGGTGTTCGAGGAGGTCGTGCAGCACACGCTGTTCTGCCAAGAGAAGTGTAGGGCGTTCCAGGGCAGGGCAGAAACTCTACAGGTGAGGGTTACAGTGTCTGACTGCTTTATGTAGTAGAATGGAATTTGGGGTTCTTCCGTAATGAAACCCAGAAAGAGAGTTGACGGCATCTTTATTACGTTGGGACGACTCCACCAACGTCATTTTTATGCATAAAACCCAGGTGTGTGGACCTAAGTGTGCAAGATCCAACAGTCTCTCGTACTGTACAGTCCTTGGAAATATACAGAGGTGACCTGATATCCAGATACCTTTAAAAACCTTTACACTGTAGTGTGGGGCTGCTTACTGTTCGAGTGCTTAAGACGGACTTAATTAGCAGGTCAACCACTGAGTTTAAACTGTGTGATAATTACATAAGCTAGACAAAAGACTGAGGCAGGTCAGGGCTTTGGCTATTGTAAGGTTGGGTTTACATTGATTGATATGCTTTGCTGGCGCATGCTTCAGTTGTATTGTTAGTGAGGGCAACCACATCTAAGTATGCTAAAATAACCAATATTTACAGATGTGTATTATGTACATGAAGACAGATACATCTTCAACTAGCAGTACCAACTAAGATAAAATATACCACTGTAACACAAAACATGCTCACACATTTAGAGCACACTAAACTCTACGGGTGAGTGAGCTAGGGTAACAGCGTGTGACTGTAGAGCACAATATACTCTGAAGGTGAATCAGCTAGGGTAACAGCGTGTGACTGTAGAGCACAATATACTCTGAAGGTGAGTCAGCTAGGGTAACAGCGTGTGACTGTAGAGCACACTAAACTCTGAAGGTGAGTGAGCTAGGGTAACAGTGTGTGACTGTAGAGCACACTAAACTCTGAAGGTGAGTGAGCTAGGGTAACAGCGTGTGACTGTAGAACAAACTAAACTCTGAAGGTGAGTGAGCTAGGGTAACAGCGTGTGACTGTAGAACACACTAAACTCTGAAGGTGAGTCAGCTAGGGTAACAGTGTGTGACTGTAGAGCACACTAAACTCTGAAGGTGAGTCAGCTAGGGTAACAGTGTGTGACTGTAGAGCACACTAAATTCTGAAGGTGAGTCAGCTAGGGTAACAGCGTGTGACTGTAGAGCACACTAAACTCTGAAGGGGAGTCAGCAAGGGTAACAGTGTGTGACTGTAGAGCACACTAAATTCTGAAGGTGAGTGAGCTAGGGTAACAGTGTGTGACTGTAGAGCCCACTAAACTCTGAAGGTGAGTCAGCTTGGGTAACAGCGTGTGACTGTAGAGCACACTAAACTCTGAAGGTGAGTCAGCTTGGGTAACAGCGTGTGACTGTAGAGCACACTAAACTCTGAAGGTGAGTCAGCTAGGGAGACAGTGTGTGACTGTAGAGCACACTAAACTATGAAGGTGAGTCAGCTAGGGAGACAGTGTGTGACTGTAGAGCACACTAAACTCTGAAGGTGAGTCATCTAGGGTAGCAGTGTGTGACTGTAGAGCACACTAAACTCTACAGGTGAGTCAGCTTGGGAGACAGTATGTGACTGTAGAGCCCACTAAACTCTTAAGGTGAGTCAGCTAGGGTAACAGTGTGTGACTGTAGAGCCCACTTAACTCTGAAGGTGAGTCAGCTAGGGTAACAGTGTGTGACTGTAGAGCACACTAAACTCTACAGGTGAGTCAGCTTGGGAGACAGTGTATGACTGTAGAGCACACTAAACTCTGAAGGTGAGTCAGCTTGGGAGACAGCGTGTGACTGTAGAGAACACTAAACTATGAAGGTGAGTCAGCTTGGGAGACAGTCCTTCTCATGTCAAGATAGAAATCACTGCAGGTGAAATATGAAGACATAGTCCGCGAACTTGCGGCACTTTTATCAGCACAGAGACTGACTCGAACCAGATGGACATGTTTTGGAGGGTTCCGTTGATTTCGATTAAACGAGGTTTTGCTATTTTAGGAAATCCGAAGCTATCTGATTGGTTCAAGTTGTCAACCCTTCATCCTCCACGGCCCCTCCGGTAGCGGCAAAACCTCCATCATCGCAACAGCAGCTACCAGTGCATGGGAAACACTGAAATCTAAAGCTGCAATTATTACCAGGTAATACACGGCAAGAGACTGGAAGTCTAAATGTGCATTAATAGTACCAAATATTATCATCGAAATATCCGGAATTGAGGCTGTTGGGAAATAAAACCAAGTTATTTCCAAGAGTGACATATCATTACTTAGTTTGTTTGTTGTATAGCCGCAATCAGCAGTATTCCTGCTGTACAGCCGCAATCAGCAGTATTCCTGCTGTGTAGCCGCAATCAGCAGTATTCCTGCTGTGTTGCCGCAATCAGCAGTATTCCTGTTGTGTAGCCGCAATCATCAGTATTCCTGCTGTGCAGCCGCAATCAGCAGTATTCCTGCTGTGCAGCCGCAATCAGCAGTATTCCTGCTGTACAGCCGCAATCAGCAGTATTCCTGCTGTGCAGCCGCAATCAGCAGTATTCCTGCTGTGCAGCCGCAATCAGCAGTATTCCTGCTTTACAGCCGCAATCAGCAGTATTCCTGCTGTATAGCCGCAATCAGCATTATTCCTGCTGTGTAGCCGCAATCAACAATATTCCTGCTGTGTAGCCGCAATCAGCAATATTCCTGCTGTACATCCGCAATCAGCAATATTCCTGCTGTACATCCGCAATCAGCAATATTCCTGCTGTACATCCGCAATCAGCAATATTCCTGCTGTATAGCCGCAATCAGCAATATTCCGGCTGTATAACCGCAATGAGTAACATTCCTGCTGTATAGCAGCGGTCCGTAAATAGTCAAGTCTGGACCAAATAACAGCATAAGCATCGATCTACGCAACTGGGATCGAGCGATCCTGACCACCCGATCCCGTTAGTCGCCTCTTACGACAAGCATGAGCTACTGAAGATCAAATCTAACCGGGATCCGATTGCCTTATGGGTTTTTCATGTGTCACCTGATACGACTTCAAAAGGAGGGTTGTTACTTGGTCATACAAAGAGAAAGCGATCACTGTAACAGACCAGACAGGGGTATGTCAGTGTTTTATATGTGTACGATGAAATGGGGTTTCACGTCGCGTTTGAATTTATTCGAAATGTGTACGTGCATACGCCCGGTTTGTGTGTGTCTGCTTGTAATAGTAGTGGCTTATCACTGGGGTACCATGCTCTGTTTATCACAAATATACCTCTCACAGCCAACAAGTCCTTGTTGGATCGTCTTAATGCCGTGCGGAAGGCAGAGAAACAACAGACAGCTTCTCTATGACGTGGCTGGGGATCGGACACCGATCTTCGGCAAGACGCTGTATCCCTAGATTACGTAGCTCGGCTGCTACGGGTTGGTATGAACTGCAAGGTCACATTGTACATGTAGATACCACATCATGTGCATAATGATGTGTCTTGGATGCAGCAGTTGTAGTTAATTTTCTGCAGGTTCATCGGCACGACCCCGGACAGCTCCAACATCGGCAGCCTCCTCATCAGCCTCATCTCACAGCTCGGGGAATTGTACACATTCGATACGTCCGATCTGCCTCCGGTAACTACAGCTAGCAGCCTATCCTGTCCCTTTTGACATGACTCTGCATGGGTTACACTTCTGGAATAATTTTAATCACTATTCATGAAGTCATGTCTTTATGTATTGGTTTTGCAATTCGAATTTAGATTAAGCTTCTATTAGTATATGTAAATCGATATTCCGATATCAATAAAATATATATTTAGTTGTCACACATCATATTAATTCTCTTGACATCATAAATCTATGGTTTCATATCAGTAATATCATTTGTAGATACCACAAATTCGAAACAGGTGAATATATATTTAAAAGTCGAATGTGTGACACAAATAATGCAATTTCCGATTATTATAATAATTATTATAGATGCTATAGGTAAATAATATTCATTTTTATACCACTGACCTAAAATATATAATTAGAGCTATAAACTCTGTCCATCCGAAGACATTGTGTGTCCCACCAATAACTTGAAAACAATCAGCAAATTAGTTAATATCCATTTTGCATTACAGTGAGTGAGGTAAGCGCAGCTATAGCAATAACTAAACAGGTGGCACCAGAAATTGGCTGCACACATCTAATTAAGGAATCGAACGTGGGTCTTCAGCGTGGCGACTAATGCTATTACCTTTAGGCCACCCAATCGGGCCCTTTTACAGTTTAAGTACACCACAATATTATTGTCTGTCATCCTACTGTGTAACACGTGTATGTCTGAATCTAACACAGTCATTCTCTGTATACCAGACAATTAAGGAGCTGCGAGAGTTCTTCAAGGCAGCCTTGTCCAGAAAAACAGCGGAGACGCCGCTCGTCCTCTTCTTGGATTCTCTGGACCAGCTTGACCCTTCCGGTGATGCCAGGCAGTTGCTATGGTTACCACGAGAACTTCCGCTTAATGTTAAGATTGTTTTATCAACTCTCCCGGATGAAAAATATGAAATTCTACCACGATTAAAGGTGAGTAAACAGGGTTTGATGCTTTTATTGAGTACAATACAACCTGGTTTGTGTCATTGCTTAAAGATTTTCAAATCTCAAAACCTCACGAGTGTCAGAAGTGCACTGTCCTATATATCTTTACACAGAGCCAAACGCTTCGTGGTACAGCTCCACTCGCCGTGCATCGCTTTTTCTATATTTAGCAAATCTAACTATTCTGGGGTGATTTTACAATCTATTCCAATAAATGATATATATGAAATGTTTATCACTGTTTGATAATATTGACCGATAGCGCCACTTTGAAATCATCTTTGCACAAATGGCCGACATCAGACCCGCACCGAATGGGTGTGTGTTGCAGAGCTGTTCTCTGATTGGCCGATTCTGTTTTAGTTTTACCACCGTTCAGTTTGTTAAAATTGGTTCGGTTACCCACGATATCGTTATGGCAAACCAAAACATTGCATCTCCTGCTTTTAGTGGCTAACGAAGCTGTTCGGAAGGAAGCTGAGAATATCATTCAACTGCCCACAAAGCCATTGATATGAATAAAATTTTGCGCATTGACCATTCTTTTGGCCGTATATGGCGTGTTATAGACATACATTAATTTATGTGTTGTTTTGGATTTAGTGGTACAAGTTTTCGAGATGCTGGATTTACGAAAGTTTTCGGTGATGATTGCTGTCAATATCATTGTTCAAACTATATACAATCCTATTGAAATATTTCAGGCCCTGTTCCCCAGTAGCTCTAACTATGCTGAAGTCCCCACACTGGCGCTGCCTGAAGTGACCAGCATAGTGGACACGTGGCTTGACCAAGCAGGACGAAGGTTGACCCCTGGTCAGAGACAAACGGTACAGGAGGCCTTCAACAGGTGCCCGCTGCCGCTGTTTCTGAAACTGTCTTTTGACCAGACGCTTAAGTGGCGGTCCTACTCCCCTAGTGACACTACCGTCCTGCAGGACACCGTCAGGGGATGCATCAACACTCTGTTCCAGAGGATTGAAGAACTGCATGGGAAGATCCTCGTGGAGCGGGCACTTGGCTACCTTACGCTAAGTGAGTAGACGAGGGACTTGCCTTATTTCATAAGACTGCAAGAACTGTCTCTTGTTCAAGTTGTACCAAGAATTTACGATTCCTAGTCTGTCTCACAGTCCCTGAAACGCAACATTTTTCGATCTGCCCAACCCTTTCTGCAATGCTAAAGTCCTAAATGAAGCAAGTCTAGATTTCCTGGTTCTGGTTTTGAATCTCCCTATCAGCATTATATATATTCAGAGACTAATAGGTTCCTACCAACCTATGCTGGTCGTAAGGACGAGACGTGGTATTGGTGTCTGGTTCGGGGATTTGCATCATTAGTGTATCTTTGTAACCCACCGGTGTAGATCGGTGCTCATAATATCAGTCACTGGATTATCTGTCATAGACTTGATAATTTACATGTCGCCGTCACAAGGCCGGAATATTGCTGAGTTATACAAAAGAAATATCAGTTGACTTTCGTAGTAATGTGTAGGCAAGTTATATGGTGAAATACCTACTGTACACTGGCAATTGATCTTCAGTAACCCATGCTTGACGTAAAAGGCGACTAACGGGATCGGGTGGTCAGGCTCGCTGACTTGGTTGACACATGTCATCGTATCCCAATTGCGTAGATCGATGCTGATGGATTGCCTGGGCTAGACTCAATTATTTACAGACCGCCTCCTTATAGCTGGAATATTGCTGAGTGCGGAGTAAAACTAAACTCACTTATTCACGAATACGATAGGCTCAAGCGGGCATTATGAATTACTTCAGTCGTCATCTACGTATATGGATAGTGATGGTATGTCATGTTGATTGCTGTTGTGTTATTACGTTATAAATCTATACATTACGGTTTCTATACACACGTCCGTCCTCTCCCTAGGCAGATCTGGCCTATCAGAGACAGAGTTGGAGGACATCCTGTCATGTGACGATGATGTCCTGAATGACGTGTACATGTACTGGACTCCGCCAATCAGACGACTTCCGCCTCTGCTCCTAGTGAGGGTCAAGGCCGAACTTGGGCCGTACTTGGTGGACCGAGGAGCTGATAGCGTGAGGGTGTTCTACTGGTACCACAGACAGTTCATCGAGGCGGCATTAGACAGATATTGCTCAGACGCTAAAGATGTTGCTCAAAGGCATCGCGCTCTGGGAGAGTTCTTCTCGGGAATTTGGTCAAATGGTACTGCAAATAAGCGATAATTTTGCACCAAACTTACTTCAAACAGTATAAGTAAGTTTTTAAATGATCATAAACATACGACCGGTTGCACTGGCTGCACCGTTTGAATCCACCTTTATTGCACCTTTATTTTATATTTACAAGGAAGAAATTTGCTGAAGAGCGGTTGGTTAAAGACAGGCTGATGACGGATGTTTCTTGTGCATGTCTTGTTTTACCGGTAATGCATTCAACATCACGGGGCGGTAGGGTAGCCTAATAAAGCATCTGTTCGCCACGCTGAAGACCCAGGTTCGATTCCCCACATGGAAACAATGTGTGAAGCCCATTTCTGGTGTCCACCGCATGGAAGTTACTGGACTATTGCTAAAAGCGGCGTAAAACCATACTCAATAATTTCAGCTTCACAATCATAAAATGCAGTTTGTTTTAATGTTAAATCAAGAATTGACATATTTTTACAACAAATACTATAATAGTTAACGACCTACGTACCCTGAAAGACATTATTATTTTGTTTTTTTTCTCAAGGAAACGCTAAACCATACACAGATTCAAAAGGTCAGTCCGGAAAAGCTGACCGTCATGTGACCTCACAGCCAGTCAAGTATGGTACGAATTTTAATCGCCGGAAGTTAAACAACCTAACGTATCATCACCAGAGGGCGGGTCAGGGCGAGCTACTCATGGAGGAATGTTTGTGTAATCTGGAGTTTGTGTCGGCCAAGTTGAAGTCCGAGGGCCTGAGGTGAGTACGGTTCCTGCTTTGCCTTGTCGATTTAACACAAGTCAGTAAGCATGTCCAACTCCTTTTCATATTCTTCTATATTTTGGGGCGTGGAGACTGTTTGGTCAACATTTCTTTTGTCCGTCTTGGAATGTTGAATGTTTGAAAATATAGATATATTGTTTTAATTTGGCGATGGGGTAGCATACTGGTTATAGCGTTCCCTCGTCACGTCGAGAAACGGGTTCGATACCCCTCACGGGTACAGAGTGACAAGCCTATTGCGGAAGCTGATTTCGCCTCGATATTGCGAAAATGTTGCTAAACGCTGTGTAAAACCATCCTCACAGCAAAAAATGGGAAACAACTCTGCAGAGAGCCGATTTTCAATGCGTTACGACTTTCCAAAAAGACTCAATATGGGCTGTATTGTAGTAGAATACCACAGACTGATTTAGTTGATAGCGTTTGATCTCTTTGGTTCGTTACAGGCAAGTGACCGACGACTACCTCGATGCCACCTCCCGCTTTCCAGATATTCAACCGCTCAAGACGCTGTCAGAAGCAATACACCTGTCTCAGAGTGCACTGGTCACCAGTCCTGACGAACTTCCGGCTCAGCTCATTAGCAGGATCAAGGACAGAAACGTCAGTAGCGTTCCTTTATTCGAGACTCCTACTTTTACATCAGCTAACTATACAACGTTAGTGTCTGTATATGCAACCAGGAGCCAACACATTGATCGACGTAAGAGTTGGTGAGAGAGATTAAATAAGTATTCACGCATCCAAAAACAGCATGTGTATATGGACAAGGGCGATAGGGTAGCCTATTTGCTCGTCACGCCGAAGACCTGGGTTCGATTCCCAAGGTGTGCACAATGTGTGAAGCCAACTTTTCTGCTGTCCCCAGCTGGGATATTTTGGAATATTGATAAAAGCGGCGTAAAACTAAACTCACTCAACCACTCAGTATATGAGCAAATATACATATCGTCATTGGTTTAAGGACGGTTATCGCATGGGACACACGTGACCGGATCCTTGAACATTTCTGAAGAAAATACATTAAAATACATGATGCCTGTTCAGAAAGGCTACATAGGAAGGTAGAAGACAAGAAATACGTCAGGAGATACTTTCAATCTTGCACTTTCCTAGACTAGATGTATTTCTTTGTGATAGAGTTATAGGATCATATTTAACATTGGTGAAATGGCGATATAACGCCAAGCTCTGAGGCTCCGTTTCTATTGTTATCAGGGTCTGGAGGATTTCGTCGCTCAGTGCTACGCCTCACCCTCACCCTTCCTGCTCCCATCCAAGCGTATAGTGACCCAGACTGGTGGGGCTCTTCTCCACTCCCCAGCGGAACACACCCAGGAGATCACCGGTCTTGACCTCACCAGTGACGGTACAGTGGCAGTCACATGTAAGTGCAGCTTTGTTGAAACGCTTTGTGTGTATGGATGAGATGAGTTATGTCCCTTTTTATGTCTTTTCCAGAGACCAATCAGATTCCTCCTTTCATATAACTTGCACATGCTTCAAATGAGATGGTGTCGAATAGTCAAGACAATCTGATGATCTTTATAGTAATGAAACGGTTCCTAGTTCGCGAAGTGTATCAAGTCATTTGAGAATCTTTATAAAACATGAAAAAATATTACGAATATCTGTAGACGCTCAGTTAATGGTACACGTGCTCTGCAATTCTTGAATCTACTAGAGTCCCAAGGTCAGCTGCCATGTTTATGAGCCGGATCTTTGTCTCGTCAGCGATTTTCACACGTATACAGCTCGTTGGTCCCTGCCAAATTCCAAATTCCTACCTAGTGCTGCAAGTGGGGGAACTGGTAGGTAGGTTTTAGGGCGACTGTGGGTCTGAAAAGGACTATTTGCGCCGGATGGAACTTGGAATTTTACAACCAGTTATCTCCCTTGTCTCGGGAAGCCGTAAAGCGCCATTGTTCGCTGTCCTCACAGGTGGAATGGACAACTCCGTGAAAACGTGGGATGTCAGGACCGGCAAACTGCTCCGCTCCATAGACGACATAGGCCCTGGGTCTAGCAGGGTCTTCACAGCCTGTGCGGATACTCTCGTCGTCGTTGTCACCAGCAACAACATCCGGGCATTCGACCTCCAGTCGGGAGTGGAAGCTTACACTCTCTCCAACTACATGGCCAACTCGGGGTTCTGTCTTGCTGGAAAGGACAGGACCGCCATGTTTGTGTTTCTCGGGAAGAACGTTCAGACATATTCAGCTGCTGATGGGGCGTTTCTGGGAACATCGTCTAATGCGCATGTACAGGACGATGAGAGCATGGGAAGTTCATCTGTTGTGGCAGGTTTGTAACAAAAGAGTCCAACTGTTATCGTCTTTCTGAATCATGCATACAATAAGTGTCCAAATGTACACTTCTCAGTGTACCATTATGTTTGCCTTTGTCTTGGGTAGTGTGGACTTTTTATGCAAATGCATTTGGCATAGCTTTGGGCGACAAACGAGAAGGTTACGTTGTGTACACCCCAGGGAGCTGAGAATATACTTTGAGTGCACATCGATCCTTTGACGGAGGCTATTTTAGGAGCGGGGCATAGAGAAGGTATATTTTAGTACAGGGATTAAGCGCTTAATGAGCAAGACTAAAGGTTGAAGAAAATATTTGCAAACATTCTACAGAATACCGGGAAATAGATAAATTACCAAACATCATCTTAAACTTTGAGAATAATAGGGCATCTGCCGCATAACAGAGGCATCGGAATGGGATAATCAGTGAATTCACCACCTAACATTCAAATATATAAGTTTCTTAGCAATGAAACAATTTGAGTGGAGTTCCATGGATGCCCTCGATGTTCCTGATGCTGTCATATGAGACTTCACTATGTGCATCGTTAGAACAACTCAGAGAAACAGTGTAAATAAATAAATTATGCAGTCTGTTGATATGTGTAAATTGTATATAAAACAACAATTCAAGACAACAGACAATTGACAAAAAATACATGCCAACTTGCATTATGTATTTCAACCTGTAATTTCTGAATGTCAAATTCCGACTTTTCCTGAAGGTGACAGAATTTCTGCATATCGTGACAGATTTTTAGCAATCCAGTATGTATAATTCAGATACTTTAGATTGACACATAAACGCTGATATTTTCCCAGGAAGCGAGGAGTTTGTGGCAGTATCTGAAGGTAACCATGGAAACAAGATGTTCATCTTCAACGTCAAGGATTCATCCTTCCTGTCAACAGTGATAGCGTTACCAGTATCCATGGGGAATATGCAGGACATTATCAGTTGTGCAGCGTTCTCAGCGGACCGGAAACACGTGATTATCGGTGGGGGGACTGTCTCGTCATCATATGTTCTTTGGTATCCACAATGGTGATTTAGTTCGTACTCTGCCCGGTGAGTCAACCCACCGTCTCTTTTGTTTTAAAACAATTTCTATTAATACACGTTGTTCGTCCATCAACCATAAATGTATTCGGTGAAGTTGATAGTTTATAGTTTTTGAGTTTTTGTTGTGCTTAACGCCGCACTCAGCAATATGACGACAGTCTGTAGATAATCGAGTCTGGACATTCCTGAGATAAGATCATGAGCAGCAATTTACGCAATGGAGATACGATGTCATGTGTCAACCAATTTCACTGGCGAAGTCAATGTCCCTGACCAGCGTCAGCTTCTCCCGTCCGCCATTCATGTTGAAATTAACGAGCGGTGCCACATTTGGTGAAATCCAGTGTATAGGCATCTGACCTAATTGTGTAAATGCTGAACACGTGTAGGTGAGTGCCGGTGTTGCTTCAGCGGCTGAATTCACTAGACTGAGTTCTGTCTCCAAAGAAGTTACGGGATATTCGTAGAGAGCGCTCCAAGGGACATAACTCTATGGGGTTTGCTTGAAATCATGTTCGGCCGGTAGAGGGCTCGAGAGTCGTTTTAATGCAACTTTGAATTAATTCATTCGAACTTTTTAATATAATATTGTAATCTAAATATGTAATTTTTGGCTGAATAAATTAATTGGTAGCTTCCCTGAGGGCTGATAGTTAGTATGATTGTGCGAAATGCATAAAATATTATTATTATTTTTTTGAGACGTGTGGTTTGAAATTGTGCCTGTAAGAAGAAATCTGTCATAAGCTTGTATATTTCAATTCACGCTCATGTCTTGCTTAATCTCGTTGTCACACGCGAGATGTGACGAGATGTCCGCAGTCAGAACGTGAAGTGTAATCATCACATATTGTCCCGACCCTTTAGGAGTGAAGCACGACCGTATGTCTCCGTTCCTCCACGCCACCCCCGACGGCAACTACCTAATCTCCTCCAACTGGAACAACGTGGTCATTTGGGACCTTCAAAAGTCAGAACGCCATATCGTTCTGCAGCATATCCATAGGTCAGTCGTCAACGCGTTGACGGTGGACATGCGCATCTTCGTCACGGCCACCACTGACCTGATGCTGAGGATCTGGGACCTGACCCGAGAGGACTCTGAGGGCCTGGGAGCTCTGCTAGCAGAACAACAGCCCATGAAAACTGACGCCACAAGTGGCGCCCCATCATCAGAGTACTTTGTCCTGAAGTAAGTCTTTACGCTCCGTAGGGTACGACGATCAGAGGGCGGTGGAGTAACCTAATGGTTAAAGCATTCGCTCGTCACGCCGAAATCACGGGTTCGATTCCCCACGTGGGGACTTCTGGCTAATCTTCCCTGCTCTGTTCCTGGAATATTGCTAAAAGAAGCGTAAACGTAAATCACACGACACTACTAGATTCAGATTATGAATGTTCATTTAAAAAAAGAATCTACCGACCGTATTCGAAGCACCTAAGTGGTCTGTGTTTTGTTGGAAATTTGGGCCTTCGATCTACAATATATTCCTGAAGAATGGATCCTTTTCTGAGGACACTTACATGAAAAGCGCCAGGGGAACATTCTAATCAGCCAAACACCATTGAGGTATTTATAAGTTAGGAACCAATTCAATATGTAGCATATGTTATATTTGGGATTACACTTTCTTTGTAAAGTACAGATTCTAGTACTTTTTGGGGTTGAGTCCCATGGCATTGTGAATTTCATTCAATATGTCACGTGCTATTTAGCAAACGAGCTGAAAAGGCAAGTTCTGAACGTACACGAATAAGGCATCATTATTATATTGTTGATACTGATCCCTCCCTAAGGGAAGTATCATAGAATGAGTGAATGAGTAAGGTTTTAGGTCGTTCCAGAATTATTCCAGTGATATCCCGTGCTCATTGGGGTCCTCAAACTGGCAAATGTCTGAGACGGACATCACTGGTTGTCTTCCAGCATCATGTAAGTGAAAAAGTGTTAATGGCGACACTAAACCACCACGGCCACTATAGGACGTATTATCTCCCTTGTTTCAGATCCATGTACACCATGGACAGCCCTCGGTTCCTCCTGCTTCATGGGTCATTCCAACAAAGGGGCGTGTCCAAGGAGTACATCCGGGTGTATGACGTCACAACGGCGACCATTCTTCGACAGGTCAAACTGGTAGGCATACTTTTTTTGACTGGTCTTCTGTCTATAGAAACGACTTGAGGCTGTTAGTGGACAACACTTAACATATCATCATGGTCTTCTGTATCAAATGGAATCAAGTAGCTGCCTCATTTGCGATTTTGTCTGAATATTTGTGTCACCAAAGACACACTTCCGGGATATTGCCATGTTACCATCCTTGTAATTAAAGTCGCTGCGCATGCGTACCTATAACCGGATGTGGAAAAAAACCCAGACGTGTGTTACGACCATTGGTTCTTGAGTAGACTGGTGATTAAAGCGTTTGCTTGTCACCACGAAGGCCCGGGATCGATCCCTAAAACGATTACAATGTGTGGCGCCCATTTTCTGTGTCCACAGTGATGGTGATAATGGTTTGAAATTATTTTTACTGGCTAGATTATAATTCTTAACACGTTTGTCAGTTCAGAAAAAGTAATCAAGAACCATTATGTTTTATTTTTTCTCTCCTCAGCAAAAGTCAGATCAGCTGATCGTTCCGTACGGCGATCGCACAATACTTGTTGGCTCATGGGACAGAACTACGAATATCCTTGACCTTGTGACATTGACCTTCACCAAACAGTTACAAGGTTTTTTACCAAAAAATGGCTACCTCGCCGAACGACATCCGAGTGATTGGATATGACAAAGGTTTGTGAAAGTACCAGTTAACCCATAACATCTTGTCATACGAACTAAAGAAGGAATCAGTTTTCTTCAGGAGGGCAGGAATGAAAGCAAAAATGAAGGACTCACTGACTGTGTTTCAGCTGTGACACCAACAAAAGCACGGCGGAACATCAAAGTTTATTCCTTGGCGACGGGTCGTGTGACGTCAGTGATGAAGGCGGGTCAGTCAGAGCGAATATCGGGGCTGCAGGTACGGTGACCAAAATGACCATTGCCCAATTTACCAAATTGCGACACTGACACCCTCGAGAAATGTATACAAAGAACTTTATCATCCAACACAGGTTTCCAGAGTAGATGTCGCTTGTAGAAGATCAAGAGATATCTCCCCGGATATGTCGTTTTAGTACGTTTTGAGCTAATTGCTGATTGGTCAATATTTTTGGACTACTTTCATCTTCTTAGCTGTAAACAAAGATGACCACCGCAATCAACTCATTTTTGACAGTTATTTTTGTTCATGATTTGTTCTAACGACATAAAGGTTTACTTACAATGCCACCAAGAAATGGTGAAATGTATGCATTGCAGAATTTAAAGCAGTAAATATTAGCACTACTTTTTATGTGCTTGTTTTCTTATGATGCAATGGCGTAACTCGTTCCCTTTTCCATTCACTCTTGTTTACTTGGATGTATTCATATGCACGTCTGGGTGGTGGGGTAGCCTAGTGGTTAAAGCGTTCGCTCGTTACGCCGAAGACCCGGGTTCGATTTTCCCAAATGGGTACAATGTGTGAAGCCCATTTCTGGTGTCCCCCGCCGTGATATTGCTGGAATATTGCTAAAAGCGGCGTAAAACTAAACTCACTCACTCATTCATATGCACGCCTTCAAATGGACTTGTTACAAGTGACGTTTCGTTTTCAATTTCTCTTGAACGACAAATTAAGTATGATATTGGATGATAAATAGAATCTCACCCTCGTGTCTTTTGATATAAAAAAACCCACTTTCATCAACTCGTGCTCGGAGTTTTCCCACTTTTATTTAGTCGTGGGGATATATCGGCAAGCCTCGGATATTTGTAACTTTATCAACTCGTGTTGATATCATTGATATCAGAAGACACGAGGGTGAGATTCTATTTATCATCCAAAATCACCCTTCATTAGTTTTCAATGAAAACTGAACATCTCCGAACACAGTACTGCCATTAGGCTTGCAGTGAAGCGATGTCATAGCATTGTGGCGTCATCAAGTACATGACGTCATAGCATTGTCAGGGTATTGTACAAAATCTACTGTCAAAGCGATATCTACTAGGAGATATCATTTGATCTCACACAAGCAATATCTCCTGTGGAAGACAGTTTTGGATGATAAATTTGATATCAAAAGAAAATCAGGTGAAATTCTCTATGTATTTTGTCCCAAGAGATATTTTGTCAGGTTTTGGTGTTGATTGTTACAGCTCAGTACTGACGAGGAAACGTTACTTGCCAGCACAACTAAAGGCCCGATACTTGTGTTCAACACAAAGACGTGTTGTTACCTGTATTCTGTCAACACAACCGCTGTGTCTCTGAAGAACGTGGTTGATGCCAGAATGACGTCAGATAACTTCATGCTGTTCAGACCGGATGTAGAAGATAAACACTCTGTCGTTGTGTGGAACATGACAAAAAGTACGTTTTCCAGATATTTACTCATTATGACATATTTTAGTGTGTGTGTTGTCTGAAACGCAAGTGTTAATTTGTCATCAGCTATACTGTTTGCATAAACGTGCATGATAATATGTGAAGCCTATTTCTGGCGTCCCGTGACATTGCTAGAATGTTGCTAAAAGCGGCGTAAAACTAATTCGCTCACACTGTTTAAAATGTGTAATAAGATAAGAGAAAACGGTGTTACCTTTAACTGAACTGTGGTTATATTTCAGAGACTGAGCACTGTCGTCTGCGCACTCAACAGAGTGAAGGTCCGGTGCGGAGATTCGATGTTGTGGCCGATGACACTGCTGTCGTTGTCACCGACGCGTACCTACACGTGTTCAGCATTTCTACAGGTAAGTCATATGCCCATACATGGGATTTTCACCATTTTAACATGAATGTCAGTTGCTTCTGTGTAATGTGGGCAGATGACAGAAAGGGACGCTTGTCAGGGACGTTGACATAGTCGGTCATACCACCTACTTTTAAAGGCAATATTTTGGCCTGTATTATATATATATTGGGGCACTTAGGCTTACTATCCATATGCCTGAAATCGATAATTGAAACTTTCAGGCGAACAGCTTCCAAACAGAGAACACTTTCCATACATGGAATGTAAACATTTGCTCTGTACATCGAAAACTGTCGCACGCGGTGTTGTCGGTGTTTGCCGAACTGGTTTCAATCACAAGTTGCCTTGTAGGATATTCGTAAAGAGCGCTGCAAGGGACAATAAATTTCGGCCGGTAGAGCGCGCGAGAGTCGATTTAATGCAACGTTACATTAATTCATTCGAACATTTTAATTTACTATTGTATTCTAATTACGTATTTTTTTTTTAAATGGAATAAATTATATGGCAGCTTCCCTGGGGCTGATAGATAGTATTATAGAGCGAAAGCATTTTTGTTTTTGTTGAGAAGTGTGGTATGAAATAGTGCCTTTAATACATCGGTATCACACACCTCAGATCCTGAAGGCATGCACGTGTAGGGATTATGGTAAAGCCTACAATATAATGTACAGTAAAGGAGGCGGTGGGGTAGCCTAATGGTTAAAGCGTTCGCACGTCACGTCGAACACCAGGCTTCGATTCCCCACATGGGTACAATGTGTGAAGCCCATTTCTGGTGTCCCCCGCCGTGATATTGCTGGAATATTGCTAAAAGCGACGTAAAACCATACTCACTCACTACAGTAAAGAGGAACGCCGATCCACGACACTTGATTATGTATTGTCAGGAGACCAGTTAGACTCTGTACACAGTCGACAAGGCACGTCACGTATCTGTTGCCGCTACGACAGTCCCTACTTCACCACCTTCAACAACGACATCGACGACAATACTGTGAAACTTTGGCAGACATCACCAGTAAAATGTATGGCTTCATTTACCCCGGATATACGGGTAGGTGGTGGTTCTATACTGGCGTAGACGCCCAAATTGATAAAATAACCTCATCTAAGACAAGGATGTATAAATCTGATTTCAACCATACTACGCTAAATAACATGCTCGAAATGTGAACGGAACGATGTTTTCAAAATACATGTGACATTGTTATGCAATTGCATCTGTATTCTCCTCGATCTGGTTTGCGGACACACCAAGCTACCCGTGGCTTGATAGTTTTCTTAATGAAAACCTAAGTGAGTGTCTCGTCATCACTCCCAAGTGGACACATGGAAGTACCTTATGGCTGACACTGTATCCGATTCCTTATAAATGAACTGTGCAAGTATATATGATCATGATATGTTTTTTCAGCCTCGAGAGATATTTTTGTCACGTGACGGCCGTACCCTCCTTGGTTACTTTAACACGACCCCGCACCCCGTGTTGTGGACGCTGCACGGTACGGATATCCCGGCTGGGGGTGAGGCAGATGGCACGGGACAACTACCCAACCCATATGGAAATGAGTGTAAGCATATTGTCCTTAAAAAAATAAATGTTGCCCTGTTGTGTTGGTATACGTAGGTACGTACCACCCGAATGATACAGTTGTCACGCATTGCTTTTGCTTACCCTTTAGACCCGTGAAGATCCTGGTTAGAATATTGATCTTCAGTAGCCCATGCTTGTCGTAAGAGGCGACTAACGGGATCGGGTGGTCATGTTCGCTGACTTGGTTGACACATGTCATCGTATCCCAGTTGTGTAGATGAATGCTCATGCTGTTCATCACTGGATTGTCTGCTCCAGACTCGATTATTTACAGACCGCCGCCATAGCTTGATTATTGCTGTGTGCGGCTTAAAACTAAACTCACTCACTCTATTTTTGTGAAATCTATTAGAAGTAACTGGATAAGCTTCAGACAATACATGTAAAAGTGTAACGAGCGAAATTAAAAGAGGGGCATTTTGTATTTGAAGGTAATGTTTTCAGATTTGCTGTTGTTACTGTGTAGTCGAATGAGTGAATTTAGTTTTACGCCGGTTTTAGCAATATGCCACCAATAGCACGGCGGAAATGGACTTCACACCTTGTATCCATGTGGGGAATCGAACCCAGGTCTTCGGTGTGACGAGCAATCCCTACCGCCCCCGTGTAGTCGAAACCTCCTGCTAACGCCAAGGGAACGTCTGGAGATCGTAGTAATGATTTATAACTATTATGTGTTCCAATGTTCTTTATTCGATGGTTTGGAGGAATTCTCTTGTTATTTTTAAATAGATATGGAAGCAGACCTCAGCAGCCCTCGGGAACACGTGACAGATGACCCGGAAGACCCAGACAGTGATGAAGATGTGGTCACGTGATCTATCTTGATGCTATTTACATTTGTGCCAAATATGGATATACCTCAAGCAATTCCATGTACAAAAGCTGTCGTCAAGAGAATGAATCGTCATAGTGATATCAAAACTCTACAATCCTCAGATGTCGAAGACATTTAGTTGAAGACATAGAGTGGTTCTTAATAACTCACTCCCTTCTTCAGAAATTGGTGATAGGTAACACAGTTATCTCAGTGCGATTCCCATTGGTTCATTTCATCCAGTAGCAGACAGACATGTGTTATCTATTACCGACTCGCGGATTGGGTGGTGGGGTGGCACATCAATTATGTCTACAGAAAATATATATTTTTTAAACATATTTTACTTCCCCCATACACTATATATAGATATCTGCGTCACTTTACACCCGACAACCTTTTGTAGACCAGGGCCTAGATTTTCGAAGCTCTCTTAGCGCTAAGATAGTCGTAAGTTAATGTTAACGTATGGGACTTACGACTATCTTAGCGCTAAGAGAGCTTCGAAGATCTAGGCCCAGTCATCCAAGGTCTACTTTGGTACCCGACTCTACTGTCTACTGCTTAGCGAACACATAAACGTTCGCTCCTCACGCCAAAGCCCCGGGTTCGATTCCCCACATGGGTACAATGTGTGAAGCCCATTTCTGGTGTCCCCCGTCGTGATATTGCTGGAATATTGCTAAAAGCAGCGTAAAACCATACTCACTCACTCATTCACTGAAGACATGGACACCCAGAGGTGTGCTCGTGGGACGTGACGCGGTGACGAGTACACCAACGTCACCGTCTTGTTCTCCGCCGTAATTTACCAGTTTACTACCGTGCGTATTGTCGTGCGTCAATCTTTACCTCTGTACAACGGACACCTAGAATTGCGGATGGCGAAACAGCTACCTGCGTTTATCGTAACACTTGTGGGACCTGCAGTCGTGGGGAATTGGATGTTGAAGGCCAACATGTTCCTTTAGGAATCTTACCTCGCATGGGCCAGCACAGATCTGATATTAATGAAAAAAGTGATCCTGTGATATTCGCAACATTCTGTTTATATATACATTGTTTGTAAATCGTGTTTTTGTACTTGTTCAATCCAATAAAATCCGAACGTTTACACCAATATGATGCCTTTGTGTCAAAATCTGCATGTTACATTCATAGAAAGTCGACCCGTGAAGAACTGATCTTCAGTAACCCATGCTTGTCGTAAGAGGCGACTTACATGATCGGGTGGTCACGCTCGCTGACTTGGCTTATCATCGTATCCCAGTTGCGTAGATCGATGCTCATGCTATTGGTGACTGGATTGTCTGGTCCAGACTCTTTATTTGATCGGCATTCTTGAAGTTGTTGAGTCAAAAAGGAAACATGCAACTTTATTGATGACAGCTTCTTTATTGCCTAGAGCAACGTTTCGATGTAGATTCTTATACTGTTATCATTCTTACAACCGTTAATGGTTTTAGTCGACCCCGTTTAGCTTCATGACGGTGTAACAATCTACATCGAAACCTCGTTTTATGCAATTAAGAAGAAGTTGTCATCAATAAAGTTGTATGTTTCTTTTTTTGGACTCGATTATTTACAGACCGCCACCATACAGCTGGAATATTGCTGAGTGTGGCGTAAAACTAAACTCACTCACTCATAGAAAGTCGCTGGTGTATGACAACAACGTATTACTTCTTGTTTTTATATCTACCCCCGACCTTATTCCTTTTTCCAGATTGAGAAATGAGTGAGTGAGTATGGTTTTACGCCGCTTTTAGCGTTGTTCCAGCAATATCACAGCGGGGGACACCAGAAATGGGCTTCACACATTGTACCCATGTGGATAGAGAAATGAGTATTTGTATATTTTTTACGAAGATGGCGAAAAAGTTTAACTTTTCAAGCTGTACTCGAACAAAGAAATTATTCTGTGTCATGTCAAACACGTCTTTCGAAAATAATTTTAATTGCCTGCAGCCATATGGCTAGAATGTTTCTGTGTCAAAGAACAAACAAACAAACAAAATAATTGCCTGGCTTTTTTTAAGGTCTGGTCGATCAGATTGTCTCATGACTGTCTTCTCTGCACATGGGTCCCGTAGGCAGGTCACGGCACTTCGCGAGACCTTAGTATTTCCGGTGACAAACAACGTTTCATACCTATTCGAGTGGTTCATGGTTGTCAGCTGACAGTAAAGAACCGATTATCCTTGTTGGAATAACACATTTCCGACCTAACCATCCCCAAATTAGCCAACTACGACTGTCAACAGCTGTGACACAACATCCTAGTCTAGTCAAGTAGTATTTGGCGGTCGCGCAATTTCGAACCAGAACTGGTTGGCTTGGCACCGGAAATCTTGCACCGGAAGTAATCTGGATCCCGTCTCGCATATCGCAAGTTGGCGCGCGTAACGGGAGCCGAGAGCCAGCTTAGTTCTGGAAGTTCCGAGATTTACACACTTTAATGAGAGGTCGAGGAAGTATTTGCATGCACAGAGTAGACGGGTTCTTTTGACCTTCCTTAAGTAATGAGGGGCTTCATTCATTGGTTCACTGAAGATAGATGTCACTACTATCGGAAGTACTGACAATGTGACCGGTAACGTCGTTCTAAATTTTGTTTCCTTAAACAACATCTTCAGTCATCACATAACGCTTTTAATTCTCATACAGCCTGTTAAATGAACACAATAACCCAAATCACACATAATGGTTTGAATTATCAAATGAACACTGGTACTACCACAATTCGGCCACGGCACTGGGACATTGACAACAGATAAAACCTAAATGGCACATTGTACTGGTCTGAGACATACCCAACAGTAAATATTTCAGCTGGATATGAACCCACGTGGAGAAGGTCATACTGACCTACTTGTAGCCGGTATACTGATCACTCGAGGTCTACAACCAGCATGAAGACAGTGTCGCGTGTAGCACTCGTGGGGCTTGTAGTAAGTAGCATACAGAGACATTGTGATTGTATATCTATTACTACTTATTATACTAACATTTGTATAGCGCCAATATACAGATCAGCTCCACAAAGGCGCTTAAATTTTTCCCTCGACCATTGGATGTCAAACTCAAACGGCACATCGTATTATCAATCTCAGCTCCTCAGCTCCATGGGGATCTCATACAACTCTTTCAGCCACTAGGCGCACCGACTTAACGTGGCTTTATATCTCATCCGCCTATACATTTTGAAAGTAGTGAGATTATAGCGAGATGCATGTATGTTTCCACCAGAAGGGCGGCCTCCTTTATAAAAGGATCGATGGTCAGGCTCGTTATCTTGTTTGTTGCACGTCATCGTATCCTACTTGTGTATATCGGGCCTCATGATCCCTCCATTTATTGCCTGGTTCAGCCTCGCCGTCGTGTAATGGATGATTGCTGAACTTAACAACAAGGAAGCACTGTCAACGAACGAAATCACTAGTGTCTGCGACGACGAAAGTCTTCAGACAAACGTTGACCTTGTTTGTACGCCGTTGGCTGGATTAAATGTCAAATTCTGTAAATGTAGGACGAGTAATTCTCTTATCTTACATTAGGGAAGGTTTCATATTGGGCCGGTTCAGGTCCTCGGTTAGTCAAATCTGCTAAAGGCTACACTGTCAAGGACCAAGCTGACTGGTCAAGGACTTATAGGATGGCTAATGTGAACACACCAATTTAATAACAAATGTATTGATTGACTGCCTACGGTATATGGTCCCCCCTTAAAAAACAATACACATATTCTGACACTTTCCTCACTCGGGTCCAGTCCGACAGGCTCAGTGCCTACATATGTTAGTCCAAGAGATAAGGCCTGATTTAATTACCTCAGAGGTCCAAAAGGTTTGAACATTTGTACGTATGGGAAAATGTCTGCATTTTCAGAATATGTAAGTCTTACGAGTCAAAACTTGACCGATTTTTCGCTAGAGGGCGCTGAAGTCATGACTCAGCTTTTTTTTCACCCACTACCCCACTACTGGACACGTTGATGTTTGGCGTATGAAATACAAAGAAAGGGTGACATATTGCAAAATCATATGAGATCCAACACATTTGGCTTTAATAAATTCATAACATTAGGTACATCCAGATTATTAATTTTCTGACAGATTTACATGGCATTTACAAACCTTATGTGGTCCATATGTCGGGCCTCCCTTCAGCTGTACAGAGCCAACTGCAATCCATCCAGGATTCCATCATATTATTTTGAGGTCATTATCATTCACTGGATCTGTTGTAAAAAAGCATAAATCATTTATGCAAAGAATTTATCACCAACTTGAAAGAATAAGACCAACATTAAAATCCAAAGCATTTGACCAGCAGACACATATAGAAAATACAGAAATAAGATTACTCGTTAGGAAAATAGTATCTGCTGCCAAAAGTTTTGCAAGGTCAGTGTTTGAATTGTAGGTTTGATTCAGGAGCATATCCGTTTATTTACATTTTTTACCTGTCATTTATACATTATTTCATTCCAGAACATCTAGTAATGTAAATAGGAAAGGAATACTTACATAATAACCACAGAAACATCTATGAGAAGCTTCAAAATCACAGCACAACATCAGCCTGTCACATGTTTCAATAGTAAAAATGGCCGCCAATATGATATGTACCAGACAAATATTTACAGGTATTTCACTCTTTATGATCAGGATGTGTTGAACCTAAACTAACTAAAGGATTTCTTCAAGGAAACAATTTAGAAAGTATTAAATCTTTTGTTTACTGGAAAGACAAAAAACAACAAATGTTTACTTAACTGGAACATCTGATCCAACATTATGGGTTGCCTACGATGTACATGTTTTTATTAGTGTTAAATGTTGTTTGTCAACTATTACTTTAAGTGGTAGAAGTAGTAGAAGTACAGTTGACTCAAACTGTTGCCGTAGCTATGTGTTGAGGACAAAAAACAGTGGGATCTCAGAATGGGAGAAACAAGAGTTATCTCCCTTTTTCCGAAATTCAAATTTGATGCCTACCTCACAAAACATGGTGTAGATCCATTAAAAATTGATAGAAAGTTATAATTGTTGTTTCAAATGATTGACTATATATTTGTCAATCCAAAATGAGAACACAAATACTCTTCAAGGGTTTATTTGTATATATAGTGAAAAACGAAAGATGTGCGTTTTACCATTTTTTATGTAATTTTTGTCTTTTCTGTGAACTGACACAGTAGTGAGTTCAAAGATGTACTTAATGTTATGATTTTATTAAAGCCAAATGTGTTGGCTCTCATATGATATATAATATATCACCCTTTCTTTGTATTTCATACGTTTCCAGTAGTGGGTGAAAAAAATGCTGAGTCATGACTTCAGCGCCCTCTAGCGAAAACTTGGTCAAGTTTTGACTCGTAAGACTTACATATTCTGAAAATGCAGACATTTTCCTACAGGAACCAATGTTCAAACCTTTTGGACCCCTCGGGGTAAATAAATGGACCTTATCTCTTGGACTATGTCAGGGATATAGAAGGTCCCTCCATATGTTACCATAACGGTAAGTTTTAAACATATTACTTTGTGAAATTATCAGAAATAGAGACTAGCTTTGATCATACGACAAAATCAAGCGGAAGGTATTCTTATTTTGTATATAATGTTCACTACGACCGCAAGGTTGTGAGATGTGAATTACTTGTAATATTGATTGAAGCTAGCGTTGAGGGGTGTCGTGCCGAGTCTTATATTCGAATAATCGAGTCTGTTCAAAGTGACAATTCATGGATGCCAACGTCTGTAATATGAAGAACACGACGGGTCCTATTTTTCATTCACCTGATGAAGGAGTAAGAACATGCTCTTAAATGTCGTGTTGCTCATATAACGTAAGATGGCATCTATACATTTCCACCTGGACGTGTATCACCTCTACATGTCATTCAAAGACTCAATAACTGTTGCTTCACCTTCAGTGCTCTGTGAACCTGGCTGCGGCATGTCTGACCGCTGATGACTGTCCGTTCCTATATTGTTGTGTGAAGCCCATGGGGAATTCCGTTGACAACCAGTTCCGCCAACAGCAGCTCAGCTCTGGTGTTGTGATAGGTGGACGTGGTGTCGATGACGTCAACAACGACCTCGTTGACGGCAGTAGGAGTGCAGTAAGGGGTACTTGTCAGAGCATGAAGGCGCAAGGACAGCGTGAGTTTGACTAAACTACATCCTCCCTCCCTATATCAGTTAGGGGCGTGGGGTAGCTTAGTGAATATAGCGTTCACTCGTCACACTGAAAACCCGGGTTCGATTCACAGATTCCCATTTCTGGTGTCCCCTCGTTGTGATATTGCTGGAATATTGCTAAAAGCGGCGTAAGCCTAAACTCACTCACTCACTCCATATCAGTTAAAGTGACCGGAAGTGCTCAAGTCAAAACATTGATTACACAACAGTCTCGTTTCCTGTTGACTGGGTTCCGTCCTATTGCGCAACTTAGTACAAGAACCAGTCCAGAATCTTTGAGAGCAACTCTTTTAACTGGATACATAAATATTAATTGGTATTATTTGATACATCTAAGCACTTGTATATTGCAACGCTACGCTCCTTATAATCCTTGCAAACATGTGGCGTGCTCTGTCGTACAGCGAGCACTGACAAACGGAAACCTGGAAATCGTGGAAATCCAAAACGAGGCTCTGGAAAAAGTCGGCCCTGATTTCTCGAAACAAAATCTCAAATTTCAAACTGAGTTTGACAATTTGAAACAGCTGCTCAACTGCATTTTTAAATAAAAAGAAACAACTTAAGGTTTTTGAGTTTAGTATTGATTTCAGTTTATTCTGTCATGCGTTTTCTCAAATTTGATAAAAACTCTGTTACACAACTACACTGAATAAGCTCAAAAAGCACATAACAGGTGTAATCAGTGAGCCAGATGCATTGTGAATCATTTTACGACCTCATCAAACTGGGGCAGTCTGTGACGTCTTAGTTAAGGTCATGCTGCCTACACCTCGCCATAAAATATAGAAATACGATGTTAATAAAATTTAAAATAAAAATTCAGTTGTAAATACTATTTTCTTATGGAACAGGAAATTGGAATTCAGTGTAACCATAGTTGTTTGCGATGTCTATTTTCACTTTCGGCTGGAAGGTAGGTCATTGCCTGAATAGGTTAATGAGACTCATGTTTCGGTTTGCTCCTGCTGGTCACTTTACATTCCGTTTATGCTTGACCAGTTAAAGGGGGAAAAAATAAGATTTAGGATTGATCATATTAAATGATACTTATTTTAACGAAGATGACAAACAAAATAGCCAAAACACAAGACACAAGGATGTAATTTTATATTCCATTTAGAACTGCCCGTTAACGTTCATTTTGAAGATGAACAAATCAGCCACATTCAGCCACTTAGTATGCTGACCTGATGCCAGTTTTAATGCAATTTATTATCTAATACGTCTGAGTTGTAAGCCAGTATTTACCACGGGGTGACGGATGGGCGAGTCCTACAAGTCCAGGTGGTGGCAAGTTGTCCGAGTACTGCACACAGGTCACAGATCAGGCAAAGTTGAACAATGTTGGTTGCGGAGAGTAGGTGCCTGGGTGTGTATAAGGGTGAAAGTGTTACTGTAGTTGACGTGTAATGGTTCTTTAATGGTTGCCGACGTGTTACCGAGCCCCCAGAGCGTCAGGCTTAAGTAAGCCGGCTATTTTCTCAAGAAATAACAAATGGTATTAAAATTTAGCAATGTGAAAACATTGGACCTAGTTTGCGTAAGATCGAGGAATGGAGCTAATTTCCTGATAGTGACGTGGGTGCCAACACCTGTTGTAGGCTGATTATAGGGGGCGTCTCATAACGGTCTTAACATTAAATTATAATATGAGTATTTATATAGCGCTATAGTCCATCCCACACGCATGCTCAAAGCGCTTCAAATTACAACCAGCCACAGTCATCAGTGTAGCACAGACTAGCATCATCTTACCATTCTGGTGGCCTTAGGTTTCCTGAGGGGGCCGCAATTGGTGTGCAGAGTTGCGTCCCTTGGGTGTGACAGAAACCGACTTCCGGTTCGCCTGTTTCTAGTTTTGTGAGCTCCGTGTCCGTGAGTTCTAAAGAAACTGGTAAACTGAGACCTGCATCTCTTCGACCTTTCCTCACCCAACAAGCTGACACACTATGAAATACTGTACTATACAATCACTAATCCATTCACACAATCCCGTGACCTCCGTTTTATTGACACTATTGTACTTCACTCCCAAGTCTGCTGGACAAAGACAGACGTTGCCTACTTTCCCCCACACGACATGACCGACGACTGCCCGTGCCAAAGGGGGCTGTACTGTGTGGCCAACGGCGTCTTCCTTCCAGGGGGAGAAGCGGGTACGTACCTTCATAGGGAGGATGAATGAACGGATGTGGTATCATATAAACGACTTTTCATACATTGTAACCGATCCTCACTCCAATAGGTTAGTACGGCGATCAGGTGGTAGAAATATATGTTCTACCGTGGAATAAACGCCGGATGACAAACCTGACGTACAGAGAGTCTAGACAAATGAAAACTAATATCCGGTATGGCTTGCCATCAGTAGTAAATGTAATGGCTCCTTTGGTCATGTGGATCACGTCACTTTAAATAGAAAATTACTTCAATACATATGCAGCTAAAATTGTAGATTCCTCGTAAAATACATTCTCAGCCCTTCAGAGTATCTATACTGCCAGGGCACAATGTGCTATGCTGAATAACGGCTGCTGTAAACCGGAACCTGTGTAGTAGAGGATTGTTGTGTGTTAATGTCCACCTTTATAGCTATGTTGACTGAACTATGATAACAGACAGCCTGTTAGTCTATAATCTGAACATTTCTGTTTCCTTCCTACAGGTGTATGCAGCGTTTAGAAGAAGAATTACAGCACAGAAACAAGCAACACCGTACATAGTGCCTTATGTCACAGTACCTAAACATATGTATCATGTATGTCCAATAGGAATAATATTGCCTGTTCATTGTATAAAATAGTCGTGGTCTAGGACGGAACGTTTCAGTCAGTCAGTCAGTCAAGTCAAAACCTTGCTTTTTAAATATTTGCAAAATGCATCAAGAGGCTTTCCCAGAATACCAACTAGTCGGTCCCTCTTGTGAAACGAGTGTCGCAAATCGAATTCGCTGCACGAACATCATCGTGAAACTACACATATGACGCACTGCACTCTGGGAGTGGCTTTTCAGGAAGTTTGGCTTATCTGCTTAACCCTGACATTGGATCTGAATAGCAGCATGAGCAATGTACTTCAGGTGAACTTCAGTACCTTTCGTTCGTACTTATTCTAAGAGGTGCGCTACACTTACGCCCACTGATAGCTATATACAGTATGCTCGAAACCATTCTTCATATCTATGCTTTAAAGCTTCATGTGCTCATGAGGTTAGAGTTTTATATTTTAGGCCTGTACATGTGCGTGTTCATGTGAATCTGTTACGACTTTCAAAAAACGTTTCCTTTATGCCGAGCATATTGCAGCAGCTCCAGTCTATTTTTTCACGCACACAAAAACAAATGCCTCATAAGATTCTTGCAATAAAGTTTGTTGATCAAGGTTAGTACATTGAAGACCCGAATAAAGCTTTTAAGGTTTTATGGTAAACATGTGGAACACATTTCCAAATTTATCCTCATTGACAAAAATGGCGTATGATGCAATACCATATTTTTACTTGCAGCATGTGTTCCTTTGCTCATGTCAGCTACTGACGTGCACGTGCCCTTGCATTGTTTGTGATAAGGATCACATATGGGACAGGATACCCAACCTTTTTGCCATAAACTGGTATAACTTTCATTTACTAAGTGGATTATGGTATGCATAAAAACGGGCTCTTTTGGTCAAAATCGAGCTTACTACCTTGACAGTGGTAGCTTACACTTACTCTTTTATTGAAACTGTGAGTGGTGGGTGTTACCTCTGGGGCGGGACATGCTTACCCATTACCAACACTTGGTATCGTCACTGGGTTTTAGTGGTCTGTTTAAAAAAGTATTCTCCTCTGTGATACCTTTTGCGCCCAGACGAAACATATTCTTTTCTAGTAATTGCACACGGTACCATTAGTGGACTCCCCAACACTGCACATGTGTTTCAAGAATGCTGTTAACGAGCTCCACGATATTGAATATTGGCATCTTATACTGTACACATCTACTAGAGGCTGAACATTACTGTTTAATACTGCACAGTAGCGCCAATAGGTTGAACATTTACGCCTAATATTGTAACCTAGCTCCAAGGATGGCTGAACACTTTCTCATAGAGGCTGAGCATTTACGTTTAACATTGCACAAGGGCTCCAATAATCTGAACATCTACATGTAATGGTGTACAAAAGCTCCGAGAAGCTGGGCCCCGATCCTCAAAGCGTTCGTAGCTCTACGACATCCATAAGCCTATGATAAACCTTAGAGTTACAACAGGTCGTAACGTTACGAACCATTTGTGAATCGGGACCCTGAATATTGAATGGCCATACCGCGGCGGCAGCAGACGTTCTACCGAGGTCACAAGTAAGGTCAACCGGTGTCTACAGAGAAGTCGACTACTGTGGCCTGCACAATTTTCGCCCAACCTTATCAGGACATTCAGACAACGTTCCGCGGCTGCACAACTAGATAGGCGACACAGAACGACACCAGCATGAAGTCCTTTCTCCTTCTCATAGCTGCCGCCTGTCTTGCCCTGGTAAGTTTTGTTGTATGTTTCATAAGCATTTTTCTTAATTTGACTGACTGACTGACTTGGTTTTACGCCGCTTTTAGCAATATTCCAGCAATATCACGGCGGGGGACACCAGAAATGGGCTTAACACATTGTGCCCATGTGGGGAATCGAACCCGGGTCTTCGGCGTGACGAGCCAACGCTTTAACCACTAGGCTACCCCACCGCCCCTTCTTAATTTGATCCTCTGAGGCGTTAAATGACTGTGTAATTCTCATTCCTGTTGCGACCAGATGGGTAGTACAATTAGGATCCGGCCACCAGCTGGTCCTCAACAATTTCCAAATACGTAGATTTATGCTCGTGATGACAATAAGCGGGTGGTCTGGTCAAAATTCTGTTGTATACCAACCGTCAGCATATGACATGATTTTCGATAGGTACGGCATTAAATAAGAAACACCTGGTTGTACTAAACCAGTGTAGTTGTGCTAAGCGCAGGTTTCCACGTGTAGACATCGAGTGGGATTCAAACATGGTAAACTGAATATTGAGGAGCATAGTGAAACGTTGCTTACACTGCCACCCACTTGCTTCTAACTTCAGTTTGGAGGCTGCCTGTCCAACTTCAGTATTCTCTCTATTTGTTTTCAAAAAGACACCCGAGTTTCGTTTGTGTAGAAGTACACAATCCACAATTGTGTCCGTATTAGCTTGCACTAAGGGGCTACAGAAAAACTTTCAAAATGGTTTCCGCTAAAAGCAATTCCGCTTAAAAGAATATCGCAAAAGGTGCCTTTATGATGCGTGGATACAGTTCTACGAAATGGCTTTGGCCAGCTCTTAAATTGTTGCTAGTTCAAATTCGAATCCAGTTTATTGTTTCCAGGTGTATGGCCAGAACACCACGTCCTGCAGTGTGGCCTCCGAGTGTCCGTCCTTCAAGTGCTGCCAGCAAGTCAAAACATGGCCCCAGGTTGGAAAGAGGGCCCTCGGGGAGTGCCGGCCCATGAGAACACAGGGACAAAGTAGGTGGAATGTTGGGTCGGGGTGGCAAGAGGGCCCTCGGGGAGTGCCGGCCCATGAGAACACAGGGACAAAGTAGGTGGAATGTTGGGTCGGGGTCGGCAAGAGGGCCCTCGGGGAGTGCCGGCCCATGAGAACACAGGGACAAAGTAGGTGGAATGTTGGGTCGGGGTGGCAAGAGGGCCCTCGGGGAGTGCCGGCCCATGAGAACACAGGGACAAAGTAGGTGGAATGTTGGGTCAGGGTGGCAAGAGGGCCCTCGGGGAGTGCCGGCCCATGAGAACACAGGGACAAAGTAGGTGGAATGTTGGGTCGGGGTGGCAAGAGGGCCCTCGGGGAGTGCCGGCCCATGAGAACACAGGGACAAAGTAGGTGGAATGTTGGGTCGGGGGGTGGCAAGAGGGGCCCTCGGGGAGTGCCGGCCCATGAGAACACTGGGACAAAGTAGGTGGAATGTTGGGTCGGGGTGGCAAGAGGGCCCTCGGGGAGTGCCGGCCCATGAGAACACTGGGACAAAGTAGGTGGAATGTTAGGTCGGGGTGGCAAGAGGGCCCCAGGGAGTGCCGGCCCATGAGAACACAGGGACAAAGTAGGTGGAATGTTAGGTCGGGGTGGCAAGAGGGCCCTCGGGGAGTGCCGGCCCATGAGAACACAGGGACAAAGTAGGTTGAATGTTGGGTCCGGGGTGGCAAGAGGGCCCTCGGGGAGTGCCGGCCCCATGAGAACACAGGGACAAAGTAGGTGGAATGTTGGGTCGGGGGTGGCAAGAGGGCCCTCGGGGAGTGCCGGCCCATGAGAACACAGGGACAAAGTAGGTGGAATGTTAGGTCGGGGTGGCAAGAGGGCCCTCGGGGAGTGCCGGCCCTTGAGAACACAGGGACAAAGTAGGTGGAATGTTGGGTCGGGGTGGCAAGAGGGCCCTCGGGGACGGTCGGCCCTAGAGAACACAGGGACAAAGTAGGTGGGATGTTGGGTCAGGGTGGCAAGAGGGCCCCCAGGGAGTGCCGGCCCATGAGAACACAGGGACAAAGTAGGTGGAATGTTGGGTCGGGGTGGCAAGAGGGCCCTCGGGGAGTGCCGGCCCTAGAGAACACAGGGACAAAGTAGGTGGAATGTTGGGTCGGGGTGGCAAGAGGGCCCTCGGGGAGTGCCGGCCCATGAGAACACAGGGACAAAGTAGGTTGAATGTTGGGTCAGGGTGGCAAGAGGGCCCCAGGGAGTGCCCGGCCCATGAGAACACAGGGACAAAGTAGGTGGAATGTTGGGTCAGGGTGGCAAGAGGGCCCCCAGGGAGGGCCGGCCCATGAGAACACTGGGACAAAGTAGGTGGAATGTTGGGTCGGGGTGGCAAGAGGGCCCTTGAGGAGTGCCGGCCCATGAGAACACAGGGACAAAGTAGGTGGAATGTTGGGTCGGGGTGGCAAGAGGGCCCTCGGGGAGTGCCGGCCCTTGAGAACACAGGGACAAAGTAGGTGGAATGTTGGGTCGGGGTGGCATGAGGGCCCTCGGGGAGCGCCGGCCCATGAGAACACAGGGACAAAGTACATGTAGGTGGAATGTTGGGTCGGGGAGGCAATAAGCCTACACTATCGTCTCTCCTCATTAAGAAAAGGGCGGTGGTAACCTCGTGGTTAAAGCGTTCTCTCGTCACGCCGAAGATCCGGGCTCGATTTCCAACATGGGTACAATGCATGAAGCCCATTCCTGGCGTCCCCCGCCTTGATATTGCAGGAATATTGCTAAAAGCGGCGTAAAACTAAACTTACACTCTCATGAAGTGTATCTTGAACTCCGTGAACGTTGCATCACTGACCTATTGTGACGTTATCTGCAGGCTGCTGGGTGAAGAACAGGGGCCTTGACGGCACACGGCCGATGCAGATGATCGACATGTGCCCGTGTGAGGCGGGACTCAGGTGTGTCGGAATGGGGGCCTTCGTCCAACCACAGGGAGAAGCAGGTAAAACATCACCCAAACAACTCACTCATTCACGTGTAAACCATCTTCTGGAACGCTTGGGACTCAAAGTAGTTTATACCACAACCAATGGGTGTAGTAGCAGTAGACGTAACAACACCAACAGTAGTTGTTGAAGTAGTAGCAGTAGTAGTACTAGTAGCATTAGCAGCAGCAGTAGCAGCAGCAGCAGTAGAAGTAGTAGTAGTAGTAGTAATAGTAATAGTAGTAGTAGTAGTAGTAATAGTAGAAGTAGTAATAGTAGTAGTAATAGTAGTAGTAGTAGTAGTAGTAGTAGTAATAGTAGTAGTAGCAGTGGTAATGATAGGAGGAGGAGGAGCAAGAGACGCAGTAGTAGTAATAGTAGTGGTAGTAGTAGCAGTAGTAGTAGCAGCAGTAGTAGTGGTAGTAGCAGTTGGATGAATAGTTCTAGTGAAGTTCTAGTAGAAATGGTAGTAGAAGCAGCAGTAGTGGTGGTAGTGGTAGCAGTATCAGTAGCCCTGGTAGTAGTAGTGGCAGAGGCAGCAGTAGTGGTGGTGAGTGGTAGCAGTATCAGTAGCCCTGGTAGTAGTAGTGGCAGAGGCAGCAGTAGTGGTGGTAGTGGTAGCAGTATCAGTAGCCCTGGTAGTAGTAGTGGCAGAGGCAGCAGTAGTGGTGGTAGTGGTAGCAGTATCAGTAGCCCTGGTAGTAGTAGTGGCAGAGGCAGCAGTAGTGGTGGTAGTGGTAGCAGTATCAGTAGCCTTGGTAGTAGTACTGGCAGAGGCAGCAGTAGTGGTGGTAGTGGTAGCAGTATCAGTGGCCCTGGTAGTAGTAGTGGCAGAGGCAGCGGTAGTGGTGGTGGTGGCAGGGGTATCAAGAAGCCCTGGTGGTGGTAGTGGCAGAGGCGGCAGAGTGGTGGTGGTGGCAGCGGTATCAGTAGCCCTGGTGAGTGAGTGCTGGCAGGGGCAGCAGTGGTGGTGGTGGTGGTGGCGGTATCAGAAGCCCTGGTGGTGGTAGTGGCAGGGCGGCAGAGGTGGTGGTGGGGCAGCGGTATCAGTGGCCCTGGTGGTGGTGCTGGTGGCGTGCTTGGCAGCAGTAGCAGCAGCAGCGGTAGGTAGTGGTAGTGGTAGTGAGTAATGGTAGTGAGTAGTAGTGGTAGTAGTAATGGTGGAAGTAGTAATAGTAGTGGTAATGGTAGTAGTGAGTAGTAATGGTAGTAGTAGCAGTGGTAATGATGGGAGGAGGAGGGCAAGAGACGCAGTAGTAGTAATAGTAGTGGTAGTAGTAGCGGTAGTAGTAGCAGCAGTAGTAGTGGTGAGTAGCAGTTGGATGAATAGTTCTAGTGAAGTTCTGTAGAAATGGTAGTAGAAGCAGCAGTAGTGGTGGTAGTGGTAGCAGTATCAGTAGCCCTGGTAGTAGTAGTGGCAGAGGCAGCAGTAGTGGTGGTGAAGTGGTAGCAGTATCAGTAGCCCTGGTAGTAGTAGTGGCAGAGGCAGCAGAGTGGTGGTGGTAGGGCAGCGGTATCAGTAGCCCTGGTAGTGGTAGTGGCAGAGGCGGCAGTAGTGGTGGTGGTGGTAGCGGTATCAGTATGTGGTAGTAGTACTGGCAGAGGCGGCAGTAGTGGTGGTGGTGGTAGCAGTATCAGTAGCCCTGGTAGTAGTGGTGGCAGGGGCAGCAGTAGTGGTGGTGGTGGCAGGGAGTATCAGAAGCCCTGGTAGTAGTAGTGGCAGAGGCAGCAGAGGTGGTGGTAGTGGCAGCGGTATCAGTAGCCCTGGTAGTAGTGAGTGGCAGGGCAGCAGTAGTGGTGGTAGTGGTAGCGGTATCAGAAGCCCTGGTGAGTGGTGGTGGCGGGGCGGCAGTGGTGGTGGTGGTGGTAGCGGTATCAGAAGCCCTGGTAGTGGTGGTGGCGGGGCAGTAGTGGTGGTGGTGGCGGGGTATCAGAAGCCCTGGTAGTAGTGGTGGCAGGGGCAGCGGTAGTGGTGGTGGTGGTGGTGGCGGTATCGGTGGCCCTGGTGGTGAGTGGTGGCAGAGGCGGCGGTGGTGGTGGTGGGGGCAGCAGTGGTGGTGGTGGTGGTGGCGGTATCAGAAGCCCTGGTGAGTAGTGGTGGCAGGGCGGCAGTGGTGGTGGTGGTGGCGGGGTATCAGAGCCCTGGTAGTGGTGAGTGGCAGGGGCAGCAGAGGTGGTGGTGGTGGCGGCGGTATCCAGTAGCCCTGGTGGTGGTGGTGGCAGGGCAGCAGTGGTGGTGGTGGTGGTGGCGGTATCGGTGGCCCTGGTGAAGTGAAGTGGTGGCAGGGGCGGCAGGGGAAGTGGTGGTGGGGGCAGCAGGTATCAGTGGCCCTGGTGGTGAAGTGGTGGCAGGGCAGCAGTGGTGGTGGTGGTGGTGGCGGTATCAGTGGCCTTGGTGGTGGTACTGGCAGGGCAGCGGTGGTGGTGGTGGTGGTGGCGGTATCAGAAGCCCTGGTAGTGGTGGTGGCGGAGGCGGCAGTGGTGGTGGTGGTGGTAGCAGGTATCAGAAGCCCTGGTGGTAGTGGTGGCAGGGGCAGCAGTGGTGGTGGTGGTGGTAGCAGGTATCAGTGGCCCTGGTGGTGAGTAGTGGCAGGGCAGCAGTGGTGGTGGTAGGGCGGCGGTGGTGGTGGTGGTGGTGGCAGTATCAGAGCCCTGGTGGTAGTGGTGGCAGGGCGGCGGTGGTGGTGGTGGTGGCGGGGGTATCAGAAGCCCTGGTGGTGGTAGTGGCAGGGGCAGCAGTGGTGGTGGTGGTGGTGGCAGTATCAGTGGCCCTGGTAGTGGTAGTGGCAGGGGCGGCAGTGGTGGAGGTGGGGCGAAGCAGCGGTGGTGGTGGTGGTGGTGGCGGTATCAGAAGCCCTGGTGGTAGTGAGTGGCGGAGGCAGCAGTAGTGGTGGTAGTGGCAGGGTATCAGAAGCCCTGGTAGTAGTAGTGGCAGGGCAGCAGTAGTGGTGGTGGTGGTGGCAGTATCAGTAGCCCTGGTGGTGAGTAGTGGCAGGGGCAGCAGTAGTGGTGGTAGTGGCAGGATCAGAAGCCCTGGTAGTAGTAGTGGCAGAGGCAGCAGTAGTGGTGGTAGTGGCAGCAGTATCAGTAGCCCTGGTAGTAGTAGTGGCAGAGGCAGCAGTAGTGGTGGTAGTGGTAGCAGTATCAGTAGCCCTGGTAGTAGTAGTGGCAGAGGCAGCAGTAGTGGTGGTAGTGGCAGGAGTATCAGTAGCCCTGGTTGTAGTAGTGGCAGAGGCAGCAGTAGTGGTGGTAGTGGCAGGAGTATCAGAAGCCCTGGTAGTAGTAGTGGCAGAGGCAGCAGTAGTGGTGGTAGAGGCAGCAGTATCAGTAGCCCTGGTAGTAGTAGTGGCAGAAGCAGCAGTAGTACCAGTTGTAGTAGCATGATCCTATGTTATACGTCATGCAGCAATGTTTCATCTACTGTACATTGTCCTGTAGATTCAGTAAGTGGCAGTGGTATGCTATATTTAGACATGTGCTTGATTTAGACTGAATGATCTGAAAACTTCTACAAGCAGCTGATTCCAGAACCATCTGGGGAGCACTGTAGAATGTTCTAGAATTTTATTATTGTGTACATAATGCATAAGGGTATCTATATATTGCATCTCATCTCACATTACACTACTAGCAGTAGTAGTAGTAGTAGTAGTAGTAGTAGTAGTAGTAGTAGTAGGAGGAGGAGGAGGAGGAGGAGGAGGAGGAGCAGTAGTAGCAGCAGTCGTATTTGCAGTCGGAACTGTGCGACAAACAGTGAAAAACCGCACATAATGTACTTTCTCAGCTTTGATAACTACGTTATACTTGCAGGTAACTGCGCGATGTGAAGGTCGCTTGTCATAACCGGTACCACGTGGGACGATTGTTAAATAAAGATCATAGAACGTTCTCTGTTTTCTATTTTCGGAAGCGAGGATACAGTTATTTAGGAAACATTGTGGTGTTTTGGTGTTGCAAAGGACGTTTCATCAATAGTCTGAAGACAGCCCCAGTGAGCTGGCTGTTACAGTGCAATGCTCATATCGGCTATACTATTCGTATACCCGACCCCCATGGAATACCATTTGCATTGGTAATTTCCCTGAGCACCTGTGAAACATTCAAATATTCTTACATTACGCAAAATCTATAACCGTTCAAAGTACGCTGCTAAAAAGGCCCCTGTGCACTTTTGCGAATTGACAGGAATCAAAGAGAATCAGCAAGAATTTTTTTTACTAAAATTCGGGCCGCATTCGGGAGACAAATTTTTTTTTTTCAAGCTTTGTAAGAATGCCGTTTTACTGGCGGCTCCCAAATGTTATCTGACGTGTCAGTGACAGGTGACCACGCTATTATGCGATTTGGCGGTGTTCTGATGAAGTCAGGGCTCAGTTGAAGAGCATTCGTGACGCTCTGACTGTATTCGGGGTGTATTCGGGGTACATTCGAGCTGTATTCCAACTGCAATCGAAATATTCCGATACATTTAAAGAATATTCCACCAGAATTCCAGCTGCAACCGAGATACATTCGAGGCGCATTCGGAACATTCTGATAGGAATTTTGCCTTTACCATTCTCCCTCGAATACGTACAGAATATTTAGAATGCAGTTACAATGCAGTCAAAATGCAGTAAGAGTGCTTAGAATGTAGTTACAATCCACTTCAAATACCGTTCTATATTTTTCCACTCCGAATGTACCTCCAAAGTTTTGAACATGTTTCAAAACATTCGGGCATGTTACAAGAATTGACCCAAATAGTTGGAATGCATTCGGAATGCAGTAAGAAGTTTTAGGATGCAGTTCGAATTTCTAGGAATCTCCAGAAATTTTCATTCCCACAGCATTCCGGCTTATACCTGCTCAAGTGTACCGGGGGTTATTAAGGTTTACGTGCATTTCTTACATTCTCCGACGAATTGCGACCAGTGGAACTTCCATTTGCAACTTCCAGTCGCAGCTTTGTATATCTCATAAGTGATGTATGACTCCATTCTCTGGATTTCCGAATGATATACATCATTTCGGAGGAACATCGTGTTTGTTTACAACTGCCTAACTGTGGTACTCATATCGACTCTGACAACTGCATGCACACATGAGACAAATCAGCAATTATATAGTTAGGTGAGCGATAAGATTTTTAAATCAGTGGTCTACTGGTCCGTCGGTTGCCAAGGGTTGAAGTAACCTCCATGTTTGTTCAAGTTCCCCTCGGTCTTCGGGATTCGGGTTCATCCGTAGATGGCGCGTTCGTCAAACCGCGTTGCCTTCGAGACTGATGCTTGCTCTGTTGCAAAAGGTGTGTGTGCATGCATTTATGCGTGTGTATGTGTGTGCGTGCTTGTGTTTCTCTGTGTAGGGGTTTGGTGCGCCACTGCACCTCTTACTGCACCTACTGAAATGACAGGTGCATAGTCTGCCATAGTATCTGATAAGATAAAATATTCAACTGCAAATGACGCTCAAGGGGAAGAATTGCACTATTGGGTTACGAGTACATTCAAACAAGTATACAATAAAACGTCTGTTTCCGTTGAACAACATATCGGCCGAAGACACTGAACATGTCCAATGGGGAAGTTAGTGCGAGCTTGTGTATTCAAAGTGGATAAAACCTGATATAGGGAATGTCTTATGATGGACATAGCCCTGTACATGTAACCTCTCCGGGTTGACATTGACGCCTAGTCCTGTACATGTAACCTCTCCGGGTTGACATTGACGCCTAGCCCTGTACATGTAACCTCTCCGGGTTGACATTGACGCCTAGCCCTGTACATGTAACCTCTCCGGGTTGATATTAACGCCTAGCCCTGTACATGTAACCTCTCCGGGTTGACATTGACGCCTAACCCTGTACATGTAACCTCTTCGGGTTGACATTGACATCTAGCCCTGTACATGTAACCTCTCCGGGTTGACATTGACATCTAGCCCTGTACAGGTAACCTCTTCGGGTTGACAGTGACGCCTAGCCCTGTACATGTAAACTCTTCGGGTTGACATTGACGCCTAGCCCTGTACATGTACCCTCTCCAGGTTGACAGTGACGCCTAGTCCTGTACATGTAACCTCTTCGGGTTGACATTGACGCCTAGCCCTGTACATGTAACCTCTCCGGGTTGACATTGACGCCTAGCCCTGTACAGGTAACCTCTCCGGGTTTACATTGACATCTAGCCCTGTACATGTAACCTCTCCGGGTTGACATTGACATCTAGCCCTGTACAGGTAACCTCTTCGGGTTGACAGTGACGCCTAGCCCTGTACATGTAACCTCTTCGGGTTGACATTGACGCCTAGCCCTGTACATGTACCCTCTCCAGGTTGACAGTGACGCCTAGCCCTGTACATGTAACGTCTCCGGGTTGATATTGACGCCTAGCCCTGTACATGTAACCTCTCCGGTTGACATTGACATCTAGCCCTGTACATGTAACCTCTCCGGGTTGACATTGACATCTAGCCCTGTACATGTAACCTCTCCGGGTTGACATTGACATCTAGCCCTGTACAGGTAACCTCTCCGGGTTGACAGTGACGCCTAGCCCTGTACATGTAACCTCTTCGGGTTGACATTGACGCCTAGCCCTGTACATGTAACCTCTCCGGGTTGATATTGACATCTAGCCCTGTACATGTAACCTCTCCGGGTTGACATTGACGCCTAGCCCTGTACATGTAACCTCTCCGGGTTGACATTGACGCCTAGCACTGTACATGTAACCTCTCCGGGTTTACATTGACATCTAGCCCTGTACATGTAACCTCTCCGAGTTGACATTGACGCCTAGCCCTGTACATGTAACCTCTCCGAGTTGACATTGACATCTAGCCCTGTACATGTAACCTCTCCGAGTTTACATTGACATCTAGCCCTGTACAGGTAACCTCTCCGGGTTTACATTGACATCTAGCCCAGTACAGGTAACCTCTTCGGGTTGACAGTGACGCCTAGCCCTGTACATGTAACCTCTCCGGGTTGATATTGACGCCTAGCCCTGCACATGTAACCTATCCGGGTTGACATTGACGCCTAACCCTGTACATGTAACCTCTCCGGGTTGATATTGACGCCTAGCCCTGTACAGGTAACCTCTCCGGGTTGATATTGACGCCTAGCCCTGTACATGTAACATCTCCGGGTTGACATTGACATCTAGCCCTGTACATGTAACCTCTCCGAGTTGACATTGACATCTAGCCCTGTACATGTAACCTCTCCGGGTTGACATTGACATCTAGCCCTGTACATGTAACCTCTCCGGGTTGATACTGACGCCTAGCCCTGTACAGGTAACATCTCCGGGTTGACACGGACGCCTAGCCCTGTACATGTAACCTCTCCGGGTTTACATTGACATCTAGCCCTGTACATGTAACCTCTCCGGGTTGATATTGACATCTAGCCCTGTACATGTAACCTCTCCGGGTTTACATTGACGCCTAGCCCTGTACAGGTAACCTCTCCGGGTTGACATTGACATCTAGCCCTGTACATGTAACATCTCCGAGTTGACATTGACGCCTAGCCCTGTACATGTAACCTCTCCGAGTTGACATTGACATCTAGCCCTGTACATGTAACCTCTCCGAGTTTACATTGACATCTAGCCCTGTACAGGTAACCTCTCCGGGTTTACATTGACATCTAGCCCTGTACATGTAACCTCTCCGAGTTGACATTGACGCCTAGCCCTGTACATGTAACCTCTCCGAGTTGACATTGACATCTAGCCCTGTACATGTAACCTCTCCGGGTTTACATTGACGCCTAGCCCTGTACATGTAACCTCTCCGGGTTGACATTGACATCTAGCCCTGTACATGTAACCTCTCCGAGTTTACATTGACATCTAGCCCTGTACATGTAACCTCTCCGAGTTGACATTGACGCCTAGCCCTGTACATGTAACCTCTCCGGGTTGACATTGACGCCTAGCCCTGTACAGGTAACCTCTCCGGGTTGACATTGACGCCTAGCCGTGTACAGGTAACCTCTCCGGGTTTACATTGACATCTAGCCCTGTACATGTAACCTCTCCGAGTTGACATTGACGCCTAGCCCTGTACATGTAACCTCTCCGAGTTGACATTGACGCCTAGCCCTGTACATGTAACCTCTCCGGGTTGACATTGACGCCTAACCCTGTACATGTAACCTCTCCGAGTTTACATTGACGCCTAGCCCTGTACATGTACCCTCTTCGGGTTTACATTGACGCCTAGCCCTGTACATGTTACCTCTCCAAGTTGACATTGACGCCTATCCCTGTACATGTAACCTCTCCGAGTTGACATTGACATCTAGCCCTGTACATGTAACCTCTCCGTGTTTACATTGACATCTAGCCCTGTACATGTAACCTCTCCGAGTTGACATTGACATCTAGCCCTGTACATGTAACTTCTCCGAGTTGACATTGACATCTAGCCCTGTACAGGTAACCTCTCCGGGTTTACATTGACATCTAGCCCTGTACATGTAACCTCTCCGAGTTGACATTGACGCCTAGCCCTGTACATATAACCTCTCCGAGTTGACATTGACATCTAGCCCTGTACATGTAACCTCTCCGGGTTTACATTGACGCCTAGCCCTGTACAGGTAACCTCTCCGGGTTGACATTGACATCTAGCCCTGTACATGTAACCTCTCCGGGTTGACATTGACATCTAGCCCTGTACATGTAACCTCTCCGGGTTGACATTGACATCTAGCCCTGTACAGGTAACCTCTTCGGGTTGACAGTGACGCCTAGCCCTGTACATGTAACCTCTTCGGGTTGACATTGACGCCTAGCCCTGTACATGTACCCTCTCCAGGTTGACAGTGACGCCTAACCCTGTACATGTAACCTCTCCGGGTTGATATTGACGCCTAGCCCTGTACATGTAACCTCTCCGGTTGACATTGACATCTAGCCCTGTACATGTAACCTCTTCGGGTTGACATTGACATCTAGCCCTGTACATGTAACCTCTCCGGGTTGACATTGACATCTAGCCCTGTACAGGTAACCTCTTCGGGTTGACAGTGACGCCTAGCCCTGTACATGTAACCTCTTCGGGTTGACATTGACGCCTAGCCCTGTACATGTAACCTCTCCGGGTTGATATTGACATCTAGCCCTGTACATGTAACCTCTCCGGGTTGACATTGACGCCTAGCCCTGTACATGTAACCTCTCCGGGTTGACATTGACGCCTAGCACTGTACATGTAACCTCTCCGGGTTTAGATTGACATCTAGCCCTGTACATGTAACCTCTCCGAGTTGACATTGACGCCTAGCCCTGTACATGTAACCTCTCCGAGTTGACATTGACATCTAGCCCTGTACATGTAACCTCTCCGAGTTTACATTGACATCTAGCCCTGTACAGGTAACCTCTCCGGGTTTACATTGACATCTAGCCCAGTACAGGTAACCTCTTCGGGTTGACAGTGACGCCTAGCCCTGTACATGTAACCTCTCCGGGTTGATATTGACGCCTAGCCCTGCACATGTAACCTATCCGGGTTGACATTGACGCCTAACCCTGTACATGTAACCTCTCCGGGTTGATATTGACGCCTAGCCCTGTACAGGTAACCTCTCCGGGTTGATATTGACGCCTAGCCCTGTACATGTAACATCTCCGGGTTGACATTGACATCTAGCCCTGTACATGTAACCTCTCCGAGTTGACATTGACATCTAGCCCTGTACATGTAACCTCTCCGGGTTGACATTGACATCTAGCCCTGTACATGTAACCTCTCCGGGTTGATACTGACGCCTAGCCCTGTACAGGTAACATCTCCGGGTTTACATTGACATCTAGCCCTGTACATGTAACCTCTCCGGGTTGATATTGACATCTAGCCCTGTACATGTAACCTCTCCGGGTTTACATTGACGCCTAGCCCTGTACAGGTAACCTCTCCGGGTTGACATTGACATCTAGCCCTGTACATGTAACATCTCCGAGTTGACATTGACGCCTAGCCCTGTACATGTAACCTCTCCGAGTTGACATTGACATCTAGCCCTGTACATGTAACCTCTCCGAGTTTACATTGACATCTAGCCCTGTACAGGTAACCTCTCCGGGTTTACATTGACATCTAGCCCTGTACATGTAACCTCTCCGAGTTGACATTGACGCCTAGCCCTGTACATGTAACCTCTCCGAGTTGACATTGACATCTAGCCCTGTACATGTAACCTCTCCGGGTTTACATTGACGCCTAGCCCTGTACATGTAACCTCTCCGGGTTGACATTGACATCTAGCCCTGTACATGTAACCTCTCCGAGTTTACATTGACATCTAGCCCTGTACATGTAACCTCTCCGAGTTGACATTGACGCCTAGCCCTGTACATGTAACCTCTCCGGGTTGACATTGACGCCTAGCCCTGTACAGGTTACCTCTCCGGGTTGACATTGACGCCTAGCCCTGTACAGGTAACCTCTCCGGGTTTACATTGACATCTAGCCCTGTACATGTAACCTCTCCGAGTTGACATTGACGCCTAGCCCTGTACATGTAACCTCTCCGAGTTGACATTGACGCCTAGCCCTGTACATGTAACCTCTCCGGGTTGACATTGACGCCTAACCCTGTACATGTAACCTCTCCGAGTTTACATTGACGCCTAGCCCTGTACATGTACCCTCTTCGGGTTTACATTGACGCCTAGCCCTGTACATGTTACCTCTCCAAGTTGACATTGACGCCTATCCCTGTACATGTAACCTCTCCGAGTTGACATTGACATCTAGCCCTGTACATGTAACCTCTCCGTGTTTACATTGACATCTAGCCCTGTACATGTAACCTCTCCGAGTTGACATTGACATCTAGCCCTGTACATGTAACTTCTCCGAGTTGACATTGACATCTAGCCCTGTACATGTAACCTCTCCGAGTTTACATTGACATCTAGCCCTGTACAGGTAACCTCTCCGGGTTTACATTGACATCTAGCCCTGTACATGTAACCTCTCCGAGTTGACATTGACGCCTAGCCCTGTACATATAACCTCTCCGAGTTGACATTGACATCTAGCCCTGTACATGTAACCTCTCCGGGTTTACATTGACGCCTAGCCCTGTACATGTAACCTCTCCGGGTTGACATTGACATCTAGCCCTGTACATGTAACCTCTCCGAGTTTACATTGACATCTAGCCCTGTACATGTAACCTCTCCGAGTTGACATTGACGCCTAGCCCTGTACATGTAACCTCTCCGGGTTGACATTGACGCCTAGCCCTGTACAGGTAACCTCTCCGGGTTTACATTGACGCCTAGCCCTGTACATGTAACCTCTCCGGGTTTACATTGACATCTAGCCCTGTACAGGTAACCTCTCCGGGTTTGCATTGACGCCTAGCCCTTTACATGTAACCTCTCCGGGTTGACAGTGACGCCTAGCCCTGTACATGTAACCTCTTCGAGTTTACATTGACATCTAGCCCTGTACATGTAACCTCTCCGGGTTGACATTGACGCCTAGCCCTGTACAGGTAACCTCTCCGGGTTTACATTGACGCCTAGCCCTGTACATGTAACCTCTCCGGGTTGACATTGACGCCTAGCCCTGTACAGGTAACCTCTCCGGGTTGATACTGACGCCTAGCCCTGTACATGTAACCTCTCCGGGTTGACATTGACGCCTAGCCCTGTACAGGTAACCTCTCCGGGTTGATACTGACGCCTAGCCCTGTACATGTAACCTCTCCGGGTTGACATTGACGCCTAGCCCTGTACAGGTAACTTCTCCGGGTTGACATTGACATCTAGCCCTGTACATGTAACTTCTCCGAGTTGACATTGACATCTAGCCCTGTACATGTAACCTCTCCGGGTTGACATTGACGCTCTTGCTATAATTTGATAGAGGTGGGCAAGACATTTTGAAGGGAGTACGATTGCGACGAAAACCAGAGACAGGTTGTCATGCTGTGTATCTGGTCACTCCGAACTTGTCCACCAGCGAGAACCCGCGGTCACCAGATTAAACTCAAGCGGTTATTCTCTCTGTCTCGATCATTTGAAACCATACACATTTAAAAATGAAACAAATCTCCCAGTGTGTGTATATTACCTGATTTCCAAATGTCGATACTGCAAGTGTAATTGAATATGCGATATGTTTAGAAAATGGGTGTGTGGATGTTCGCCTTAGGCTGAAAGTGTTTGTTCATCATGATGAAGTCCAGGTTCGCTTCCCAAATATGTACAATATGTGATCCTGGATACATGTAGCAGATTGTGGGGAGCAAACCAGAATGACCTAGCCTACTGGGCCACCCGCGCCCTACATGTCGATAGTGTTACATGTCAAGGACAACGATCACGCATGAGGTAAATATATTTCAGTTTATTGAAAAAGTCTTCTTGGCGAGAGCAATTTTGGTATTTCTGTTAGGTGCAAATCCCTGGAAAGCAACAACCAAGCTGTCAAAATCTCAGGTTTCTTTGAAGAAAGCGTAACACAGGTAGTATATTATGTAAAACTTGTAATGTAAACATCGAGTCTGGACCAGACAATCCAGTGATCAACAGCATGAGTGAGTTTATTTTTACTCCGCACTCAGCAATATTCCAACTATATGGAGGCGGTCTGTAAATAATTGAGTCTGGACCAGACCATCCAGTGATCAACAGCATGAGGGAGTTTAGTTTTACTCCGCACTCAGCAATATTCCAGCTATATGGAGGCGGTCTGTAAATAATTGAGTCTAGACCAGGCAATCCATGAGCATCATTCCACGCAACTGGGATACGATGGCATGTGTCAACCAAGTCAGCGAGCCTGACCACCCGATCCCGTTAGTCGCCTCTTACAACAAGCATGGGCTACTGAAGATCAATTCTAACCCGTATCTGCAGGGGTCGATCACACAAGTGATGCCAAAGACAGACAAGTTTCGATGAATTAGGGTGTGGTAGCTTAGGCAGAACGTGAAATGTGACAGATTGGGCAGCTTGTGATATTTAGATTTGACCGGGCGTGCATGCACGTATGTGATGGCAAAATGTCAGAATTTGACACAGACCAAGATGTGACTGAATGAGACAGTATTTGATAAGATGTGACCGGTCGTGGTGAACTGTTGCCGGATGAAATAGGGCATGACAGACAGGACTCAGATAGGCGTGAGTGAGTGAGTATGGTTTTACGTCGCTTGTAGTGGTATTCCAGCAATATCGCGGCGGTTGGACACCAGAAATGGGCTTCACACATTGTACTCATGTGGGGAATCGAACCCTGGTCTTTGGTGTGACGAGCGGACGCTTTAACCACTACGCTACCCCACCACCCCTACTCACATAGGAAGGGTTGACACATGTCAGTAAGGATGGGGCAGGATGTGGCAGAATGTGACAAGAATGTCAAAAGCATTACCTATTAAAGTAACATACACACTAACTACCAGCCATCGCATTAGTCAAGTCATAATCAAGCCATTAACCAAAAAAAGCAGACAAGCCATTAACCAAGGCAGCAACCAGGAAATTTACCAAGGCTTCAGCGAAGGCATTAAAAGGCATTACTCAAGACATCAGCCAAGCCATTAACCAAGGCATCAATCAAGCCATTAACCAAGCATTAACCAAGGCATCAACCGAGCCATTAACCAAGACATCAGCCAAGCCATTAACCAAGGCATCAACCGAGCCATTAACCAAGCCACCAATCAAGCCATTAACCAAGCATTAACCAAGGCATCAACCGAGCCATTAACCAAGGCATCAATCAAGCCATTAACCAAGCATTAACCAAGGCATCAACCAAGCATGAACCAAGGCATCAATCAAGAGATTAACCAAGATTAACCAAGGCATCAACCAAGCATTAACCAAGGCATCAATCAAGCCATTAACCAAGCATTAACCAAGGCATCAACCAAGCCATTAACCAAGGCATCAATCAAAAGATTAACCAATGCATCAACCAAGCATTAAGCAAGGCATCAATCAAGCCATTAACCAAGGCATCAATCAAAAGATTAACCAAGGCATCAACCAAGCATTAAGCAAGGCATCAATCAAGAGATTAACCAAGCATTAACCAAGGCATCAGCCAAGCATGAACCAAGGCATCAATCAAGAGATTAACCAAGGCATCAACCAAGGCATCAGCCAAGCCATTAACCAAGGCAGCATGAACCAAGGCATCAATCAAGAGATTAACCAAGCATTAACCAAGGCATCAGCCAAGCCATTAACCAAGGCATCAATCAAGAGATTAACCAAGGCAGCAACCAAGCATTAACTAAGGCATCAATCAAGCCATTAACCAAGCATTAACCAAGGCATCAACCAAGCCATTAACCAAGGCATCAATCAAAAGATTAACCAAGGCATCAACCAAGCATTAACCAAGGCATCAATCAAGAGATTAACCAAGGCATCAACCAAGCATTAACCAAGGCATCAATCAAGAGATTAACCAAGGCATCAATCAAGCATGAACCAAGGCATCAATCAAGAGATTAACCAAGCATTAACCAAGGCATCAGCTAAGCCATTAACCAAGGCATCAATCAAGAGATTAACCAAGTCATCAACCAAGCATTAACCAAGGCATCAATCAAGCCATTAACCAAGCATTAACTAAGGCATCAACCAAGCCATTAACCAAGGCATCAATCAAAAGATTAACCAAGGCATCAATCAGGCATTAACCAAGGCATCAATTAAGCCATTAACCAAGCATTAACCAAGGCATCAACCGAGCCATTAACCAAGGCATCAATCAAGAGATTAACCAAGGCATCAGCCAAGCCATTAACCAAGGCATCAATCAAAAGATTAACCAAGGCATCAATCAGGCATTAACCAACCAAGCCATTAACCAAGCATTAACCAGGGCATTAACCAAGGCATCAGCAGAGCATTAACCAAGGCATCAATCAAGAGATTAACCAAGGCATCAGCCAAGCCATTAACCAAGGCATCAATCAAGAGATTAACCAAGCATTAACCAAGGCATCAGCCAAGCCATTAACCAAGCATTAACCAAGGCATCAACCAAGCCATTAACCAAGGCATCAATCAAAAGATTAACCAATGCATCAATCAGGCCATTAACCAAGGCATCAATCAAGCCATTAACCAAGGCATCAATCAAGCCATTAACCAAGCATTAACCAAGGCATCAACCAAGCCATTAACCAAGGCATCAATCAAGAGATTAACCAAGCATTAACCAAGGCATGAGCCAAGACATTAACTAAAGCATCAATTCAGGCAGAACCAAGGTATTTCTTATTACTGCAACTCGACTATACCCACCCAGCGTTTTGTCGGAATCGTCAATGAGAGTGCAATTGTACTTGATGTTACAGGGGCAACTCTTCACTAGACCATCGGGGCGGGCGTTGTTAGTGCTGTTGAAGTGGTCCATACGACAATCTGCAGAGAAGACGCCAACATACAGTACACAACATACTTCCTTGTATCTTCCTAACACAAATGACATTTCATTGGAGATATATATGAAATCGCTTGGAGAGTGAAAATAGTCAGTAATGCATTTCGATTCAGGAGCCAACCTGGAATTTCGTTATTCCCATTGATATACCTCCAGTACGTCCGACTTTACCTCAGTCCATTTATAAGATTTACCTGAGTCGAAGTGTCCCAGCTTATCACACACCCCGAGGTACACATCCCGGCCGGCCTCCCTCCGTCCGAAGCCTGGACCCTGATCATACTCAACGCAGCACTCGTCGTCGGCGCAGTCGCCCCCGTCGTTACACCAGTGAGGCACCGCTGCCCTCTCAGACGCCGACCTCATGCACATTCCTGAAGTAACAGTGTCAGCCAGGCGTCAGTATATCACATAAATCGAAAGCTCAACTTCAAAAGGAAGTCGGTGTTTACCGTGCACCAAAGGACCAGTCACAATCATGTAACCGTCAGTCGATTATCGGCCGCGGGTTAGTTTAGGGAACTGTGTTGTCCATCAATCGTCCCAGGCCATCAGAACAAGTTTCGATTTGCATATTTATGCAGTGTAAAGGACTTATCGTTTAACCTTGAAATGCTATATATTATGCGTAGATTTTACTCTGGCTACCTCTGAGATCCGACGTTTCAGTGAAACACCTCCCAGGTGGCGCTACACCTCGTCTCCCGAATGGCCCATCCGGTTCTGTCACGTGTACACAACATTCATCATCCGGGCAACCCGCGGAGGAAAAGCACCACTTTTGACTCCCGGGAGGGTATGGTCGCTGCAGCAACTGCAAGATATTACAGTGAGCTGGGAGAAAGTTTACGATTCATGTTCAATGTTAAAGATGAAGTTAAGTTTATTTATTCAGGGAAGTTGGAGACTTAGGACAAACTGACCTTGGCATTCTTGCCATGCCAGAGTATTCGGCGTCAGGGCAGGCCTCGTCTATTTGTATACAGTGCAACTAGTCGTTATAGATCTCTATACAGATGATGAGTGAGTGAGTGAGTTTAGTTGTACGCCGCACTCAGCAATATTCCAGCTATATGGCGGCGGTCTGTAAATAATCGAGTCTGGACCAGACAATCCAGTGAACAACAGCATGAGCATCGATCTGCGCAATTGGGAACCGATGACATGTGTTCACCAAGTCAACGAACCTGACCACCCGATCCCGTTAGTCGCCGCTTACGACAAGCATGGGTTACTGAAGATCACTATTCTAACCCGGACCTTCACGGGTATACAGATGATGGCGACACTGACGTTGAATTAGGAATCTATGATGACAGGTCATAGGTGTAATGGACGGATGAAGGTGAGCTGTATGCTTTAGGGCCCATGTTTTTACAGGGTCATGAACCACCAACCTGTAATTGCATGATAGCTGTGACGGGGTAATAGTTTGTTTTGGAAAACAAACCATGTATGATGTGTCTAATGTTCTAATCTACAAACATACTCTGGCGAAGTGAATCATACTCAGGCAATTTTAATCGCTAAAAACTGGGTGCCAAAAGTAGGTTGACGGACTAACTCTCCAGCTTAGTGGAGAGTTGAAATTGGTGGCATCGACATTATGAAGAGCTTCTCGACAGAATTATCGCCTTGGAGAGTGCCACAACAGGGGAGATAACCTTCTTAACGCCTGTTGAGACTTGGAAGAGACATGATACAGTGTTTCGAAACATTTGTACTTAAATACCCCTGAGACCAAATTGTCGATTCTGTAACAACTTGTAAAGTTAACAATGCTATCTCAGGTCTGGTTAACCTCTTCAGAGGACAGAAGGTAACAGACTATTGAAGACCACCCCTTCCCTTAATAAGATAAGGCAAATGTGGGCATATAATCAATGTCTTCACGCGATACACTGAAGAAGGAGAGGTCAACTAGTTTACGATTGATCGTTCATGAAGGTCGTTCTTGATGTCGACAAAATGGACATCAAGGCAATATGCTGGAGCGTCTGCTTGAGTGCGTTAAGTGCTCCGCTTTCAACAGTATGCCAGCAATATTTCAGCAAGGAATAACAGAAACGGGATGTACATGTTGTAGCCAAGTGGGGAATAGAACCGGACGAGCGAACGCTTTTACCACTAGGCTACCCCACTTTGTTTCAAATCTACAATTGGCTACCTCTGAATGCAACAGGCTGCACTGCGTGAAACTGAATGAATTATATCACATAAAGCTTAAGATCCTATATATACCATATATACTATATTCATCTATATACTATAGAAGCCGTGGAGTAGGTTAGTGTCTAAACCGTTCGCTCTTGAAACCGAAGACCTGGGTTCGATGCCCCAAATTGGTACAATGTGTGAAGCCCCTTCCTGGTATCCACCGTTCCATTGCTGGAATATTGCTAAAAGCGGAGTAAGACTAAACTCACTCACTCACTCACTCACTCACTCATATACTATACTGTTCAGACCGACGTTAAATAGCGTCGCGTATGATGACCAGCTATACTTACCTGAGCTGTTTTAAACAGAAGTATTGCAAGTAATAACTTCAACATTGTGTCCTATAGACTGATAATGACAAAAAATAGAACGGAATCCAGAAGTCTTATCTGGTACAGTCGTCACACTTCTCACCCTGCACACCTACCTATACGACTCGAGACAATAATCGCGACCACCTGTTTGCTATCGTGGTTAATCGTTCCTTGATTCGAGAGACATGCACGATACAAATGGCAGTTATTTATTTTTCTTTCAAAGTAATTTATTCTCCGTTGTAAACCTTTACCATGTTTACTGTTGTAAAACTAATTTCGAAATGGAGGTTTTCTTTATTTCTGCTGAACGTTGCTTTGAACAATGCTTCCGTAAGCCTGTTCGTATTTTTTGTTTGTTCCCTACCTGTCATTCGCCCTGAATTTACATTCTTACATGAAATTAATACAAAGTTATGGTATCTCAGTTTTCCCCGCCGTTGTGGAAATTTACCCTCGTACCCTTCCTCGTTCACAAAAACAGGTCGGCTTGACCTTTCGTTATCTATATTTATTAGCCACTTCTTTCCAAGCAAAGCTAACCGATCTACATTAGAAAATAATTTGAACACTATTACCAAGTGATCTGAATGTTATTATTTATAGCAAGTTACACAATTGGTGAAAAAAATAATTATTCATTCATCATTATAATATACAACATCATATCCGTTTGGTTTTGGACCCGTGAATATCCGGGTTAGAATTGGTCTTCAGCAACCCATGTTTGTCGTAAAAGGCGGTTAACAGGATTTGGTGGTCAGGCTCGCTGACATGGTTGACACATGTCATCGTATCCCAATGACGTTGATCGATGCTCAATATGTTGATCACTGGATTGTCTGGTCCAGACTCGATTATTTACAGATCGCTGCCATATAGCTGGAATATTGCTGAGTACGGCGTTACATAGAGAATCTCACCCAAGTGTCTTCTGATATCAATTATATCAACACGAGTTGATAAAGTTACAAATATCCGAGGCTTGCCGAGGATATTTTTACTTTATCAACGAGTGTTGATATATTTGATATCAGAAGACACGAGGGTGAGATTCTATATATCATCCAAAATCACTCTTCATTAATTTTCAATGAAAAATGTACATCTCTGAACATGGTACTGCCATTACACTTGCAGTGCAGCGATGTCATAGCATTGTGACGTCATCAAGTACATGACGTCATAGCATTGTCAGGGCATTGTACAAAATCTACTGTCAAAACGATATCTCCTAGGAGATATCGTTTGATCTCACACAAGCGATATCTCCTGTGGAACACAGTTTTGGATGATAAATAACCAACCAACCTGAGTTTATTAACAACCCAACCCGTTTGGTTTTGAATAAAAGCTAGAGGTGATGCGGATTTTAACTGTTTAACACTTTGGTGAAATACACAAGAAGGGACGTGGTGCTGACCAACCTAGAAACATTATCAGGTCTTACGTGTCTGACACATCCAAGTACGACAACACTGATCTGAACATTATCAGGTCTTACGTGTCTGACACACCCAAGTACGACAACACTGATCTGAGCATTATCAGGTCTTACGTGTCTGACACACCCAAGTACGACAACACTGATCTGAGCATTATCAGGTATTACGTGTCTGACACACCCAAGTACGACAACACTGATCTGCTGAAGTAGGTGGCAGTGAATCGGAAATAAAATTGGTTGTGCCGGAGAGGTGAATGTGATGTACCATTGTTTGGGATGTATATATTCAACACATTAAAGGAGATTACGAACGAAAACAAAACTTTTGATATATTGTAAAGGATATTCTAAAAGTCACATTCCGTGATTAAAACTGAACAAAAAGTTTGTAAAATAGCAATAAAAACACAAAAAAACGTACTCGTATTTCCGCCTATTACGGAAACACCCGACAGTTAATGAGCAGACTGGGGTATCACGTGACATGACATCATATGTGCCTATTGCTAATGGCTTCCTCTTTGATTTTACCTCACAACTTAACAGTGTCCGTGGATTCTGAAGCAGTAAAAGATGTTCTGATGTCATTTCTGAAACGGATGTTAGACCGTATCAATACGATCCGATTTTACATCTTGCAAGAGAATCTTCCACTGAAGATGAAGAAGACAAATCAAGCGAAACGGAGGCACCACTTGAGGTCAAAATAAATTTGAAAATAAAACAATATCATTCAACAAGAATACTACTTGTCAGCAACATGTGATATAGTTCCAACCAGCAAAACCAGCAAACCCAAATAAATGACCAGTCCCTAAGCTTTTCTTTTTTTGAAATGTGATTGCAGTTCCTTTTGTGTCAAATGGCTGACTGTAGGGTGTCTGGGATTCAAAAACAAAATAATTATGCTTCAGACGGGGGAAAATAGAAATTATCTGCTGCAAAAATTACACTGGAATTATTTTGTTGAAATAAATAAGGATCCTAGTTCTCATTAATAAGTCTCCATACAAGATCCCAGCCTGGTCGAGCAGAGATAATATTCGCGACGCAGATAAGTTATTCATCGAAAACTGGTGAATTATAAAATACTAGTAGTATGACATCTTGTCAGCCAATGAGAATACAGAACAAATTTCACGGCCAACACTACTGACAAATAGCGAGTCTGGTGCCGACGTGCGTAATTGGACAAAATGGAAAACAATGAAAGCAACAAGTACTTCATGATTTGCCGTTGTATTCGGCAACGTTTCGGGTGGACTGCAGCATTTAGGGCTCCAAACCGAAAAGAACGTTAGAGAGAAACATTTTCAAGCTCATGTGAAATCTCTTACAGATTTTGATAATATATATATATCTCATGGGTACCAGTCGAACTGCCCGAGCTACAAAATGAGCCAGCAATTTGGTCATTCATTCTAATTTGGTCAAATTTATTTAAAATGATTAAATATATGCCGTAAATGCATAGTTTATTGTCAACTTTTATATTATGTTCTTCATTTAAAAGTTATTAGGGAGTAATATTTCTGAAAAATGTTCCATTAGTAAACTCATACCTATGTATATACTTATATATGAAGAACATAATATCAAAGTTGACAAAAATTTAATCTAATTTATGTTAAAAATACCACTGACAGTAAGTTGTAACATGTGTGCATGTCTCTTTCACATGCGTCCGACTCGGAATGATCGGAGCATTTCTCCTGCCTAAATCTGTCTCTTTACTTGGAAAACGGAAGAAATGGTGGCTCTTTCCATTGTTCGATGATTACGTACATCCCCAGGCAACGGAATACACCATCGTACCATTTACAAAAAAGACAGAAACAACACGATTTGTGTTACTGTAGCGCTTGGTCTTTTGCAATATGGCGGACGCTTGTCACATATCACGTCACGAGCGGAAAGGTCACGTGAGTTCCAGCGGAATATGCATAATGGCCGAAGCTCAGATAACAGAAACTGTTTTCGCGATAAAATATAATATACCATATTTTTGAAATAAAAATTGGGGTATATGTTTCTGATGACTTTATCTTTCACCCAACAAATTTTTGCAATTGTCTAGTATTTTCCTTTAATACCCTGATTAACCGGACCTTGAAACTCAAGAAGCCTCGTTAATCCGAAGGAGCCAAGTCTATATTAAATCGAAGAGTATTGCATGTTCATTATTCGAAAATGCGGACGTTATATTTTTATACGTTCCTGACGATTCCACTGGGAACTCTATGTCATGGAAGAAACCTTTGCAGAAAAAGTTATAATATTCCAACTTTCGAAATAGGGACAGCTATATAGTTACAAGGTAATACATAGAATGCATTATAGGGCCACTGATCCAGAGCAATTTCCGTGGACTAGTTGTTGCTTTTGTTATTGTTTTTCTCCAGGGAGTACCCGGATGATATCCCAGAATTCATGACTGGTTCGTTACCTCTGCTGCGTCACCCTCATGCGCAATTGATAGTATAAGTATAGACTGATCAACAAAGATGAAATCTTTTTTTACTCGATAATCTTATGTTGATTTTGTTGTAAAATTATGTAGACTTTGATGAATAATTTGGTTTCTTATAAAAAAAAAATATTCACTTTGATAAAAATGCTGATTTTGGTGTAAAATTTTGATTTCATAGTAATGTTGACTTTATAAACATGTTAACCTAAACGGATGCAGAATTTGATTTAAAATAGTTTGACCTTGAATCTGGTGAGACGCCTGATATAATAGCATTGTTTTGAAAGTAAGGCTAACTAAGTACATGGGGAGTCTTGGGGAGAGTAGTGAGCGTGGGTTCACTACTAGTCAATCTTAATGTTGTATTAAATGGCATTATTTTGATAACAAAAACATTTTTAAGTTTAACCATCTGCCAGTGGTAAAAAATGTTACGACTGAAATAACGAAGTCAATGTATGTCTTTATATTTTGCCTTATTATCCTAATTAGTTTATTATCATATTTGTATGCATTTTGAAATTGAATAAAATGCACACGATCTGCTTATAGATAAGGACAACAGTTTATGGATGAACAACTTCTTTATTCGGATGATGCGACGTTTCGATACAGATTCTTGTATCGTTGTCAAGCAAGTATGAGTAGACTGAAACAGGTTGAAATATATATCTGCTTATACATAGTGAATTTATAACATGACTGTAATATCTAGACATCTTATAGATTGCCAGCGTGTATCATATTTCACACACACGCCCTAAGTGCGACCTAGTGTATGTTGTCTGTCTCATTACACTTCACGGCAAAAAAAATGATTCTGTTGAATGCCATAACAAAAAATTAAAAACAAAATGCAAATGTTAAAATTAAAACAGACTAAAGTTACAGCAACAATGCCAGGCTATTACCTTGTCCGGGGAATGTATATATCAATATCCACATAAAGGAATGAGATGCCATTCATCTGCAGCTGACAAAGAATCCTGTTCCATGGCATGTATCTTTTAACAGTCTAATATACGAAAAAGTGATATATCGATTCAGGTTTTTCATATTGGTGTATAGTCCCATTGGTCACCCAAGATAGCACACCTGGCAACTAATTGCATGATGTCCACCATTCTAAAGTAATTTAGATAGCCAATAATGAGCAATCAATCAATGTATTGGCGGTTAATCCTTTGAAAAAAGGACGTTGTTTTTTACAAAGAGGCTTTACGACAGGGTGTATTCAGTATAGATTAGTAAATCTACATACATAAACACTACCTTCAGGCAAATCCTCTGTGCAGGATAAAAGCAATTAATCAATCGGCGTGTTATCGGTTAATCCTTTGATCGATGTTTGTTTTGTAACTCAGCTGTTATTTTCTCTTACTGCACTTCCATGCGCATATTACATAAGATGAAATACATTTGCCACATTAGACCTATATTTATAATGATGAGTATTTACTCCAGACACAAGAAATGCCAAATGGGAACCTTTGTCGGGTAATCTGAGTGGTGTTATCACTAATTATACCTGTTATAAATTCATTAACTGACCATCAAGTGAATGATGACAAATAACATGTGTAGGTTTACCACCAAACAAGGGTTACAGCAATTCGTGATTAGACTGTTGGCTGGAAACATTAACCGCTCTGGATCAGTGGCCCTTTAAGTTGGTTTATAGTTCTTATGAGCGGCAGTAAATGACTGAAGCGCTGGTAAAATATATCCCTAAAGCCCGGGCGTGTGCACAGATCTTAAGCCGACAGGTTGTCGGAGGAAGTACCGATGTAGATATTTAATGTTTTGCACAAATGAAACCCTCTAGATCCCCTAAACTTCCATTTCATGAAGTTATCTCGATTACTTTCTCACTCATTTGTTCAGATCATGTTGCCTCTCGGCGGGTTTAACTTGGATCATATCAGTAACTAAATTATCAAATGCGCAGGCCAGAATGAGTAATTAAATATGACTTGCCTGCTTTATGGGTTGTTTAACGCCGTTATCAGAAGTATTCCAGTTACATGGCCACGTGATGTATACAATCCAGTGGTTGATATTCTGACCAACAATCCACACCGACAGGTCAAGGTCATACAAACATTCAAGCTACAGAGCCTCTGTCACCAACTGATCAATAATGTATGGGATAGCTGGCCCCGTTTAATTCCGTATTTCTTGAGACCCGTTTGAATCTGTAGTATCTTGAGGCCAAATGCCTAATGAACTTCAGATTTAAGGGTGTCGTGCCATCCTAATAGTATCCCTTACATACTACATGGCAGATAGTCGTGTAACTAATAGTATCCCTTACATACTACATGGCATATAGTCGTGTAACTAATAGTATCCCTTCCATACTACATGGCAGATAGTCGTGTAACTAATAGTATCCCTTCTATACTACATGACAGATAGTCGTGTAACTAAGGGTATCCCTTCCTTACTACATGGCAGATAGCCGTGTAACTAATAGTATCACTTCTGTACTACATGGCAGATAGCCGTGTAACTAATACTATCCCTTCCATACTACATGGCAGATAGCCGTGTAACTAATAGTATCCCTTCCATACTACATGGCAGATAGCCGTGTAACTAATAGTATCCCTTCTGTACTACATGGCAGATAGCCGTGTAACTAATAGTATCCCTTCCATACTACATGGCAGATAGTCGTGTAACTAATAGTATCCCTTCCATACTACATGGTAGATAGTTGTGTAACTAATAGTATCCCTTCCATACTACATGGCAGATAGTCGTGTAACTAATAGTATCCCTTCCATACTACATGGCAGATAGTCGTGTAACTAATAGTATCCCCTCTATACTCCATGGCAGATAGCCGTGTAACTAATAGTATCCCTTCTATACTACATGACAGATAGTCGTGTAACTAAGGGTATCCCTAAGCTGGGCCCCGTCTCGCATAGCGCGCGCAAAGGGAGCCGGGAACCAGCTTAAGGGTATCCCTTCCACACTACATGGCAGATAGTCGTGTAACTAATAGTATCCCTTCCATACTACATGGCAGATAGCCGTGTAACTAATAGTATCTCTTCCATACTACATGGCAGATAGCCGTGTAACTAATACTATCCCTTCCATACTACATGGCAGATAGTCGTGTAACTAATAGTATCCCTTACATACTACATGGCATATAGTCGTGTAACTAAAAGTATCCCTTCTATACTCCATGGCAGATAGTCGTGTAACTAATAGTATCCCTTCCATACTACATGGCAGATAGTCGTGTAACTAATAGTATCCCTTCTGTACTACATGGCAGATAGTCGTGTAACTAATAGTATCCCTTCTGCACTACATGGCAGATAGTCGTGTAACTAATAGTATCCCTTCTATACTACATGGCAGATAGCCGTGTAACTAATAGTATCCCTTCTGTACTACATGACAGATAGTCGTGTAACTATTAGTATCCCTTCTATACTACATGACAGATAGTCGTTTAACTAAGGGTATCCCTTCCTTACTACATGGCAGATAGCCGTGTAACTAATAGTATCCCTTCCATACTACATGGCAGATAGTCGTGTAACTAATAGTATCCCTTCTGTACTACATGGCAGATAGTCGTGTAACTAAAAGTATCCCTTCCTTACTACATGGCAGATAGCCGTGTAACTAATACTATCCCTTCTGTACTACATGGCAGATAGTCGTGTAACTAATACTATCCCTTCCATACTCCATGGCAGATAGTCGTGTAACTAATAGTATCCCTTCCTTACTACATGGCATATATTCGTGTAACTAATACTATCCCTTCCATACTCCATGGCAGATAGTCGTGTAACTAATAGTATCCCTTCCTTACTACATGGCATATATTCGTGTAACTAATAGTATCCCTTCTGTACTACATGGCAGATAGTCGTGTAACTAATAGTATCCCTTCTGTACTACATGGCAGATAGTCGTGTAACTAAAAGTATCCCTTCCATACTCCATGGCAGATAGTCGTGTAACTAATAGTATCCCTTCCTTACTACATGGCATATATTCGTGTAACTAATAGTATCCCTTCTGTACTACATGGCAGATAGTCGTGTAACTAATAGTATCCCTTCTGTACTACATGGCAGATAGTCATGTAACTAATAGTATCCCTTCCTTACTACATGGCAGATAGCCGTGTAACTAATAGTATCCCTTCTGTACTACATGACAGATAGTCGTGTAACTATTAGTATCCCTTCTATACTACATGACAGATAGTCGTTTAACTAAGGGTATCCCTTCCTTAATACATGGCAGATAGCCGTGTAACTAATAGTATCCCTTCCATACTACATGGCAGATAGCCGTGTAACTAATACTATCCCTTCCATACTACATGGCAGATAGCCGTGTAACTAATAATATCCCTTCCATACTACATGGCAGATAGTTGTGTAACTAATAGTATCCCTTCCTTACTACATGGCAGATAGCCCTGTAACTAATAGTATCCCTTCTGTACTACATGGCAGATAGTCGTGTAACTAATACTATCTCTTCCATACTACATGGCAGATAGTCGTGTAACTAATAGTATCCCTTCCATACTACATGGCATATAGTCGTGTAACTAAAAGTATCCCTTCTATACTCCATGGCAGATAGTCGTGTAACTAATAGTATCCCTTCCATACTACATGGCATATATTCGTGTAACTAATAGTATCCCTTCTGTACTACATGGCAGATAGTCGTGTAACTAATAGTATCCCTTCCATACTACATGGCATATATTCGTGTAACTAAAAGTATCCCTTCTATACTACATGGCAGATAGTCATGTAACTAATAGTATCCCTTCCTTACTACATGGCAGATAGCCGTGTAACTAATAGTATCCCTTCTGTACTACATGACAGATAGTCGTGTAACTATTCGTATCCCTTCTATACTACATGACAGATAGTCGTTTAACTAAGGGTATCCCTTCCATACTACATGGCAGATAGCCGTGTAACTAATAGTATCCCTTCCATACTACATGGCAGATAGCCGTGTAACTAATAGTATCCCTTCCATACTACATGGCAGATAGTCGTGTAACTAATAGTATCCCTTCTGTACTACATGGCAGATAGTCGTGTAACTAAAAGTATCCCTTCCTTACTACATGGCAGATAGCCGTGTAACTAATACTATCCCTTCTGTACTACATGGCAGATAGCCGTGTAACTAAGGGTATCCCTTCTGTACTACATGGCAGATAGCCGTGTAACTAATAGTATCCCTTCCATACTACATGGCAGATAGCCGTGTAACTAATAGTATCCCTTCCATACTACATGGCAGATAGTTGTGTAACTAATAGTATCCCTTCCTTACTACATGGCAGATAGCCGTGTAACTAATAGTATCCCTTCTGTACTACATGGCAGATAGTCGTGTAACTAAAAGTATCCCTTCCTTACTACATGGCAGATAGTCGTGTAACTAAAAGCATCCCTTCTATACTCCATGGCATATAGTCGTGTAACTAATAGTATCCCTTCTGTACTACATGGCAGATAGTCGTGTAACTAATAGTATCCCTTCTGTACTACATGGCAGATAGTCGTGTAACTATTAGTATCCCTTCCTTACAACATGGCAGATAGTCGTGTAACTAATAGTATCCCTTCTGTACTACATGACAGATAGTCGTGTAACTATTAGTATCCCTTCTATACTACATGACAGATAGTCGTGTAACTAATAGTATCCCTTCCATACTACATGGCAGATAGACGTGTAACTAATACTATCCCTTCCATACTACATGGCAGATAGCCGTGTAACTAATAGTATCCCTTCCATACTACATGGCAGATAGTTGTGTAACTAATAGTATCCCTTCCATACTACATGGCAGATAGCCGTGTAACTAATAGTATCCCTTCTGTACTTCATGGCAGATAGTCGTGTAACTAAAAGTATCCCTTCCATACTGCATGGCAGATAGTCGTGTAACTAATAATATCCCTTCCATACTACATGGTAGATAGTCGTGTAACTAATAGTATCCCTTCCATACTACATGGCAGATAGCCGTGTAACTAATAGTATCCCTTCCATACTACATGGCAGATAGCCGTGTAACTAATACTATCCCTTCCATACTACATGGCAGATAGTCGTGTAACTAATAGTATCCCTTCCATACTACATGGCATATAGTCGTGTAACTAAAAGTATCCCTTCTATACTCCATGGCAGATAGTCGTGTAACTAATAGTATCCCTTCCATACTACATGGCAGATAGTCGTGTAACTAATAGTATCCCTTCTGTACTACATGGCAGATAGTCGTGTAACTAATAGTATCCCTTCTGTACTACATGGCAGATAGTCGTGTAACTAATACTATCCCTTCCATACTACATGGCAGATAGTCGTGTAACTAATAGTATCCCTTCTATACTCCATGGCAGATAGTCGTGTAACTAAAAGTATCCCTTCCATCCTACATGGCAGATAGCCGTGTAACTAATACTATCCCTTCCATACTACATGGCAGATAGTCGTGTAACTAAAAGTATCCCTTCCATCCTACATGGCAGATAGCCGTGTAACTAATACTATCCCTTCCATACTACATGGCAGATAGTCGTGTAACTAATAGTATCCCTTCCATACTACATGGCAGATAGTCGTGTAACTAATAGTATCCCTTCTATACTCCATGGCACATAGTCGTGTAACTAAAAGTATCCCTTCCACACAAAGCACTATGATAATATTTTACGTAACGACCGTACGACTCCTTGCCTATATACGTTGTACATGTATTGAGCCCTCACGGTCTGAACAAGGGTTGTTGTTTAGATAGATAATGATATGATCTGAGATAAGCAACAATGATCAGTCACAAAACATAACTGGTGTATTTGTGAACTCCCCGTCGATTTCACTACTGACCAGTCCCGGCCACTACTGACCAGTCCCGGATAAGATAGCTGACATAGTGCGAAAAAAACAGACATGTTGCCATTCGCTCTACTCTGTGTTGTGGTAGGTGTTTTGCAGATCTTATTTGATATATTATTTGTTTGTTCAAATCAAGTATTCAAGTATTTAAAACCATGTTAAAGCTTGCCTTCCAGACGATCATTTTTAGGACTATATGTATGTATGTATGTATGTATGTATGTATGTATGTATGTATGTATGTATGTATGTATGTATGTATGTATGTGTGTGTGTGTGGGTGCGTGCGTGCGTGCGTGCGTGCGTGCGTGCGTATGTAGGTATGTATGTATGTATGTATGTATGTATTATGTGCATGTACTCATTTATTTCGAGACGAATCTGATCTTTATGTTTTGTGAGGGTTTGTGGTTCTATGTTGATCTTATCTGATCACAAGTTAAATCATGGTATATATAAATATGGATAAAACCATTATGTTCCGCAGTACTTCTGCGTGTAAAGCTGAGTTAATAGACTCAGCAACCCATGCTTGTCGTAAGAGGTAACGAACGGGATCGATGGTGAAGCTCGCTGACTTGGTTAATTCTTATCATTGTACCCACATGCGCAGATCGATGATCAAGATGTCAATCTGCATTGTTTGGTCCAGACTAGATTATTTACAGACCACCGTCATATATCTGGAAATTGCTGAATGCGGCATTACACATCAAGAAAACAAACAAATAATCCAAGAGTATACAATAACTTGATTCGATCTGTTACAACAGAAAGGCTTTGAACTCTGCCGAATACGGCGTCAAAAACAAACATACAATAGACTTGTGTGGTTCCACTGCGTCCTAGCGTCTTGTGTGTCTCGGGTCACGACGCCAATCACTCGTTTCCCAGCTTCTGAATATTTCGTATCATTTTGTTTATTTGTTTGTTGTGTAACGCCGCACCCAGCAATATTCCGGTGTTCTGTAAGTAATCGAGTCTGTGAAACCCAGTGATCAACAGCATGAGCATCGATCTACCCAACTGGGATACGATAACATGTGTCAAAGATGTCAATACCGTTAGTCGCCTCTTACGACAAGCATGGTTGCTCAATTTTAACCCGGATCGTCACGGGCTAGCCACGAACTAACCACGTTCTTATTACCTCATCATTAAACAGATATATAATACACTTCTCTATTTTTTTTGTATGAAAGCCATCAGTAGGTGTGACAGTAGATACCTTGTCTCTTCCTAGCTGACGGCATGGGTGGAGGGTGTCCCCACGGGGTGTCATACTGGAGCTGAGTGTGGGGACAGGCAGTGTTGTGTGGGCGTCAACACCGTCTCCAGTCGTCGTGGTGCTGCTGCTCCCGGTGTATGTGTCGACATGGGTGTTGAAAGTGGAAGTAGGTGCAACAGACGCTGTGAAATGTAGTGACAGGGTACAACAGAATGGAAGGGTAATACATTTGAGAAAAAGAGGGGGGCGGTAGGGTAGCCTCATGGTTAAAGCGTTCTCTCGTCACCCTAAAGACCCGGGTTTCACCTCCCACATAGGTACGATGTGTGAAGCCCATTTCTGGTGTCTCCGGAAGTGATATTACAGGAATATTGCTAAAAACTTCGTAAAACCATACTATCTCACTCACTCACATTTGGCAATGGATGATGGTTCGATGGATCGCTAAGATCAGACTAATATTTCCCAAAGTAAACTCCTCTCTATGTTTCCAGGGTGCCATCTAGCATCTGGCTACGCGTGGCACAAACCACAGGGATTGGTCAAGTTGTGTCCTTGCAGAACGGGACTTATTTGTGGACCGATCAATAGTTACGACGAGTTTGGTCAAAAAGGTACGAAATCAAGAGAGGTATTGAAATATTAGCATATTAGCTATACAAATATTAACATAATGATATTAACAATAAAAATATTGATTTGACCGAAATCAATGCAGGACTATCAGAATTCGGAAGCTGTTCCTTCCTGCATTGGTTTAGCTGTAGGATTCGTTTAGCTGTAGGATTCGTTTAGCTGTGGGATTCGTTTAGCTGTAGGATTCGTTTAGCTGTGGGATTCGTTTAGCTGTGGGATTCGTTTAGCTGTAGGATTCGTTTAGCTGTAGGATTCGTTTAGCTGTGGTATTCGTTTAGCTGTAGGATTCGTTTAGCTGTGGGATTCGTTTAGCTGTGGGATTCGTTTAGCTGTAGGATTCGTTTAGCTGTAGGATTCGTTTAGCTGTGGGATTCGTTTAGCTGTGGGATTCGTTTAGCTGTAGGATTCGTTTAGCTGTAGGATTCGTTTAGCTGTAGGATTTGTTTAGCTGTAGGATTCGTTTAGCTGTGGGATTCGTTTAGCTGTAGGATTCGTTTAGCTGTAGGATTCGTTTAGCTGTAGGATTCGTTTAGCTGTGGGATTCGTTTAGCTGTGGGATTCGTTTAGCTGTAGGATTCGTTTAGCTGTGGGATTCGTTTAGCTGTGGGATTCGTTTAGCTGTAGGATTCGTTTAGCTGTAGGATTCGTTTAGCTGTGGGATTCGTTTAGCTGTAGGATTCGTTTAGCTGTAGGATTCGTTTAGCTGTGAGATTCGTGAGATTCGTATAGCTGTGGGATTCGTTTAGCTGTGGGATTCGTTTAGCTGTGGGATTCGTTTAGCTGTAGGATTCGTCTAGCTGTGGGATTCGTTTAGCTGTGGGATTCGTTTAGCTGTGGGATTCGTTTAGCTGTGGGATTCGTTTAGCTGTAGGATTCGCCTGGTGTAAGAAGGGTAACAGGGGCCCGTTTCTCAAAGCCCTCTTACCTGTACGACCACGTAAAGCAGGTCGTAGACCATCTCTTACTTTTTTACCCCGTTTCACAAAGACCTCGTATATTTACAGTGTACCGTAAACAGCCTAAAACTGACCCCGATTGACCTGTCGTAAATGCTTTAGGAGGTCGTAAACACTACAAAGATGGCGTCAACGATTATGGCACTGCACGAGATTAAAACGCGTTAACAAAGAAGACCTGAGAAATTTTGAGACAGGTCGAAGGTGCTCGACACTCTGGATGATGTCGACATGATGTCGAGATATAGATTTCCGAGGCATTTTTCTAAATCTAGGAGACTTTTGCGAAACGTGGGCCAGGTCCTTAGTAGTCTACGTGATCCAAAGAATTTGACATCCATGAAATTCTTGCCTTTAATATGCCTCAGCATTGTAATAATGAATACTTGGTTTGCGTCTAGTCTGAATACTAATGCATGCAATCAGGCCGGGTATAATCATGCTACCTAATGCTTCTAAACAAAACATATTAATTGGAGGACTTTAGAAGGCATTATTCTGTCAATGTCGCCTCAATACCATAAACTGGTAAAGGTCAAGGTATTTCCATAATATTCCTACTTGTAGTTGTTTATCTACCATGAGTGACCTAAACAGTGTATCATGTCGTTTTGTAATAATACCTATCAGTAACCTCATATATTGACATGTTTATATGCTCTCTGTTGAAGGTATCTGTTCCATCGGCTAGACACAAGCGACAAGACGACGATACACGTGTGACATAGCACGTGTTGTCATTTCTCCAGCAGTGCCAATCTGTTGTAAGATATTGAATCACGTGTCCTAAATACTCTTGGAAGATTTGTTTGTTTGTGTCTCGTTTCACGCCATATTCAGCAAATTACCAGCTCCATGGCGGTGGTTTGTAAATCATGTAGTCTGGACCAGACAATCCAGTGAGCAACTCAGGCACGATGTAATGCAAGTGTTGGGACCACTATACTTAATTCTAGACACTGTCACACAAGTGTTGGGACAACCATAGTTAATCCTAGACACTGTCACACAAGTGTTGGGACCACTATACCTAATTCTAGACACTGTCACACAAGTGTTGGGACCACTATAGTTAATTCTAGACACTGTCACACAAGTGTTGGGACCACTATAGTTAATTCTAGACACTGTCACACAAGTGTTGGGACCACTATACTTAATCCTAACACTTCTAGACCACTATAGTTAATCCCAGACACACTATAGACAAGTGTTGGGACAGCCATAGTTAATTCTAGACACTGTCACACAAGTGTTGGGACAGCCATAGTTAATTCTAGACACTGTCACACAAGTGTTGGGACCACTATACCTAATCCTAGACACTGTCACACAAGTGTCGGGACCACTATAGGTAATCTCAGGCACTGTCACACAAGTGTTGTGCCCACAACACTTTATCTCAGGCACTGTCACACGAGAGTTGGGCCACTTTTCATCTCAGGCACTGTCACACGAGTCCCACNAGTTGGGACCACTATCATTAATATGAATTAGAAATGTTGATTCGAGACAAGTGTATTTATCTTACCTCCATTTTAGAGTGTTCAGATCTGATGGGTTCACGTGATCGTGATTAAATACCCTGACAACGTGCATCTATCGAGGTACGACCAACCGATTAGTTACTTGACTTTAATGAAAAGTGTTTTCATAGTAAATGAATTCATAGTTGTTAGATAATCATACACTAGTTTGTTGTAAACAACAGAAGAAACCTGCTCCGATGTCCTGCTCGCTTCAATAATTCCGAATACGGTGTAAATCCTCGGCCACGCACCAGGGGATAGAAAAAAATGAATCTAACGAAATGCGGTGCAAATGAATTTACCCAACTTAGCAGATTAACTATATACAATCGGATAATATCCAATTTCACAGTAATAACTTTCATATATAAGTAAATGTCGTCAGTTATACAGCGCCAATGTACCACTGTATTGTCAGTACTTTAGTCGCCATTATGTTCGCACAACAATCAACAAGTCAAACCTCGCAACTGCGTGTCATATTAGAAAGAGAGCATTCGATTGAACACAGAATAATGATTGAATGACGATCTACAAACAAGTGTCACTGACGGTCACAGATCTACTGTTGACGTGAACCGATCGCCTTTCTCCGGGGGGCGATAAAGGAATGGCCCGTCGGTCTGAAAGCGAGAGTTTGTGGAGGTTATTGAGAAGATAATCGTTCGATCTCGAGTCTCGAGTCGCTAGTTTTGAGCAGCTTGCCGTTTGAGAGGGACTACACTGTTACACCTCGACCATGTTGGCGTGGCGGTATCCCAGACACTGGTGTTAGTGCTGTCTGTTTGAGTTCTATATTGTTAATACTGACAAATTTATGAATAACAACTTCTTTTATTTTGTGATTGCGACGTTTGGGTACAGATTCTAGTACCTTTGTCTGGCAGGAATGTAACAAGAAGAGAAAGGGGTGCATATATACTGAGTGTAACAAAGAAAAAATTCTTCTCCCAACTTCTAAAATGCCACTCAAAGAAGTTATACATTGTTTGACCCCGATCGAGTCTTCACCTGACAATCCTATGATAGGCACGATGAGTATCGATCGATGACATGAAACGATGACGCTTACGAAGCTGATCACCCGATACCGTTAGTCAAGTCTTACGACAAACATGGGTTGCTGAAAACCAGTTCTAAACCAGATCTTCGCAGGGAGGTGGTTGGTTGTGTGTGTGCCAGGGTTAGGTGATTATATGATCGATCATGACGACACATATTTCCACGTGTTACTATATTACAGTGACGCGTGTGTGTAGTATGAAGGTAGCGGAATAAGTGGACTGACGTCGCAATGGCGTGAAGATAGATGTGTTGCGTTACACGTCGTTTTGGACAGTACATGCGTTCCGTGTGGAGGTTCTAGGCGATGCACGTCATACTCGTTTACTTAATCGATGAAATCCACAATATTTTGCTGACAAATGAAGGATTTAAGTAAGTGCGAATGTGGCGTTTGAGCGCACTATCATCCTATCAAAGGTAAGGGACGTAACTATGTACGACATTGAGGACATGGGGTCAGTTATACAGTTTCGCCAAATGTATCGACCGTATAGTTGAATTTAGTATGAGCATTAATGTATTTAGATGGCTGTCCCAGTTTAGAAAGGATATATGTTATGGCCTTTGTTAGTGCAAGTTACCTTATCGACTGATAAATAGCAACGAGTGGAAAGTTGATTGCATAACTTGGGCAGATTCCCTGGCCTTGGCCTCAAATGAAGATATTGTATATGAAAACAAAGAATAGAAGGAATTACCTCAAAGATCAAATGCCAATTGAAGACTTCCCTGTAAGCAAGAGCGCTGTATCTACAAGGCCGTACCAGTGCGGTCAGACGGTGTCTAGGGGGACTGCTCCCTGTCATCACGGCTAGACGGTAGAACGGTAGCGGGCGAGCAACTTAATGGCTGCCTAGTGAGCGCAAGCTTTACATTTCGCTTTTCGTAGTTAACCGTAAACTGCTTCGAGGGTGATCTAACCCTTGTAAGGTAAGTACATGTAATTACGTCATGTTCACACATAACAGTCAGAAGCTATCTGATGTTCTCAATTACGTCATTGAGTTTTGGTGTTGTTTACAATAAATACATAACAAAGTGTTTCCATTTTACCCAGATGTATTATCTTTACTACTATGTATGAAATATACGTACAGGCACAAAATAGAACCCTTTCAGAATATGATAACATATGTTAGTTGTCAAAAGTATATATGATCACTTTGTATGGTTACCTGTTGTTACTGTTGCTGTACACTGAAACAGTGGGGTGTTGTGTTATCGCATGTTATGTTATCAACCGTTGAGTTGACAGTTGTCGTTATCTAGAGTCAATTCACCCTTCCGTGCTCCGTGGTGGTATTGCAGGGTTGTAGAGAGTGCTGGGTTTAGGTGTTGTGGGCGGACATATTGCCTGCATGGTATTGATGTTATATCCACATCATGTAAACAATGTCATGCAATGATCTGTACTTATGTAGCTACCCAATGGCCTACACATTCATATCATCATACCAGCCTACCCATTGCCTACTCATTCGTACTACTCTACTGGCCTACCAATTGCCTACGCATTCATACCACCATACCGGTCTACCCATGTATTCCACCCCACCCACCCACCCATTACTTACACATTCATACCACCATACCGGTCTACCCATGTATTCCACCCCACCCACCTACCCATTACTTACACCTACCAACCTACCACCCTACCAACCTACCACCCTACCAGTAGCCTACACATACAGCTAAAACGACGGTATTCTTACTCCTTCGTCACAACAATCTACTCCGAGACGCCGTGTCCCTCATATCACAGAATTTGACATCCATAATTGTTCATCCTGTATGTGATCACATCTAAATGTCATTCAAAGATCTTAAACATACACCTGACAGTCGTTATATAAACTGTTCATACCAAACTGAGTGACTCATTTAAACATGACAGATATGTCATGTACCCCAGATCTTAGATGAACATCTTATAGAATCCAGAGAAACTGATATAAACACCATCAGCACATTACTACAAGTATCAACGTTCTCGCCAAGGCTTGCTTCCAGTAGCTACCGAAGTGTATCCACGCGTGACCTGACCTAAACACGTGTAAATATTGCTTGTCAATGCCGAGATTGTCAACACACTTGTAAACAAATCTAGCGGTATTATAAGTTTACCATTGTCCACGGCTATGATTTAGGAATTCCTCACAGTTCTGATTGGGGGATATCCGTCTCGGGTGTGTACACGACAGGCTACTTAATATGTTAATGGGCGTGTCGGGTTACACCAATCGAGCTTGATGTAGATTCGATACGCATATTAGTTACCAGGTGTAAAGAATGTAAAAAATACTATTTTCATATCCCAAGTGGCTTTGATTACATGCCAGGGTTTTCCATTTCATCTGACACATATATATATAGTTACTTTACACAGGTTGGTCCCAAACATTCAGATCGGTAGGTTGAAAAATGAAACATTAAAAAAGTGTTATTTGGATTATTTATTTTCATTCCTGGAAAGGTTAATGAGATACAGGAAAACAAGGATAATTCGCGATTTGTTATAATTCGTAACGTTTTGGATTTTGGGGGGAAGGTTTCAACAACATTAAAACCTCGTAAATATTAAAAAGTAAATATCGATATTGTTGGTGATAGCAAATGATGTTGTTTTTTCTGAATATTTTACGTGTTTGTGGTTGGAGCTTCGTAGGAAAAAATACTCTGGCTTTATTTGATTACATCTTGGCGATTTGAGTCAATCTGCTACAAAGTGAAAACACATGTTCTTGCTTACAGAGCTTTATCAGCATTGTGTTGATTATAAATAATCATTGATTGTACCGAAACTATGGGACATGTGTCAATGTTCATTAATCATACTATGAAACTACGAAAACAGGAGAAGTCGTACTTCACCCCAGACATGTACGATAGATCTCTGACAACACTGGCGTCATTAACAAAGATTGAATGAAATTATCATAAAGTTTGGATAAATTAAATTCTCTCTTGTGAACTATTTCCTTCTGTATAGCTGTTAATGTAAGCTGTTAATAAAACTCATCACAGCGTTTGATTGATACAACAGTTCTCACACGCATTGTTCCATAAGAAATTCTTTCCCGGCTGTTTATTAACCTGCTCGCGTGCTCGAACTGTAGACATTCCATATAAGGACTGCCCACCAGCCCTGTGCTGGCTGCGGGGTGACGGGGTGGATCGGGGGATCAGCCATGATGGAGTGGTTGACGTGGTCTATACAGCGTTGTGGGACGCAGCTCACCACATCACCCACTGGTTTGACTGTGCCAGACTCGATCTGCTATAGGCCGCCCTTCTATATCTGTAATATTGCTGAGTGCAGCTTTACCAATAAACAGACCTGTTGAAATGAGAGATTTGTACCAGTTGTTGTTGCAAAGCTTATTTTCCCCATCACAAATGATGTCGTAAATTTCAAGGCACTTTACGACAATTAATGATCCACGTTGTGGAATACGAGTGCCGCACCTTTAGTTATATTGTAAGATGTGACACTAAACGTATTTCTAACAAATAGTTTAAATCAAAAATAAAACAAGATACAACAAAAACCACTCAGTATAACCTGTACCACCGCTATTTTCAAGTACAGACTCCAAACGTTTAAGTGCGTTTAAACAGAGAATCAACTAGCCTACTTAACCTGTTTGCTGTGGTGCTAGACGTTCAATGCATTAACCACAACCGCGTACCCCTGTGGAAATAGTAAACCCATTAAACCCCAGTCAGAGAACACACATTGCTTGAACAGAAACCATACGACCACAAAGTCAATAGAAATGGTGTCGGGTTGCCCACTTACTGATTTGAGTTGCGCTACTGAGAACGTTGACAAGTGACGTGCTGTCGATTGCTGAATAGTGTAACTGACAGGGGCACATATCACATGCTGCTTTGACTTCCCCTAAAACCCAACAGAATACAATGAAAGCTCATTTGAAATTCATTTGTTTGTTGTTTAATGCTGCACTAAGCATATTTTCAGCTATATGACGGCGGTTTCTAAATAATTGGGTCTGGACAAGACAATCCAGTGATTGACAGCATGAGCATTGATCTATGCGCAATTGAGATACGATGACATGTGTCAACCATGTCAGTGAGTCTGACCACACGATCCGATGGTCGCCTCGGAAGGATGGATTGCAGAAGACCAGTTCTAACCCGGACCTTCACAGGTTTCAGTTTGAGAAAAATATAAGAACAAAGTATGTGTAAATGTCAAGTGTTAATGTGATCTGCAGGCCCATGTATTTACTATATATCAAAACGTTATGAAAATGATTTCGATTTGACGCAGAAATAATAGATGCAAGTAATACTTGCTTTTGTTTGATATTGAAAGTAATTTTGGAAAGTCTACGCTTCCCTGGGAGAAAAACCCGGTAGATATCTGCTTGAAGTAGGATTAGTGACAACCATAGGATTATTCACGAATAGAATCCATCTCCGTATTTTTGTGAGGTCCTCTAGCTTTAGCGAAGCCTTGGAATTGATTTAATGAACGTGACAAGCCGCTCAGAGCATGAGAGCCATTGTCAGTCGTAAATATGAGTAGTTATGGTCTACTCCCATTTGTGAGAAGTCCCAATTGTGAGATTCCCAGTTATGAGACAGTGGAGTCGGTAATTAACAACGAAAACACACCATAATCCCCTGTCTGATAGAATGAATTCACCCTAGCTAATTACTGATTTGCTATGTAACTGAATCTTGTGGAGGTAACTTAATGAAACTATATAAGATAAATTGATTAACATACTCAGGTAAATGTCTTTAATAATTAAACACTTTGTGTAGGTAACTTCGTGATCAAAGAGAAATTAATTTACCTACTCAGATATACTCCGTCTCCCAAACTACAAGCTATAGTTTAAGAAATAACTCTGAAATAACACTGAAATTTACAGTCTAAATGCCACTTATGCTAAACCCTTTCTACCCGACACAATAAATTTATGGAATGCCCTACCAAATTCCAAAAGAGTCATGCAGTCTCAAAGACTTTTAAAACCTAATTACAAAAAAAACGAAAACAAGATTTATATTGATCTTAATTATGGCTCTTGTTTTTGTCAAAACGTTCATTGCTGCCTCAGGCTCGGATCTAGCGACCCAAACGCCGATAAGTATAACAGACATTTAATAGACAGTGCATGTTGCTCTTGTGGATATCAACTACCCGTTATAACCTGGATAATTTTTTGAACGGAAACAAAGAATTTACTCCTTGTGTAAACCAAAAAATAGTTGAATCCGTCCACGATTATATCATCAAGACACAACCTTCAAGTTTTCACAGGGATATACTGAAATTAACTCAACCTTCTCGTGATTGATTTATATTCCTACAATAGCTTGTTAGACACACACAACTGTAAGTCTCTAATTGTGACTACTTAGAGAATAGTTGTATTTGATATAATCTGTATATATTTATATGTACTTAAAAATATATTTATGCAATAGTCAATATCGATGACATCTCATTCTCCATTTCATTATATATTTTATGTTGCATGGGAGCGGTGTTAACATAAGCCTTAGTACTTCACCAATCCCAATTCATTTTCATAAATAATAATAAAATATGTTTAAACCAAAATGACTTTCAAACTTCATAATAGTCAATAAAAATGTGTTATCATAATTACATATTCTTCTGAACAAATAAAATATTCAATGAACTATGCCTCCTGTGGGTACTGGGCTGGGCTGATCCCACTTTCATTGTAGGGATGTGGAAACACCATCTATGTGCACTGAACCATTAATTAACGTGTCTCACAACTGGGAGTTCTCACAAATGGGAGGACACCGTTTCCTGATCATAATTGCGCAATTTCGTCTTTTTTACTAAAAGTGATAGTAAAACTGGGGATGCGAGCCCCTTGCTTCTAGGCATCCGACATACCACATTATTTGCATCTAGTTTAAACATTTTTGAGTCGTATCAATGTACACATCTGCTGCAAGTGAGTGAGTGAGTGAGTGAGTGAGTGAGTGAGTGAGTGAGTGAGTGAGTGAGTGAGTGAGTGAGTGAGTGAGTGAGTGAGTGAGTGAGTGAGTGAGTGAGTGAGTGAGTGAGTGAGTGAGTGAGTGAGTGAGTGAATGAGTGAATGAGTGAGTGAGTTTACTTTTACGCCTCTCTTAGCAATATTCCAGCAATATCGCGGCGGGGACACCAGAAATGGGCTTCACACATTGTACTCATGTGGGGAATCGAACCCAGGTTTCCGGCGTGACGACCAAACGCTTTAACCACTAGGCTACCCCACCGCCCACTGCTGTATGTAATCAGGCTTGGTTTTTCACATAGAATATATTACCTCGAGTGCTCATGAGCTTAGATATTAAAACAAAGTACTGTTTTGTCACATTGAATTCAAACTTTGAGATATTTTACAGTCTAAGTGCAGACACACTATAGATCTCTATAATCTATCTGGCTGATGAAAGAATTAACCAGTTATCCAGTAATATTAGGGTATATACCCATATCAAATAGGAAAACAAACAAAATGTCAAAATAAGCCTATATATCACAACATAACTAATGTTCGAAATGCATTATTGCTTGTTTTTGGATTGTATAAATACAATGACACGCATGCACACCCGTACCGTTCATACAACATGGTACACAAACGACTCAACAGAATTAGTGGGACGCTTTGATGTTGGCAATGCCCAACTATAACCTAAGACGATAAGATTTAATTTCAGGTAACGATTTTATCCAATGTTACACCTGTTCCAGTTCAGTTTTATACGATTGGAACTTTAATAGTGGTGTTGACTTATGAAAATGGTGGCGTTACCTCATAGTAACATCTGTGTTAATCTGTTCATAACAGTGGTGCTAACTCATAGTAACATCTGTGTTAATCTGTTCATAACAGTGGTGCTACCTCATATTCACAGTTGTATTAACTCATCATAACAACAGCCTTGTCCGACCGTATCAGGCGGGACCAACTTTTACATAACCCTGCCCCCCACTTTTATCCATATTGGACCTTTCAACTAAGTGAGTGAGTGAGTTTTGTTTACGCCGCATTCAGCAATATTCCAGCTATATGGCGGCGGTCTGTAAATAATCGAGTCTGGACCAGACAAGCCAGTGATCAACAGCATGAGCATCGATCTACGCAATTGGGAACCGATGACACATGTCAACCAAGTCAGCGAGCCTGACCACTCGATCCCGTTAGTCGGCTCTTACGACAAGCATGGGTTACTGAAGGTTCATTCTAACCGTGACCTTCACGGGTTTTCAACTAAGTCCCAGCGGCGGACGCCTTCAACTTGTCGATAGCAGGGGATCCCTTGATCTGACTCTTTCAGCTTATCTGTAGAGGTGGACCCCTCAATGTACATATGACAATATTTTACTTGTCAATATTGGGGATATGGTTAATATATTTACTCCAGGGGCGTGTTCCATTTATCTCACGATTCCTATGTGCTCCGCCATGTTAACTTATAGATACTAGCGGGTACACTCTTTAACGTATACACGGCTGAGAATAAGGATCTCCTTTAACGGAGTGGGGAGGTCCAGAGTTGCGTCCCTTGGTGTGCCGGAACTGAAGATCGTGAGTTCCAATCCCGGTTGGTCCTGGTTAATGGTCCTTGGTTTGTCAACACCATAACCGCAGGTTTACCAATGAGGCAAACAACCTGAATCACTTCAAGACGTCCTTTATCAAACACAGGCGACTTCATATAACTGAATGAGGCGTCAGTGCAAAAGAGACCGATTCCGAGGACAACTGCTCCAAGCGCCAATCAAACCGAAATCTCCCATGCCCATTTAGTATGTATTATCACTGCATAAAACAATAGAGCACAGGTGGAAATATCACAAAACACGTTAAATACCTTCACAAAATGATGCAGGTATTAATCGATGAATATACAATCACGATGAAGTATGTGTCACGTTTTTCTTGTAAATACAGATCATCATCGATCTTTGACCACAGGCCACGACATTAACAAGAACTGCTTTGTCTTTTATCAGCAGGTGTCAGCAAGAGGTATATTCACACAGATCGATTTATCGACCCAGACGCAGCTGAGACGTGAGGGAAATCTCAAGCCGTGGAATGCCGTAGTATATTCCAGTGGTTGACACTCTCTAAACCGACTTAAAAATGTGTCCTATGCCACCATACAGAGACTGAGGCCTGACGTATGGGTAAACGGGCCTGGACTAAAGGCAGTAGAAAGAATATAGCATTTAGACTTAGTCTACTGGGTTCTCAGTCTGTTGAAAACATTCCTGTTGCTAGGACATCTGTTAGTATGCCTAGCGTAGGTGGCAAGTTCACTCAACCCGTCTCCCTGGAGGGGGAAAGACGGAAGGCGATGATGTTGGTCCACTCTGTGGAGAAGGACATCGTGCTCTTCAGAGACCGATACTTCCGGAAGCCCCAGAACAAGTTCAATGATGACACCAATGATTTTATAGCGTTCGTGCTGGAGAAAACAGGCTCCACTCGGAGGCCGCCTAAAGGTTTCCGCGAGTTTTCCATGCTGGTTGATAAGACTCGCTCAAGTGCGGCGTTGTTGTATCGAGAGGAGATGGCCGTTATGGACGCTGTCGTCCAGCGGCAGATGATGTTTGAGGAGCTCATGATGTCGGGTTTAGACCGTTTAGATGACGCTTTGAAAAAACATGTGGGTAAATTCTGCCACAGCTTCGTGTCTGAGGCGGAGGGTATGGATTTGAAATGTGTCCAAGACTACGAAAACAACATCACCCGGTGGAAAGATGATATTAATGATGGCAAAGGTCTGTTGAAGGACATCAGACAGAGTCTGAAAGACCATAGCACGCCCTTTAACAACTTCGTACGGCATTACAACAAGATCCTGCACTACATCGGTCTTGCGTTGGAGGTGTTTCCGCGCATCTACAACCCGCTGAAAGACTGGGTGACGGCGGACGAGGCTTATGTGCACAAGGTTCAGGACGAGCTGAATGTGTTGATGAAGCAGAAGATGGACATTACTGAAACGGGCAGACGCCAGCAGCTGAGGGCGGACAACCTGCATCACAAGGTCCAGCATCAGAGCTACCAGTCCAAGAAGCTCAGGGGACGTCTGTATGACGCTATGGACGAGCGGAAGCTCTGTCGGAGGCGGGAAATGGCGCTCATGGATACATATGCCAAGGTAAAAAAATAACCATTTCAGGTTTAAAAGTTTCGGAACATACAAGAAGCCCTTATATATTTGGAATGTTGTTGATCTTGGTGTTCTTTAACTCCCTGTACGCCTATTGTGTTAACCGTCTTTCCAGAGAGGGGAAAGTCGAACCCTGGCCGTATCAAAGCAAAAAAAGCTAAACGACGGTATTTTTGTTTCCCTGCCTGACGCATTACGGGGATGAAACAAGGACGGCATCAAAGTGAGATTTCCATGTTAATTTGATATGGTTTCTCAGCGGGCTGGCATTTCAAACTGGCATTAGTTCGGAGAAGTACAAGCAGCTACGTACACAAATGAGCAAGTGCACATGCTTACGTATGCGCGCAGGCACACACACGTAATAAGAGCAAATAATCTCACTCTCCTTCACCTTTCATTCCCCTTCTCCTTCCAGAACGCTAGCCAGCTGGAGCAGAAGCACCAGTACCTGGAGGAGACGCTGAGTCGCCTGTACAGCCAGGAGCCCAACTCCAGACCCATGTACGACCGACACCTGTCATCCATCGCCTCCCTGCAAGAGGACATCGACAAGCTGGAGAAGCGCCAGGATACCCTGCAGAAGACGCTGGCTAACATCAAGAAGGACAGGTACCATGTCCAGAAGGAGGTGCACAAACTGCAGGTGAGGGAGTTGGGCTCATGCCCCTGTGAAGAATATACAGTGGGCGGGGTCACACGGAGTTGGAGTGAACACACCGTTGGGAAGCCATAAATAATATTTGGCATTCATAACATTCGAATCCGTGCTTTCAGAAGTCAGTATAAATTATTCATTTCATACATATTTCTTAGGGATTATTATCTTTTTGCATGAAAATACTGATTTTTTTACGATGTTTTGACACCTGTTGTCACAAGCACTGAAATTCTATGTGAATTGAGAATCTCAGACGTGCAAGAACCGATGACCTTGGGTTCCTGTCCCAGGGTCTCCCTGACTATGTTGCCAGGTCTCTCAAGACCATAGCAGCGTTAGATTGTTGTTCTCGAATGGTATACATACACCTTATAGGCCTGCCAGACCTCCCATATCCAGCTCACACGGACAGATGTAACCAAACTATTGTAACTGACTCTCAGTCTTGCTTTCTTCTAGGTGATGTATGACAAGAGCATAAGGTCAGAGGACGTGGTCCACACCAACGCGGACTGTCAGGTTGCAGGGGTCAAGGTCATTCAGGACGAGAACCGAGTACTGGCGGAAAAAGTCGAGATTCTCCGGAGAATCAAATCTCTGAAGTCACATCCGCACACAATCAGGCATATACACAACGAGGGATACATCCCGGGCCGCCGTATAGATATATCAGGTGGGTACACAATACAGGCATATACACGACGAGGGATACATCCAGGGCCGCCGTATATAGATATATCAGGTGGGTACACAATCATTCATATACACAACGAGGGATACATCCTGGGCGCCGTATAGATGTATCACGCGAGTACACAATACAGGCATATACACAACGAGGGATACATCCCGGGCCGCCGTATATAGATATATCAGGTGGGTACACAATCATTCATATACACAACGAGGGATACATCCTGGGCGCCGTATAGATGTATCACGCGAGTACACAATACAGGCATATACACAACGAGTGATACATCCCGGGTCGCCGTATAGATATATCAGGTGGGTACACAATACAGACATATACACAACGAGGGATACATCCCGGGCCGCCGTATAGATGTATTGGTGGGTACACAATACAGGCATATACACAACGAGGGACACATCCCGGGCCGCCGTATAGATATATCAGGTGGGTACACAATACATAGACAATACTACACGAGGTCTCATTACATACGAATTATACGAAACGAGTGTCCTTCCTATGGTATCTGACCGAGCGAAAGGAAGGTCACGAGTTTCGTATAATTCGTATGTAATGAGACCGAGTGTGGTATTATATTTATTACCCACGTCTTACAAGCATTTAAATTGACAAAATAGCGTATTTTTGTTATGTTTTTTGTTTCAAACCGAAACCGGTTTCATAAAGAGGTTGCGGAAGAGTTTTGTACTGTAGTACAATATCTGCATGACGTCACACTAATGACGCCACTGCCATGGTAACCGACGTCACGATGCATGTCAGTTGTCATCGCCTCGTACAGCCTCCTACAGTAAACTACTCCGTCGCACCTCGTTTCTTGGTTTCCAGTTGCTTCATTCGGCTAACATCACTGGTGGAAACATTGCGTTTATGTTTTTCGACTGATATAATGTCTCAGTTCGACTCACAATTAAACAGCGACACGGCAACGTTCGCAATGTTTACATTCCCACAATGCATTTAAGTTGTAGAATGAATGAATTCACGTGTTTGTTATGAATGAAAAAATAGTTACGTCAGAATGTGACCTAATTGAGAGGTCATCGGTTATCCAATCAAATCGTTAGAATTTCAGGTCAAGTCGTTACGACACAGGTCAACGCGATACGACACTCGTGTGACGTACGAGATTAATATGCAACTACCCATACGTTGACACGGCAATAAAGACATTTATTACCCACGTGTCATGTGTACAAGTATCAAACCTGCGTGTCTGTGTAATTACATATTGTGACAGAGACGGAACTCGGGCCATAAATCAATGTGTTTTGTTTATGGTGTATAGCCTGATAGGTGTTAAGTTCAAATTGCATGTGGTCAGTGATCGAAGTTGTGTATTGAATATTGTCATTAGCAGACAGGCAGGCAGACACATAGGTGTCAATAAAACAGACATTGAGTTTTGTCTGTGACAACGACATATCTATATCACAGTTAGAAATTCTGTCAACGCTAAATAATGGCATTGCTTTTAAGTATCGAACTGAGAAAGTGACTCGGTAAGAACGTGTGGTGAAATAGACAAATGAAATTATATAAACAGTTAAATCGGTAATCTACTGTAATAACATATAAAAAGCTCGCGCCTGTGAGATATCAACAAAACATTAGAAAATAGCTCACACCAAAGCCTTCACCCGACAACCCGCTTCCAAGCTGCGCGAACCTATTTCACTGCGCATGTGCTATGAGCGGAGCCCAGCTGTTAAAACCATTTTCCCCCCAAGCGCTGGGGGACAATTAGTGAATCGTTTGAACTCCGATTTCGCGCGGCTTGCTTCATCGCGTTATTTTTCAACTTTATAAGTTGAATTTACATTTTTGATGATTTGTTTCGTTAAGTCCATACCGAAAGGTATCAGAATCTGCAAAGTTGTGTTTTACGTTGCATGTGACCTTTAACCAGTCAGAAAAGCTTTCTTTAGCTTTAGTTTCAACTTGGTGACTTAATTCCAGACTATGCCTTGAACAACATTCTGACAAAGTTCTCGATTCCAAATTTGAAAACTGAACAAAAGCACAATTAGGACTGTTTAATAATGTCTCAAGGTGTATGATAGTAATTCCAAGTGACTATGCAAAACGTCTCTTCCGTTGAAACATTATCCCATTAATGCGAGAGATGGTTTAAAAGGAATTATTCCTACAGTATGTATACCTGTTGTTCGGAAAACCCTATGTAAAGTTGAGGATGCATGATAAACAAGCCAGTTCTCTCACTTTCTTGGTCTGATCAGCACCTCTTTGACTGGACGGTTGAAAGGTCGGTCTGACGTGTCCTGTAATGGAATGTCCACAGGTCCTTGTTCCGCAGAAGCGAGAGTGACGATCCGTTTTTAGTGACAATGTTAAGTATTGGCACTTCGTCGCCTGGATACACATCGAACATAAAAGATATTTGGCTTGTCTTGTTAAAGAATATATTTATTTTATCGAGAAACGTGACAAGTTATTAACAGACAAAAATTTCTTCTGTGTTTTTAACAAATCTCGTTAACTTACTACTATTGACTGGAAAAGTGGCTTCACTGAACACAATGTCATAAAAACATCTAAAAGTGGGAACCAAATAATGGGGGGACTGAATAATGATTCCACCTAGCCATAACTTATAGTTGATTAGAAAGTACAGTTGAAGTGTACGTAAACTGTGTTCCAGACCGCCTGTTGACCGCCTTCCGGATCGTGGCCCCGGATGTGGGGCGTGACTGGGCGTATCTCTACCAGAGACTGTCTTTCAGTCCAATCAGGGACGCCGTGACGCGGTCTCACGACATTGAGCGTAAGTAATACGTAACTATATACGTTTACAACTAGTTGTTCTACAGATACTCGGAAGGTGGTTGGGTAGTCTAGTGCCTAAGCGTTCGCCCGTCACGCTGATGATCCGGGTTCGATTCCCCACATGGGTACAATGTGTAAAGCCTATTTTGTCCTCCGACATGATATTGCTGGAATATTGCTGAAAGCGGGGTAATACGTACTCACTCACTCTACACATTCTTTACTTGTGACGTTCAGTCTGAGTAGGTCTGCATGGACTTACTACGTTTGTAATTACATTCCGTGTCTCAGAAACAAGGCCAGAAAACATTTGCTATGTGAGTGTGGATTATACCTCCCTTCCGCATCATCCAACCACATGTTAAACATCATCACAATCACCATCTACTCACGAACTCGTAAGAACAGAATCGACCCCTCGATCTTATTCATAATATTACCGACTGGTTTGTCTCGCCCTGAACTATGTACATGCCATTGAGATGTAGCTGGAACATCCACTCTTCTGTCTACGCTAGATTCAGACTTTGACATAGTTGTGAATGCCTTGTAAAGACCATCTCCTACCTTATCCTATGGCGGGGTAGTGAATGATGTGATCGCTCGTAACGCCAAAACCCCGGGTTCAGTTATATACGTGGGTCAAATTTTGTGAAGCTTACTTATGGTGTTGCCTGCCGTGATATTGCGGGAATATAGCCAAAAGCAGCATAAAAATCAACTCAATCACTATTACTGTTTATGTTGTATATTTCTTTACAGTACTGGATCTGTCTTCCCAGCGGAACGACTTGAGTCTGCGCGACACGGTGTTGAAGAGTCTCGAGCGATGGCGACGTCTCAGCCATGACGCAACAGTTCCAAATCTCGTGAGAGCTCTCAAAGATATTCGGAAACGAGATCTGGCAAAGAAACTCGAGCGAGAGATGCTCGTAACCAGTTGATGTCGATAGAACATACGGAATGTACATGAACTAATGAGTGTATCTCAAAAAAACCTTGCTGATCTGTCCCGTCTGTGGTAAAATTTGAACTGTTTGATTATACATTCGTCGAAACATTCTTTTGAATAATATTTTTCTAAGAAAATTGGTATAACAAATTGGTATTGTTTATATATTTTTGTATTCATACAACCAGATCATGTATTAGAGATACATGTATACAACTGTCTTTGTTACACATATCTCCCGAAACAAGAAGGGACAAAATACCTTTTCCCAGCTGCTTGAAATAAACTCACAATATAAAATCGCCCACAAAAAACATACGTCACACATTTGGCATTCTGCCGGGCAGTCTCTTAAAAAGACAAATAAATATGGTCTTACATCAAAAGCGGTTTCTATTTGCATTTAATTGTACTTCATGAGAGTATATTGTTCTAATACTGTTCTACACCGGTTAGAGGCAGACTCAATTCCCGTGGTTCCACCATTACTTACTGAACAGCAACGGAACACAGAGAAACCAAACTCATCCCGGAGTGCATTATGGGGCTGTAGTGAAGGCAGTCGACTTGTGTCAGTGAGGGGAATGTGCTGTATCCACATTATTTCGACAATATCACAAGGAAGACAAGAGGACTGGGCCCATGTTGACGAGAAAGGGGTTAAGCACTAGAACCACGCCCTGATGGCGTTATGGAATGGTGATGTGACAGAATACAAGCATGACACCCTCCACTGTGACGGCGATTAAGATTTAGCATGTATGACAGTGTCTGGGATTAATCATACTATTCCAAACACCAGTGCCTTGTATTGACTAAACATGTCAATGACAGTGTCAAGTATTGCCTATAATGGTCCCAACCCTTGTATGACAACAATTAGGATTAAGTATTTTCGTTCAAAAATGTATATTACAGCGTTTAGGATTAGGTATAATGGCTCCAACAATTACATTACAGTGTCTAGGATTGAGCATAGGTATCGCGACACTTGCGTCAATAACTTTGGGTTGCTATAATATCTTTAAAAATAAAACCCTCTTAAATATGTTCTTTCGACACATTAGGTATTACCTGCCACTGGTAATTTCTTAAGAGGAAATATCCTTCTTTTAACAATACATGTAGTTCCGTACATGTGAGCAAAATGTTTCTGGGAAGAAACTCGAGAAAAATCATAGAATGAAAATGAAAGGCATGTTGTAATGTATAACAAATAGAAGGTCCTACACGCCATTTCCTAACCTATAAATCTTGCAATATTATCGTATCCTTCATGGCTTTCTGTTCAATTCCTACAGATTGTAAATGACTGTCTTTCTTTGTATGTGAAAATAAGGTAGGACTAACAAACCTACTTGTCCGCCATAGGTACAAACGAGCGTAAGTGTTCTTGGTTTAGATCCATATGTATAATCATCACGAAATATTTTCAGGATGATGTAGATTCTGTTTAAATTCATGTTTGACTGACATTATGGACTTACAAATGCTTAACATGTCGCTTTTTTAAAGAAACTACCTAACATGATAATTTGGCATATTGCGTTTGGAGCATAAATTCGCACTGCTCCGATAGCACAGTTTGACGTCATGTCATGTGTGACGTCATTGCATTCTTTGACGTCACAATTCCAAATGTTTGCGACGACGTCACAACAACTGAAAGAATGCAACAATGGCGTCCTCCAGTAGTTCGGATAATCAATCCAAAGCGGTGAAATCGTCAAGTTCTACATACACAGTATTGACCAGAAGCAAGAGCAAAAGTCTGTCTGCTTACAAGTCAGACTCGTGGTGGAACAAACTGCCAGACGAGGCCCTCATTCTTGTGTACAGCTACCTTGAAGACAGTGACAGAGCCTCGATGTCCTCGGTGTGCAAACATTGGAACATTATCTTCCGGACGCCAACCCTCTGGAGGGAGCGTCACTTCATGTTCGTTGGTATGAGAGCCACGGAGCATACGAAGAAAGCATGTGAATTTATTACCCATGTTGGTCCTCATCTCAGACGTATGGTCCTGGAATGCGGACATCCAGTTCTTCACACGGCCAGACCCATCGCAGAAGCTGTAGCAACTTTTCTGGGCCATACCATAAAAATCCCCAATATGAGAGTCACTTATTTCAAAGTTGTATATCTCGACTGCTACCACAGCTGGAGGTTTTTCGATCTGTCAAGGGGAAAACTTATAGACGCGTTGACTAAATTCCTTAGAAAACAGAGAAACTTACGAAAGCTTGACCTCTCTGGAGCTCACATGACGTCAGCAGAAGGGATGAGGTGCCTCGCTTCCGCAGCGCAAAGTCCTGCCAGGAAAACTATCAGCTATCTTCACATCAAGGACTTTTTCGAGCTACGTTACCCAGCATTCCAAGACAACCGCTTCCGGGACAATCTGGCTCGCTTCACCAGCCTCCGCCAGCTCTACCTCAACTACCTGTACGTTGATGAGCACGTTCTTCAGGTTTTGCGATCTCACAGCAGAACAAGCCTCCAGTATCTACGGATCGTTGTGGACTCGAGTGAACCTTGCAATCATAGCATCTCGGCATATTCGTGGCGTGATTTTAGTGACGGTTGTCCTCATGCGAAGGTTGTGTTTCATTTTCTAGGGAAGCTGTCGATTGAAGATTACAGAAGGGTGTTTGTCCGGAGTGTCCCGATACATGAGGTCGACATCCTCAGCTGGGATCGCTACCCGAGTGACCGGGACCCCACCTCTGAGGACATGTCAGCCGTCCTCGCCCACATCATCTCGACTTACTCAGCCCAACTAGGTATATACCAACCTCATTTGCACCTCATACATAAGTACCCAAGCAGAATACCATATCTTTATTTTCTGTTTTTGTTAATGCTCCTAATATAGCAGAGCGCGATGGCGTAACTATGTTTAATATGGGTAATTTGATTCAAAATCAGCAGGAATGATACCCGCTTGCATTTGGGATATATAATGACTAAATAAAATTAAAAATCAAGGCAATACAGTAACATGTTAAATGGCCATCAATAGAAATAGTAAGTGTGCGGCAACCACATTTTATCGTTATAAATGTATTTTCCTGTATTGTATTATGACAAATCGCCATGCTCATCAAGATCGAAGACGGTTCCACTTCAACAACTCAGCAGAAGTAGAATGCAAACAGCCCATTTGTTCAGACAGCTACAGTCCGTTTGAGTCAGAAACGGACCGATGAATTGCAAATTTTATCATTGTACAAAATTGCCACATAAATATAAATAGTACACATGTTTATCATTTACTTATACCCAACAGCTTTCTTATATTTGAAATTTTCCGGACTCCACCTAAAAAGTTCTTTAAGAAACTATCATTAAAATTTTGACACAGTTCACTATTTGTTACGAGGGAGGAATGCAGAGAAACGGACAGCCAGGTGTGCGAGAAAGGATGGAGACGGCACAGCACGGGCTAATGAATCAATAACTTGGTGGGCACTTGTGCACGTGCTTCTCTAACAATTTTGTACAATGATAAAATTTGCAAGTCATCGGTCCGTTTCTGACTCAAACGGACTGTACAAGTAATTGGATTAGCCTCACAAATCACATCAAGGCGTTTGAGTATACTGAATCATTCCAGAAATATTCAATCAGATCGCGCAGTGCCTCCTAAGGTTTAATACCGTCTCCCAGTTTATTGTTTGTAAATGATACTAGTCCACAGTTTTGTTGACAACGGAAATAATAACTATCCACGATCTTCGGTTTAGCACCTTAGCGCGGATGACAGTAAGTGTGGAGGATGAGGTATCGTCGGATTGTGTTGTCTGAAGGTAGCGTGTACTCGCGCTATCATCACGTATGTTGCGTCACTCGGGCATGGTAAATACTCGACTGATGGCTTGTTTCTTACGATAAAGGCATCTGTTAACTGTTCAAGTGAAGCGTCCGATTTATAGCACGAGGAATGAGTGAGTGAGGTTAGTTTTACTCCGCTTTTAGCAATATTTCAGCAACACCACTGCGAGGACACCAGAAATTGACTTCAAACATTGTACCAATGAAGGGAATCGAACCCGGGTCTTCGGCGTGACGAGCGAACGCTTTAACTCCAAGACTACCCACCGCTCCAATGTAATACGAGGAAACACGTGCTGCCGTTATAATGAGGGCTTAGCGGGAAGTTTCAATAGTTCAGCGCCCCATTGGGGATGTTCGGTGAGAGCATGCTTCCAGTATTAATACTGGTCGTAATACTCAACCAAATTGGTCAGATGGACTGTAACATATATAGGGCCGGGGGTAGCCTAGTGGTTAAAGCGTTCACTCGTCACGCCGAACCGAAGACCCGGGCTTGATTCTCCACATGAGTACAATGTGCAGCCCATTTCTGTTGTCCCCCGTCGGGATATTGCTAAAAGCGGCGTAAAACTAAACTCACTCACTCATTACATATATGATGCTGTGTCATCGTACCCCGACGGCGTACGTTGCTCATGATATCCTTCACTGGTTTGTACTGGACACATTACAGGTCGTCGTTTATGATTGGAATGTGGTGTTGTTCAACAAATAGTATTCGTATGTCTCTTTCAGTGAACTTCCGACTCGCTTTTGATCACCTGAGTGACGAACCAATCGACTCTGCGCTCGTCATGCTGCTCGACAGGTGCACGAAGTTGAAGGACGTGTGCATCAACACCGCCATTAGGATCGACACGGTTGAAAAGATTTGTGCAACCCTAAAGAAGAAAAGACCTAGAGGTACACAAGCACAAATCAGAGAACGATGTTTAAAAATTCCAAGGTTATAATCAATGCTATTGTCGACATATAATTATAAAAAGCTGAACTGAATTCACACAACTTTATGACGTCCGTAAACCGGAGCCCTCTCAGCTATTTCGAAACACTGTCGTAAAATGCAGGAAACCTCGGCACCATTTTCTCACTGGAAGCACAACCTTTTAATTAAATTTCATTTTTTTCAACATATTAAACATCCGTTAAATATTCTTTCCACACCCACGATGCATTCCAATGCATTAAATAATGGAAACTAGAAACTTTTAACAATGTTTCAAACTGTATTATCTTGTTGCATTTATCTGGTAGGGTTCTTGAAGGTAATTTTAAGATCAATCATAAATTGAAAAATGTCTACCGGAAGTACAGCATGATGTATTTGGAATCGTTGGAATGCTTGGAATCTCTGGTTTTCAAAACAAGTGTTGCCAGATTTGAAAGTGTAATGGAGGCTGCTTCAGTACATCTCATGTATCGCCAGGAATTACAGCGTTCCACTCGGTCACGTGACCACTACAAAATGGCGTTAGAAATGAATTGCTCTACATTCATCATCTATATATAGTACAACGTCGTGAATCGTAGACAGAAAGCAGTCCCTGTGATCAATACGGATATGACTGACTGAGTTTTGTTTTTACGCCGCTTTTAGCATTATTCCAGCAATATCACGGCGGAGGACACCAGAAATGGGCTTCACTCATTGTACCCATGTGGGGATTCGAACCCGGGTCTTCGGCGTGACAAGACAACGCTTTAACCACTAGACTACCCCACCGCCCTCAATACGGATATGAAAAGTAATTGTCAGTATCCGAGACATATATCTTCCTCTTCTACGTGGTGTTTCAAAATGCAAACATGTAGAAACGGTCTCTAAACTTGTTGAAGTTTACCATTTATTTCGTCTAAATTCGCCCCTTTCGGTAACCTGCAATTGGCATATCCTCGAATAACCTCGCGGTATTGGGACGGGATTGTCATTATATTTTGGGTACTTTTTGGTGTCAAGGCACTTACTTGCCTCTTATCATGTTTGGATACTGATCCTGTCTAATGATGAAGCAAGGGACATGTTTACTGATGACAAGTCGCATAGACTAAATATGTACAATCCAGCTCCATACTTACACGATGGTGTCGATGGGGGTAGTCTAGTGGCTAAAGTGTTCAACCGTCACGCCAAATACATGGGTTCGACACCCAACGTGGGTACACTGTGTGAAGCCCATTTCAGGTGTCCCATGCTGTGATATTGCTGGAATATTGCTAAAAGCCGCGCAAAACCGTATCCACTCACTTGAGAATTGCATGTGAATGATCATTTTTCTTTATAGTATTCCACTCGTCACAGACGTCGGAACAACTCTTCGTTTCCATTTTTTCAGTATTGGAACACCTGGAGTTGAAAGTTCGTGACTTGACCCCAGAGGAAGTGTCCAAGTTACGGGGCATCGCCATTTTAAGCAGCGAGGAGCTCGGATTGCGGAGTGTGGATGTTCAGCCAGATGACTGACCAATCACTGACCTTGACAGACAGCAACGGCCAATCGGCACTCAGATACAACCAGTTTCGTTGAGGTTGATCCGAAAGTCCACCGATCATGATAGAACAATTGTAGTTCAAAGATTGTGAAGGAAATATATATTTCCGTATCTTATCGATCTATGGGTGTATGACCGTATAATAATACATATTTCATTATGTTTTTAAATATTTCCGTGCAATAAACTACAGGTATATTGAGATGTCAGTGGTCTGCCCCGCCAAATCTTCCTTCTTTGTTTATGTTGATGTCGACGGTAGAGAAGCCTATAGTGCGTCAACAGATTACACTGAAACCTGTGGTTCGCCATGGGTACATTTTTGTAGTGGACATTGTATAAAACGGGGTAAAACCCGACTCGTTCGTTCACCGGAAATTGAAGAATAATATAGATGGTAGGGCTGTGCAATATTACCGATAAACCGGTATATACCGGTGCAGTATCTCGCGATACGATTATCGCGATATGGTTCAGATTCTGCAGATTGGGTCATCCAGAGTTAGCTCCCTTTGTATCATCTGCCCCTGATTTCCAAGCTAAAAATGTGATCTTAAAGTGCCAAATATACTTTTATTTCTGTTGGTTTCATGTAACAAGTTGGAGTATCTTTATAAGTGGCTCCAAAAGTGCCAAATATTCTAGCAAATGCGTTACGTTTTGTGGGTTTGAATGGTTTCATTTGTGACATTTGGGAGGAATTAAGGGACCGCTCATAATTTATGGCTCAGGGGTGATGATGACTTTTATGAAGAAGCATGTACAATGTGAATGCCCCCCCAAACCACCCCCCTCATGTCATGTACAAAATCAATTCTTCCCCCCCTCTCTCTCTTTATGTTATACTTTTTCTATACTTTATATCATTATGTTCTCAAACCTTTGTTGCAATACCTCAATTAAACATTCCACATTAAGTTTCTATATCATTTCATTTATCTGTAAACCATTGGCATACAGTCATACACAATGAGGACTGGGACCCTGAAAGTATGGTGTAACAGCAACTAAGAAGATAATGTCGCACAAACACGACACACACAGAGCTATTATGGATTTATTATGTACGCACTTGGGCAGAAACCCTCCACTCAATATATCATAATATATATTGCAATATCTCTTAAATTATTGCAATATATCGCAATATGAGAATCAGGGCAATATCCAGCAAGGAGGACTGCAAAGAGAGGAACAGTCAGATGTACTTGGAGCACGTGCACAGGTGCCGACGAAGTTATTGAATCATTTACCTGTGCTGTCTCCATCCTTTCTCGCACACCTGGCTGTTCCTTTCTTTACAACCCTCCCTCGTAACAAATCGTGAACTGTGTCAAAATGTTAATGATAGTTTGTTAAACAGTTTTTTTTATTTTTAGGACATAAATTCTGCAAAAATATCACAGAGTTGGTATGATGTTTGGACTATGATCAGACAAGATACTTAAACTGGATTATATCCAAGAAAGACAAGCAAATAGTCAACACTCTTATATATTAGATTTGACAGTAATACACATGTGGTCACTGGTAAATGCCCTGATATATACTGAGAGAAACAAATAAAGGATCACAGGAAAATTTAAGCGTTCCTTTATTATTTTCCAGTATTCATCCTCACAGCGCTATTCAAAGCTCGTGATGTTAAGTGGAAAATATTAAAGGAACGCTTGAGTATTATATGTTTACTGGTTGTTGAGTTAGATAGCAATTCATCGGTCCTATTTTGAGCCAAACGGACCATAGTCGCCACTTACGACAAGCATGGGCTACTGAAGATCAATTCTAACCCGCACCTTCATGGGTCGCAAACACTCAGTAATATGTTTAATTCGCCTTGTTGCATTTGTCGAAACTTTTCAAAGCATGAATGTATCTCAGACAATGCTAAGAATTGAATTTATCTCAGGCGATACCATTGGCAATTCAAAGACTCCTTCCTAACAAGACAAGACTGTTCTCGGAGATCATCTCATACAGTAAGACATTAAATAAAACTCAAACAAATCGGAATTATAATAAAACTTTAATACCTTATCACAGACTCACTAAAGGTATTGCAACTAAAAACTATATAATGTCAACAAAGATAAAATGTACACAAACATAATTTCTGAAGTCCATAAGCAAAGTAAATATATGAAAGCTAGGTGAATATTCCCTACACAGCCATACAATCAGATAAAACCTGGAACTGGTCTAAGATGCTATTTTCTGGCAACAGATAATATTCAGTGCATTACAGTGGAAGCTAGTAGGTCATCCTTTCAAATAACACCTAAATCAACATGCAGTTATATCAAGTAACTGACAATATGAATATATGAAAGACAAAAATCTAAGCGTGCACCAATTACATTCTCATTCAACCAAGCAATGTATTACTAGTGAGAACAAATGAATCACTTTGCCTTGTGTGTGTTTAATGAAAGGACTGGGTGCAATGAACATATCGGCAACAAATCAAGCCTTATATCATTTATGAAGATTTAGGCAATACACAATTTCTAAATATAAGGTGTTTTTAAAGCCAACAAAGTGATTCTACAATGACCACATGACACATACAGGATATAGCTGTGTCAGTGTGGTATGTAGTTCTAGCACCAACCATGTACTAAACACTCATGGTTACCAGTACCCCCAAACAGGACATATTATAATTGTTACAGTGATGGAAGGAGACAGAAATGTAAAGATGACAACAGTGCCACACTGGAAGGGAGCAGTGATAGTACAAGTGAGTGAGTGAACAACTTTTCAACTTTTCTGTAACAACACTTCGAATAGCATCAACAAACGAATCTCGTTTAAAACCAGAAGTTAGTTCTCTCTCCAGTAAACCAAAGGGTTAGCAAGAGCTTAAGTCTTATTGTAGTGAGATCAGAGAGAAAACGGAAGGAATGCATCTTCCAGAACCACAGAGATATATAGTGTGGTGGTTATTCCAGTTACCATATAACTGATTCAAAACACAATCTTGTTACAGGCTTGTTATAACATATGTTATATTTGGGATTACACTTTCTTAGTTAGCACATGTCAGTGAATGAAGTAAATGTTTGACTAGAAAACAATGGCATTGGTATTCTTCAGTTAGTCTGGTTGGATGTTTGACAAACTAAAAATCAATCTGAATATTGCAAACACACATACAGTACATACATCTTTTATGTTATGTTTTAATCATTTGCACAGATCAAAGTGAAATCAATTAAACAGGGAACAGGATGATCTCATAACTGCTGATATTTCTGCCTAAACCATACACGACAGCACACATATACCGTTGCAGCTTATTCCAAGCCATTCATAACTTACATTTCTGGTCAATTTCTATCAAATTATTATGCAATTGTTCACTTGCAGTTGATTACAGGAATTCACTGGCATTTTGAACATGCAATTTAATGGAGTAAAACCAAAGCAACTGAACGTCATTATGCAACACTACAGATAAGTTATCTATCAGCCACACAAGTGATGAAACTGAACACGTTAAAGAAGTCACTAGAATTTCGAATCGGAAAGTAAAATCAACTTGGACTTTGTCTCATTATTTATTTAATCACATGAATTTCGGCATCAGGGTTCCATATGCCAGCATTCATACCTACCCGCCACATTATCAGGAAACAGGAAATACAGACGATGACCATCCAGTAGAAGCATGTAAACCAACACCCTACAAATAACATGACTGACTGACTGACTGACTGAGTTTGGTTTTATGCCGCTTTATAGCAATATTCCAGCAACATCACGGCGGGGGACACCAGAAATGGGCTTCACACATTGTGCCCATGTGGGGATTCGAACCCGGGTCTTCGGCGTGACGAGTCAACGCTTTAACCATTAGGCTACCCCACCGCCCCACAAATAACATGACTATGCAGAGGCATGAAGCATTACTATTACATTACCTTGAAGTCAATGCTTGTGATCACTGGATTGTCTGGTCCAGACTCAATTATTCAAAAATCGCCCCATACAGGTTGAATATTGCTGAGTGCGGCATTAAACAACAAATGAAAATGAAACTTTTAAATTGTGATCAGGCAAAGCTGAATACATGCAATCAGTAAATGTCTGGCAGTCAGTGAGTATTGTATAACATTGATCAACAAGACAAGGCACCAGTTAGCATTATGAGAGTCAGAAGCTTCCATAAAATGCATCTTTCTTGAGATGATGAAATATGCATGAGTTGTATAAATATGAATGCATATTATGCATTAAGTTTTAACAAACATAAAATCATTAAACACATTTTACAGAAACATCTTCTAAAATAGGTACATAATAAACAATTTCTGTGCCTTTTGTCTTGTTAAATATAAAGAGAGATAGTTTGAAAAACAAGCAATACAAATCTAGGATGCTGAGCCATATTAGGAGATACAAGGGGCTACAACTATTATGCCAAGCAGACAGCTCTATAAATAGAGAACATTGTGTACAAAGAACCAGTGAAATATTGACTATGTTCCACAAAATAAATATGACTGATGTTTAACCCACACCCATATGAACACAGACATCAACCTCATCTATGCCCAGGTGTATACCCCACCTTACATGACGATCCTGCAGAGATGGGAATTGTATTTCCAAGATAGATGAAAACTTACTGAGATCACCTTAAAAAATGAATGATATGACAGAAACACATATTTTACTATATTTCAACAAAACACATTTCGCAACATCTACAAGGATACCTTACAGGTGCAACAGGGACTGAATCCTTGGGAATTAGCAATCAGTCTTTTGTTTTGATAAAAGGTTCATTCGGTACAATTAACCCCCATATTTTCAACAACAAATAAAACAAGCTGATTGTACAGAAAAAAAAATAAACAGGGTAAAATACACTAGATTGGCTCTTCCCTTCAGAGAAATAAATATTCTATTTATATTTTAATAATGATCAACATTCATTACAAGGGGTACAAGTGAGTGTAGCAGCAGATTCCTGGACCCTGTTTCACAAAGCTCTCGTAAGCCTAAGATCTCGTAACTTTTCTCATAGTATTTGTACCTCCTATACCGTAACATAGGGACTACGAATGCTACGAGAAAAGATCTTAGGCTTACGAGAGCTTTGTGAAACAGGGCCCTGGCTTTTTTAAACAAAAAGGAATGAGTTTCACTCTCCACCTTACAGGGGCCTCTGTAGAGATATATAAGAGATGTGTAAGAAAGACCAGACTATCGGCTGCTTCAAGAACAAATTGACATGCATTTCTTAATTCTGCCAATCACTGTGTTTATTTGCTAATGTGGGTTTCACAGTACTACCTCACTGCAACACCACACAACACAATTACATGGTTACTAGGGCTGTTACCATACACTTGTGTATTCGTGAATCGAACCGTATCTCTTCATGAATTAATTATTTCGTTGTTTGTGATCACCTGAATGGAATTTCATGAATATTTCTACAAGGAGTCTCTTTACTTGAATTTGGGTGTTAATTATCAAAACAAGATACTTAAACTGGATTATATCCAAGAAAGACAAGCAAATAGTCAACACTCTTATATATTAGATTTGACAGTAATACACATGTGGTCACTGGTCAAAGCTGTGATATATACTGAGAGAAACAAATAAAGGATCACAGGAAAATTAAAGCGTTCCTATATTATTTTCCAGTATTCATCACCACAGCGTTATTCAGAGCTCGTGATGTAAAGTGGAAAATATTAAAGGAACGCTTTAATTTTCCTGTGATCCTTTATTTGTTTCTCTAAGTAAACTAACACTGTCAACATGGCCAAAACTTGACAAAGAATACTTTTGTTATTGTTTCTCTGTATATTCAATAATACATCTACAGCGGAGCTTGTACTGTATTCAGTACACAATATCCGTGGATTGTATCATATTCTCCTCCGAGTGGATTCATTGCAGCCCTAGTACCGAGGTGGGTCAGACCAGTCTGTTAGTAGTAGGCGAGTGAATATAGTTTTATGCCGCTGTAAGCAATATTCCAGCAATATCACAGCTCCACACAATGGTAGTATTGTGGGGAAGTAAATCTGGGTGTTCGGCATTCAGTCCGTAGAACAGTCTGTGGTGAAAGACAATTAAGTCCAGCCCCTTGATCTGGCTATCTCTACACAGAAACACATCCACTATATCGTATTTACCCGTTTACTAATATCATATTACATTCACATTCAAAGCTTAAGATTTCAACATGATTTTTAAATGGACTTACATGAAGATTTTTCTCATCAACATGACATAAACACATTGTTTGAATGTGCTCACGAAACAATTGGAAAACTTTGTCATTAACAATAATAAATGATATGATAGTGATTGAAAGTCACTAAGCTATCCTATTTGTTTTGTCAATATGATTTGATCAGTGGCGTGTACATGGTTTGATCACCGGTGTGAACATGGTTTGATCAGTAGTGTGTACATGGTTTGATCAGTAGTGTGTACATGGTTTGATCAGTAGTGAGAACAAGGTTTGATCGGTAGTGAGAACAAGGTTTGATCAGTAGTGTGAACATTGTTTGATCAGTAGTGTGAACAAGGTTTGATCAGTAGTGAGAACAAGGTTTGATCAGTAGTGAGAACAAGGTTTGATCAGTAGTGTGAACAAGGTTTGATCAGTAGTGAGAACAAGGTTTGATCAGTAGTGAGAACAAGATTTGATCAGTAGTGTGAACATGGTTTGATTTGATCATGGTTGATCAGTAGTGTGAACAAGGTTTGATCAGTAGTGTGTACATGGTTTGATCAGTAGTGTGTACATGGTTTGATCAGTAGTGAGAACAAGGTTTGATCAGTAGTGTGAACAAGGTTTGATCAGTAGTGTGAACAAGGTTTGATCAGTAGTGACATGGTTTGATCAGTAGTGTGAACATGGTTTGATCAGTAGATGTGTGAGAACAAGGTTTGATCGGTAGTGAGAACATGGTTTGATCAGTGATGTGAGAACAAGGTTTGATCAGAGAACAAGGTTTATGAGAACAAGGTTTGATCAGTAGTGAGAACAAGGTTTGATCGGTAGTGAGAACAAGGTTTGATCGGTAGTGTGAACAAGGTTTGATCAGTAGTGAGAACAAGGTTTGATCGGTAGTGTGAACAAGGTTTGATCAGTAGTGAGAACAAGGTTTGATCAGTAGTGAGAACAAGGTTTGATCAGTAGAGAGAACAAGGTTTGATCGGTAGAGAGAACAAGGTTTGATCAGTAGAGAGAACAAGGTGATGAACAAGGTTTGATCAGGTAGTGAGAACAAGGTTTGATCAGTAGTGAGAACAAGTTTGAGAGTAGTGAGTAAGGTTTGATCAGTAGAGAGAACAAGGTTTGATCATTAGTGAGGATAGTCAGTAGTGTGAACATGGTTTGATCAGTAGTGTGAGTTTGAGAAACAAGGTTTGATCAGTAGTGAGAACAAGGTTTGATCAGTAGAGAGAACAAGGTTTGATCAGTAGTGAGAACAAGGTTTGATCAGTGAGAACAAGGTTTGATCAGTAGAGAAGTTTGATCAGAAGTGAGAACAAGGTTTGATCGGTAGTGTGAACAAGGTTTGATCGGTAGTGAACAAGGTTTGATCGGTAGTGAGAACAAGGTTTGATCAGTAGTGAGAACAAGGTTTGATCAGTAGTGAGAACAAGGTTTGATCAGTAGTGAGAACAAGGTTTGATCGGTAGTGAGAACAAGGTTTGATCAGTAGAGAGAACAAGGTTTGATCAGTAGAGAGAACAAGGTTTGATCAGTAGAGAGAACAAGGTTTGATCAGTAGTGTGAACATGGTTTGATCAGTAGAGAGAACAAGGTTTGATCAGTAGAGAGAACAAGGTATGAAGTGAATGAGTGAGTTGGGTTTTAAATATAAGGGCAAGGGACACCAGATACAGGCTCTGGCCAAATAAATCATACACCACAACATAGGACTGAGGTATCACAGTGGAGATATAGCCACCTCCTGCGTCTCGCTCACGTTGTTGATGTCCACCAAGGGTGATCGCATGTTTACGCTGCTACGCCGCGATCGCCGCCGCTTTGACTTGGTCGTCTTGTCTGTGGTGGCTGATGTTGGCGTGGAGGCTGACGCCGAGGTAAATGATGCTGTGTTTGACGGAGGGAGGTCGGGGCTGGAGAAAGAGCTGGATGAGTCACCGGAGGAGATGCTGTCAGACTGGATCAGCTGTGCACAGAGAGGATGGTTACCATGGTGATGATATCCATGTTACATCGCGTACTATGTACTATTTTGCAAATGCACAAATATTTTCCAGCATGAATAAACGTTAACAAAACATGAAGGCATGTGGTTTTCCTGTATGTTTGATCTTATTACCCATTAAGTAAATTATACAGTTTGTTTCTATCAAAACTATGTACATATTTTAGAGACTAAGTCTACATGCACTGTAACAAGAAGTAGCATCTCTTGAGGTCTATTGGTATGCTGTATCCAAGCATCGAACCAATGACCTTCACTCTCCAGACAGATGAGACCATGGAGGTGAGGTAATATTTCTGACATACCCTAAACTTCTTCCTGAGGGCCCTCGTCATGATGGGAGTGAGACCCTGGCCTGTCTCCCTCTTCCTCTTCTTCTCCCCGCTGTCAATGATGGGGGTTCCACCCGGACTCCTGACATAACAAGTACATCACCATAGTTTCTTGTGTATAATATTAGGGTACAATTACGAAGGAAAACTGGCTGTCTTGTATGTAATGTCCATCAAAAGAATCAGATGAAAAACAAGATATAACCCTTGTCAATGATGTTTTATTAACACAGGAGTATTTCCTGTTTCACAACGAATTTGTATACAGTCAAACACCATGTTAAACGTTTGTGTCGAAGTATTTACGTGGTCCCTGACCCTTCCTTATCCATCATTTTACATTTGTGTCAAACATTGGCAAATTCCAATTCCAAATTCATCAGTCCCTTCAACTCCTGTATATACAGAGACGAGTATCATGATGTGTAGCTGTCTCATAATCACCACGAAATATTTACTCATTTTCTTCTTGTATAATTCAAACTAACTGCTGCAAACTGACATTTACCTGCTGCACATTTTTTACCTTGAAAAAATCGCAACCTAATGATCTACAATAACTAACTTATACTCTGTTGTACCGACACAAATACAGGGCTACAGATAAAGGCCATATCGGCGTATGTATGGATAAAAAATATGCACAATACGATAGGAAATAATTTAATAAACGTAGCAGATACGCACCACAGCAGTGGTGTACGGTCTTAGAATCATTTACAGACGAATTTAGCTGAAGAAGTATTGTTTTATTGTTTGACCTGTTTACACAAGAGTAGCAATGTTATGGTGCATATAAATGAAACGAAACACAAGATTACTGATACGTCAGTAAATTCCATTCAGTACTCAAAATCTGCTCTTAAGTTTTTCCTGTACTCCTATATTGAAAAAATAAGGAGTACGTACTCCTGATGTTGAAAAATTATCTGGAGCCCTGCAAATATTTTTTTTCTCTTCAACCGAAGCCCACTAACCAATGGAGTCCTGTATTGGCAGCGGACATGACTAGTTTGTTAATGATGTTTGTATGTCCTGCTAGAATCTACTCCCAAATGAACAAAACATTGAGGCGACTAACGGGATCGGGTGGTCAGGCTCGCTGACTTGGTTGATTGCGTAGATTGATGCTGATGATGTTGATCACTGGATTGTCTGGTCCAGACTCCATTATTTACAGACCGTCACCATACAGCTGGAATATTGCTGAGTGCGGCGTTAAATAACCAACCAACCAACAAACCATCCGGCCCACCTACCTCTGGACGGTGGTCTTCTTCAGCTTGAAGCGGTTGACCATGACCTCCTGGAGGAGCCTGAACGGGGCAAGAGGGGACATCATCACACAGGAGGAAAATGCAAGTTTTTCGATGGGTGTCATAGGGCACCAGGCAGATAATTCAGGTGTGCTTTTGCGAAAATAAGCGTACCCACCTTTTGATGATCCAATTAAACTTCAAATATCACAACAATTTTATCATTTCAATTTATCGTTCAATAAATCAGTAAACATCATGTAAATGTGAAAGAATAGTTTAGTTTCAGTTGTCCTGAAACCATAAATATTTGTTAGTTGTAAGTAATAGGTTGTTAGTGATAAGTAATAGGTTGTTACCGATAAGGTAACAGGTAGTTAATGATTAGTAATAGGTTGTCTTACATGTGTTGCATGTTCTCCTTGCCAAGTTCCCCCAGAGTGACGGCCGACTGGGTCTTCCGCAGCGACACCCTCTTCAAGTCCTCCACACTCACAACAGGGGCTTTACCATCGGCCTGAGATAATAAGGGAAGACAGTCAGTGGACAACATCTACTGATGCATGAACAGGTTCCTGGTGTTCCCAAGGGAAGCAACTCTGCACAGTAACTTATGGTACATCAAACAATTTGATCATCCCAGCCCCACATCTGCTTGGGATTTACATTCTATGCTGTTGCTCCGATCAGAAACAATTTAAGACTTATATGACAATTTTACAGAAAAACGTTTCATGAATTTGTTTAATCGTTTGTAATTGAGCATGTATCTTGTGTTAATGAACCCATTTATCAAAATAAAATAAAACTTTAATATGTGCATTTTAAATATTAGAATAAGACAATGGTTCAACCTGATCGTGTGCCATACTGGACAAACTGTATTGCAATGAACTTTCCACCTCCATGATGTAACATCCCGTACCTGTTCATGGCCTCCATGTGGGGTGTCACGTGGTGTTGACCTCAGTTTGACTTTCAGCAAGTCAGCTGCAGTAACCACCATCTTCCCAGAAGACTTGTTTTCTTCTGGTGTCTGAAACAAAGAGATGCATTCAGTCATATTCCATTTTGATTTTATAATTGATTTTCCTTGTTTTTCAAAACATGCATATAACACAAAGAGAAATAGGGACATGATAGCTGAGGATATATAATAAACCTTGAACAAAATATTGTGTGATTGTCAGTGATGTAGCAATGGAAATAAGCATGTTAAACTACTTGTCTTTTAAGTATGTATTCAAAAAAAAAAAAAAAAAAAGTTGTGACAGTATCTGACAATGAAAGCTCTGTGTATATTTTCTTACAATATAGAGAATATTGATGGCGCCCACTTTGGTAGGGGAACAAGAACATGAGATATTCCAGAGGATACAAAGACTGATGATTACATCCCCTACCCGGTCATCATCACTCCTCTTCTTCTTCTTAAACACCAGCTTCTGTGGGGTAGTGCTGGCTGGCGGAGGGGTGGTGGTGGAGGAGGAGGGGTGGAGGGGCACAGGGTGGTGGTGGTGGAGGTGGTGGGACAGAACAGCCCGAGTCTGGGACAGCCTTCTTGGCATCTTGAGCCAACGATGAGCAAGAGAAGATCAAGCTATGAGTTCACAGTGCCAGTATCAAGAACATTGCCATTGCTACAACATTCCAGTTCACAGTGCCAGTATCACCCATTGCCCGGCATTGCTACCACTGTCTCAAATTTGTATATCACTTCACATGTCCAGTTGACTTTGGTATTAAGTGTTGTTTAATTTAAAAACAACAAGAAAACGCCTGGTATAATGGAAAATATCAGGGCAAGTATGTACATGTGCCATTAGCAATTTTAAAGTTATTTCCACCCTTGTATCAGGGCATATGTAGTATTACACTTTCAAGAACGCTGGGACTGATGTCCCATCAAGAATTCAAACCCACACTCTCAGATGAAGACACCTCAATGCCAGTACATAGAATCAGCAACCAAACCCAGGCACCAATGTGGCTTCCACAAAATGTATGGCCAACAACTGGTAGCTTGGATGACATACTTTGTTTCAGTGTAAATTCACACCAGCCTTGCAACAACAAGTGAGTATGGCTTTACGCCAATTTTAGCAATATTCCTGCAATATCACGACAGATGACACCAGAAATGGGCTTCACACATTGTACCCATGTCAGAATCGAAACCGAGTTTTACACACAAGAAAAGGCTTTAACCACCAAGCTATCCCATCATCCCTTGCAGCAACACACGCAACTCTAGCTTAATAAACACTGACTGACACGAGTTTATATTTACATCACTGCTTCCTACTCATAAATAAAAACAAGCAACCGTAGCTTTGGTCTATGCTTATCTCATCAACAGGGTGTAGCCATACATTCCTGACCCAGTGAACCCACTACTGAATAAAGGCAACTGTCAGCCTGTTAGAACATAAAAGTTCCTGATATTCTACAGCAGACATGATAGATCCACAAAACAAGCTTGCTGCAGACAACTGTGTGTTGCTGGGTTTAAGCCCTGAGAATATGTACCTTCTCTTGTCGGACTGCCTGTAGTTCCCGTTCCAGTTCCTGAACACGACGCAGCGTCTCCTGCAGCTGCTGACGATACTGCTGCTGTGTCACCCACACACTCCGCACTCTCTCCACTCCCTGCAAACCCTCCACTGTTGTAACATGTCTCCACAAAACTCATTCAGTCATGGAGCACTGACTCACATACTGTCAAGCTCACTTGGTAACGAGAGATGTTGGGTGAAACGGTACGCTCTTACCACGGTATGGTACGCATTGCGGTACAACTTAGTACAAGGCCTTCGGTTCGGTATATGAGCTATGATCATAATACAGAAAACTGACAAGAGCCAAACCTTACATTGTCTGATAACATGGAAATAATATAACCATAATTCTTTGTTATTTTGAATGAACAAAACTGTGATTTTATGACTAGATAGAAGAATGGTACTTAAACCACTAATACCCAATATTCGGATTGCATTACAATATACTGAACCATAGGTAAAATACTGCGCTATACCGTTTCACCCCTAAGATTTTGCTGGGTACCCAATATATTTGAAATCCTGTAGGTCTAGTCCATCTTACTTTTAAACTAATGAGCAATCATGTTAAACAATGACATTTGACAAGAATTAGGTATAAACAATATTTGGGGAGGGGGGGATGATGTTTTTAGTGAAGACTAACCCCATGTAATACGGATGCAGTGGCATGCAATCAACAAATTATGAACCCAATACTGACCATCCAATCCACAAAGTTGCCTCTTAAATAAGCACAAATGACTGGGGGGAGTGAGTGAGTATGGTTTTACACCTCATTTAGCATTATTCCATCAATATCACAGCAGGGGACAAAAGAAATGGGCTTCACACATCAAACCCCGGTCTTCGGTGCTGTCTAAGTAGACTTAGGCTCAGTATTATTCATTACACTGCTATACTAAGTCTAACAAAACCTTGTAGAAGGTCGTGTCAGCTAACCTTTGAGCGACCTATGACCAATCAAATGCGAGACAGCCGAATGGATTTAACCAATCAGACAACGACTACTTGTTAGGGTTCGGAGGGACTTACAAAATGTTTTTTTATTTTCTCTTCCCTGGTCGCTGACACTGATCTATCAACAAACAAAAATCTGCATAAAACACATATATTTGACCTGCAGTATATACGCTAATGGGTTTCTAATGACATGGTTACTATTTGCTTATATTTTCGCAAGATGACATCCTGAAATATTGACAAAAACGCTATTTTCAGCAACTGTCTACTCATCGTGTGTATCACTCGGAATTGATCATGCGGAAAATAGCATTCGGAATCGTTCGAGTTTTTTAGGTAAAGGTTCAAATGGGTATGTGTGAATGTTAACTTTCACGATTTGGTAAGCTGTGTTCTGATTGGTCAGTCCAAAAGGTTAGCTGACACGACCTTCTACAAGGTGTTGTTAGACTCAGTTTAGCAGTGTAACGAATAATACTGAGCCTATGTTTACTTAGACTGGTCTTCGGTGTGACTAGCCAATGCTTTAACCACTAGGCTACCCCACCACCCCAGCCAATGCTTTAACCACTAGGCTACCCCACCACCCCAGCCAAAGCTTTAACCACTAGGCTACCCCACCACCCCAGCCAATGCTTTAACCACTAGGCTACCCCACCACCCCAGCCAATGCTTTAACCACTAGGCTACCCCACCACCCCAGCCAATGCTTTAACCACTAGGCTACCCCACCACCCCAGCCAATGCTTTAACCACTAGGCACTAGGCTACCCCACCACCCCAGCCAATGCTTTAACCACTAGGCTACCCCAGCCAATGCTTTAGCACTAGAGCTTTTAACCCACTAATGCTTTAACCACTAATCTACCCCACAGCCAATGCTTTAACCACTAGGGCTACCCCACCACCCCAGCCAATGCTTTAACCACTAGGCTACCCCCACCACCCCCCAGCCAATGCTTTAACCACTAGGCTACCCCACCACCCCAGCCAATGCTTTAACCACTAGGCTACCCCACCACCCCAGCCAATGCTTTAACCACTAGGCTACCCCCATCACCCCCCAGCCAATGCTTTAACCACTAGGCTACCCCACCACCCCAGCCAATGCTTTAACCACTAGGCTACCCCACCACCCCCAGCCAATGCTTTAAACCACTAGGGCTACCCCACCACCCCCCAGCCAATGCTTTAACCACTAGGCTACCCCACCACCCCAGCCAATGCTTTAACCACTAGGCTACCCCACCACCCCAGCCAATGCTTTAACCACTAGGGCTAACCACCACCCCAGCCACCCCACTAGGGCTACCCCCAGCCAATGCTTTAACCACTAGGGCTACCCCACCACCCCAGCCAATGCTTTAACCACTAGGCTACCCCACCACCCCAGCCAATGCTTTAACCACTAGGCTACCCCACCACCCCAGCCAATGCTTTACCACCCCACCAATGCTTTACTAGGCTACCCCACCACCCCAGCCAATGCTTTAACCACTAGGCTAGGCTACCCCCCACCACCCCAGCCAATGCTTTAACCACTAGGGCTACCCCACCACCCCAGCCAATGCTTTAACCACTAGGCTACCCCACCACCACCCAAGCCAATGCTTTAACCACTAGGCAGCCACAGCCAATGCTGCTTTAACCACTAGGCTACCCCACTGCCCCAGCCAGTGCTTTAACCACTAGGCTACCCCATATATAAGTGAATGGGAAGCAACCACAGAGGGGTATAAAAAACAAAGAAAAAGTCCTACATTTCTCACTGTTTGAAAACTTTGCTGACACCAGTGTATAACATTGTTGATGCCAGTTGTCACAGTAACCAAACTATTGAAACCTGTCAGGTGATCCATGATGGAAGCTGGTGACAGCTGGTTGCCACGCCAACCAAGAGGAGAAGTACTCTTTCTTTTCCGCCTACAAAACAGATTCAGTGAATTAGTAACAATACAGTACACTTTAATAAGTACAGCTACTACTCATCTAAGTGGCCAAGCATTAAAAAAATTGCGCCAATTTCCAGGCTAGGTCTAGACTATGATAGGTCCCATGTTGGTGTCAAGTGAAAAAGTCTGTGGTTATTTGAATCTGAATTTGTGGTTCATAAAGACTGTGGTTATTTGAATCTGAACCATGTGTCTTTTGATATATAACATATCAACAGTTGTTGAAAAAAGTGTAAAACTAATAAATCTTATTAATTATTTTGACAGCTTGTCTATAAGCACTTCAAACTTCCATCTATGACCGTGTTAATGACAAGACACACTGGGGTGATATTCTGTTTATCAGACAATATAATCGTTCTAACTTTTTCAGCTGGTAAACAGAATTATTTCTGCTTCGTAATACAATGTGCAAAATGCTGACAAGTGTTCAAAATTAAGCATGAAAGAGAAGTGATCCATGTGATTGCCCAGATTAAACAGAATTAGGAGGTCCTCAAATTTAGAGACTATGAGAGCATGTCAAGGATCCAAGACCAGCAGATACACCCTGGCCTCCCTGAAATTTCAATACTAGCTGCTTAAAGTTACAGTGAGTGAGTGTGAGTGAGTTGAGTTTTATGCCGCACTCAGCAATATTCCAGCGGTCTGTAAATATTTGAGATTGGGAGAGACAATCCAGTGATCAACAGTATGAGCATCAATCTACGCAATTGGACTGCTTACATTAGTTACAACATATACGTACAAAATGTGACAGCCTCCATCAGACAATAATAGCACAAAAAGAGAGTCTGCGCATTAACAGTATTCATTAAATGAGAATTGATCAACATGATCATGATGATACAATTTACATAAATCAGACATTTACTTGAACAGCTATTACGTATATATATGTATATATGTGTGTGTGTATATATATAAACTATTGTGACACATTGTCTTTATGATAATACCCTGGTAATAGTAAAACTATACCATTCTAAGCAATTAACTTCAGATTTTGACTATTATATTTACATGCTTAACTCGTTGCTTAAGTTTAGATCAAGATCGAGTCTGTAAACAGTCTGAGCTGGGTCTGGAGCTATTGGTTGATGAAGAGTCTTCAAGAGAAACTGTTTAGATACACACAATCATCGATGGCGACAAGCACCAAGCATCAGCTGATTATAGGCGCATACAAGATATGATGTACTGGGATCCTCTTCATAAATGATTAATGATTAAGGAAAACCAGTACAGTGAATGTTTCTCGATCTGAAAGCTGTTATGCATAAATATAGTCTTAGTTACAGCTTATACAGGTTTGACCAGATGTCAATCACTGACGACAGTTCAAAGAAATCTGTGTGGATTCGCTAATACTATGAATAACTACTGAAGTAAACGATAGACATCTGCATTACCTAGCTGCACAAATCTGTTTCATGAGGGCTGGTTTCGGGAAATCATCATAATATTACAAACGTTAAATCCTCCGAGATGGGCGGGCCATTTGAAACCACCGGGCTTCGTATGTCAACAGGAAATGTCTTTGAAGAAGGCGCTTGTCCATCCACCAATGAAAGGCGCGGTTATATTTTCCTGACCAATCACTAAAGGTTTTTCATAATCCGGAAGTAAACGTTACAAGATGGAGAAAAGTGTCGAGACTTTGGAGGCTATGGTATGAAAATAAGAGTGGAATATGTACACATTACCTTTATTTTGACGTAAACACTAAATAAATTAAGGATATTGCGTTCTGACCTGAAGCGACAATTACGGATAACACAGCAGAATAGATCTCCATGGACGTATGATCATGACACACTGAAGTATCATTTGGCTTCACCAAATTATACTGTTTACATCACAATTGGATTCACAAATCACGGTTATATACAATGCGGTCTCGGGCATGCACGAGGTGGGGATCTGAGGAAATACCTGCAATATTACCTAGCTGACACGCGCTCAGCTAACCTCTGTCTTGAACCTACTGAATATTTGTGAGATGCTAATCATATATATATATAAATGTGTAGAAGGGTGTTTAATTAAACCTTTTTATTTTTGAATGTGCAAAAAATCAAACAAATGATCATGTATTTTAGAAAAGGTAAGTCAACAATAAATGCTGTAAATATTGAAGATAATGAAATAGAAAGAGTAACTGAATACAAATATTTGGGTACTGTCTTAGATTCAAAACTCTCCTGAAACGAAAATACTGAGAAAATATGTAAGAAAAGGACGACAACGCTTGCATTTGTTGTGGAAGTTTAAACATTTCAAAATCTACCAAACTATCATGATGTTATTTTACAAAATCGTTATTCAAAGTGTCATAATCTTTCATTTCTTGAGTTGGTTCGGGAACCTGTCTGTACAGAATAAAAGCAAACTCCCAAAAATGATAAACACTGCGTCTAAAATTTTTGGCCTTTCTATTGAGAGTATTGGCAGTTGTTATGAGCAGCAAATTTAAAAAATGGCAAACAAAATTTTAAGTATCCTACTCACATACTTTTTTCCACACCTGAATATTCATTATTACCTTCTGACACAGGCTTTTCATAGCTAACCCTTGTCGACTTTTAGAACAAACGGGCTTCGCCACTCGTTTGTTCCAGCTAGTATTAGATGTATTAACAACAAACTCAATGAATAACTTGTCTTCCAACTGTCCAAATTCTAGTCAATATCAATGTTTGTGTACTAAATTGATGCAGTTATATCCTGATTAATTTAAACAATAGTTTTATGATTATCACTTGCGATGTGATATATCATATATGGCTGCCTTATGAAAGAAAAACTGGAGAATTGCATATGATGCAAAACAAATTTCCCTTGGGCATAATAAAGAACTTATCTTGTCTTATCTTATAGACAGTTGCTGTGAATCAAATCCGAACCCATGATGATTAAGCAAAGCAAGCCTAAACACGAGAGTATCTCCGAGGACTGAGATGGTCTAGTCGGATATTAGCATGATTAGTGAATTAAGACAACTGCTTCTTGTAGTGTTTCATTTTTCCTGAACCAGCTCAGCATTGTGTTTGCTTCAGTTCCAGAAAACAGAGTCGGATCTTGACTACCTGTCAAGAAAACTCGACTTTGAGTTCGACAATTCCAGTAATGCAGAGGTAACTATATGAATTTAGAACCTGTAACTGAACAATACATTGATACTCCATCCCACACTGTCTTTAAGAGTTTGGTAGAAATGTCGAATTTATTGCTATGCCTTAACTCAAACATATATATGTCAGAAGAAATTCATGAACAGAAGTGAGTAGTCAGAATTAATGGTTGGTTGGTTGGTTTAACGCTGCAGTCAACCTGTATTCCAGCTGTAAATAATCAAGTCTGGATCAGACTAATACGTTTGATTATTAAGTTACATTTAGCGGTCGTAAATCAATGATAAAGGACCGCAAAATTGAAAAGAGAGTAGCTTTATCTTCTAAATCTTTGAACATTCTGAATCTTTAACAATTACCAAAAGGCTTATGACAAGGACCCCTTTACAATGTCTGTGTCCCTTCTTAGTTGCAGACACCATTCTGGTGACAATATTGATGATCTTGTGATCTTTATGGAGACTTAATGTTTATAAAAAATTCCTAATTATGATCATTATAGCTAGCTATTCGGACAATGGGTATCACAAGAAAAGAAACCTCACCTGGCAATACATATATTGATACACATGACGATACATGTGCTCTTCTGCACAGGCAAACCCTGTCCGCTTAATGCAGAAGGTGTCGGAGATCAGGAAGGAGTATGGCAACATTGTCCAGGAAGCAGTGGCCATACAGGAGACACAGAAGGTAAGTGTTGTACACTGGGGAGGAGGGGGTGGTTGTTTTTTGTTTGTTGTTGATGTAGTAGAGGGAGACAAATCACAGAACAATTTGCACATATTTATAAAAAGAACAAAGGTATTTATAAGGCTTGGGGATTTTCAGTTCAGATTATATATCTTTGATCTTTTGCTGTGACTGTTTTAATGGTAATACTGATTCTATTGTTTCCATTTACCATGACATTGTAGAATCCTACATTCTGTTTGGTCTTTCAGAGAATCTTGAGTTAGCACATGATTTTTCAGAAGAAATTTACAGGTGTTGAAACTATGTTAGGAACCTCTACATTGAAAACACAGAAGCCATGAATATGAACCTTGATTTACATTGCTTGGTTTTACTGTGAATTCAGCTTCTTCTTTTTATTGTGTATGCTATATGTTGCTAACAGGAAAGCCTGAAGACTGAGATTAACTTGATTTCAGCAGTAACCATGATAACCAAATTACAAGGCATATCCATGCAGCAGTACCCAATGAACCCAACTTGAACTTAAGGAAAGTAGTGATCAGTGGTTACAATCATTAATGTGTTACTGCACATATTACAGTGTGTTAAAGAACTTAGATCTGCTGACTTGATTCCTTTGACAGGAGGCAATGGACTACTTTCGGTCTCAGTTGCTGTCAGCCTGTCAGATGCTCCAGAAACTGCAGACAGAAACTGAATCAGAGGTAAAGTTCATTAAATATTCAATAAAGCTAATCGTAACATGCTTAATTACTTAGTCCTTGATTATATGACATTTCAAAGCTAGCCAAACAAAAGTTTTCCGTGTATTGACGTAGGGAGAAAGGTTCATCTTTTATCTTGGTGTTCATTCAGTGTATTTGTGCCAAGTCTTATCATCAGGGGTTTACCTGGGGCAAGTCAAGGGTCTGTCTAACACTAGGAATTGTTGTGTTATTGCAGTCAGAAAGTGTAGAGAAGCCGGCAGCGCTGTGTCAACTGGAGCAGCTTCTCGGTGTCGACACAAGCGCCATCACTCCGAATGCTTCAGCTGTTGCTGCAGACGCACCGCATCAACAGGACCAAGGAGGGGGAGATAACTCTTCCACTACTCAAGTTGCAGAGGCCATTAGTGAAGCCCCAGGTAAGCAGTGTATATATTAATGAGGTTTTTAGACCAGCTGAACAGAGACAGGATACAAGTAGGATTCTCTGATACTGGGTGTGAATCCCAGATTGGTTTGATTGCCATGATATCAGTCACTGGATTGTCTGGCCAATATATAATTATTTTCATGTCATACAGCTTGAATATTGCTGACACCAAACAATATTCTTGTGTGGCAGAGACGGAGGCCCAAGTGTCTCCACATGCTCGGAGGGAGGGTTGTACAGAGATGATGGACGTTTCACAGGCGGAGTTTGAGTCTGTGTCAGCACTGGTTAGAGGCAGAGTGAAGCTGGTTGATGTCAATACAGTAAGTGAGGACATTATAGGGATACATTGTGACATATGACATACTATTTGCCCTTTATGATGCAGCCTTTGCAATTAACACTAGTCCTCTAGACCATGACTAGAAACTTGTTCTAACACTAGTCCTCTAGACCATGACTAGAAACTTGTGCTAACACTAGTCCTCAAGACCATGACTAGAAACTTGTGCTAACACTAGTCCTCTAGACCATGACTAGAAACTTGTGCTAACACTAGTCCTCAAGACCATGACTAGAAACTTGTGCTAACACTAGTCCTCAAGACCATGACTAGAAACTTGTGCTAACACTAGTCCTCTAGACCATGACTAGAAACTTGTGCTAAGTGAAATTCATGTGATGTGAGTCTTACTCTTGCCTTCTGGTAAAAGTAGATAGTGCGTGTACATAAACTGTAGGAAATAGCATGAAATTTTGTTGTTGCTGGGCATTTCTTGATAACTTTAAAGTTAAAGTGATTTGAAGAGAACAAAAGATATTAAAGTACAAATTGATAAAAGGGTCTCAATAATGGGTTCTCTGATGACAACAAAAGCTGCACCTCTGGGGATTACCTATATTCATCTAAATTTCACTTCTAGTTCAATTTACCCTAGAAGATACACTCTTCTGTTCTATTAACCTGAATTCATATTTATTTAACCCGTGAAGATCCAGGTTAGAACTGACTTTCAGCAATTAATTCATGTCTTAAGAGGAGACCAATGGGATATTGTGGTCAGACATGCATGTCATCTTATCCCAGCTGCATAGATAGAAGCTCATGATGTCAATCATTGGATTGTCTGGTCCAAAGTCAATTTCTTTTCCTGACTGCCATGCATAGATAGCTGATGTCAATCATTGGATGTCTTAAAGTCCATTTCTTTTCCTGACTGCCATCATATAGCTGGAATGTTTAGTATTTAAAACCCAACAACTGGTTATCATGTCTCTGAGGCTAGAAGTGTTTATTGTACTTACATGAGATGTGTGTTTTCAGACATACAGTGTGCTGTGGAGACACTTCAAGGATGAAGGCAACAGGTGAACAACATTTCTTATAGACAGTGTCGGTCATGAGATAGGGGGCCTAGTGAGATGAGACTGACTTGTGGATGGGGAGACACTTTGAATAGGGATCACACATTACCTGTGAAGGAAATATGTCCACTTCTGTGAGTGGCATTTAGAAGTTGGGAAGTATAATATTAAACAAGTTTTAGGGATAACAACTGCTTTTATTTCGTGAGCGTGGCGTTTTGAAACAGATTGTTGTACCATTGTCTGTTCAGTTTCGATGTTCGATGCTGAAATATGTCCAGCAGATATGAAATCTTGTGTATAATGGTATATAGAATATGTATTCAGATAAGCAAATGTAAACAAGATTTATCATCCAAAACTGTGTTCCACAGGAGATATCGCTTGTGTAAGATCATATGATATCTACTAGGAGATATCGTTTTGACAGATTTTGTACAATGCCCTGATAATGCTATGACGTCATCAACTTGATGACGTCACAATGCCATGACATCGCTGCATGCAAGTCTAATGGTAATACAGTGTTGAGAGATGTACATTTTCATTGAAAACTGAAGAATGATTTTTGATGATAAATTCATTGATATCAATTATATCAACACTTTCGCCATAAAGATAAAAATATCCTCAATAAGCCTCGGATATTTGTAACTTGATCAACTCGTGTTGATATAATTGATATCAGTAGACACTTGGGTGAGATTCTCTATATATATGTTACATTAAACCACACATTGAACCTTAGAAGCTGTTGATTATAATCTTTCCATTATGAAAATTATTATGCTTCAACTGAACTATTGATGTTTTGAACTTGTCATCAGTTTGGGTGTTGTTTTTTATTTGGCCATTTAAAATTGTGATTCCACATCAACTTGATCAGCTGTTAACTCACAGTATGAATTTTCTAAACGATAACAGCGAGCCTCTGAGTGGGCCAGACATGCACAAGATGGGGCTCCGCGTCACCGGCGCAACGGGGGAAGCCAAGTTGAAGGTTTGTGATTATTATTAAGGTTATATGAGAGGTTATTTCAGTATGTTTATATCCTGAATATTTGATATTTACAGTATGGAAGAACATGAGGTCTTAATGATATTCTCTTTATCAAATGATGTCATTATAAAATATTCAAACTTTTTGACATATTGTTCAGCCACTAAACGTGTTGAAGCAGCTTTAGAAGTCTTGATGACCACATCTGCATTTTGCATGTGTGTCTGTGTGTGTCTCAAGATAAATGGATGGATGGATACACAGATAATGTAGTTTATTCTACTGGTCTCACCATTGAATAGGGGAGGTGGGATAGCCTCGTGGTTAAAGCGTCCGCTTGTCACACTGGAGACCCGGGTTCGATTCCCCGCATGGGCACAATGTGTGAAGCCCATTTCTGGTGTCCCCTGTCGTGATGTTGCTGGAATGTAGCTCAAAGTGGCGTAAAGTCATACTCACTCACTGACTTGCTCACGCACCATTGAATATACTGAATTGTGCCACCATATAATTTTGCTTTCTTGTCTACAGAGATTTGTATTGATTCTTGTCAAGTTATTGTTATTTCCCATTTTTAGTGACACAAATAGAGGATATTATATGAGTGCTCATGTCATACTATGTTTTACGACGACGAGTGCCTTAATATTGGTATTCCCCGAGAGAGAGAGAGGGCATATACCGAGAGAGAGCAAGGAGTATACCAATATTTAGCTTGCAACGGGTGTTGTAAACATAGTATGATATGGACTCGAATATGATATTTTGCGGCTTATTACCAAGTCGTCAAATTGAAAATAAATCCAAATTCACTTGCCTGGAATTTGAATGTAGAAACTGGGCAAAAGATTAAAAAATAGATGAGAATAAGATATTGTCAGCATGACACAGAATTCATCATTAATATGCTAATTGAACATTTTCATCAGGCCATAATCTTGCATGATTTATAAGTGTATTATAACTTAACAAGTCAGAGAGTGTGATATATTTGCAAAATGACCTCATGAAACTTCACTAGCTTGTCAGGCCAGTGACTAGTGCTTTACTGGCCCACCTGAGTGGGCCAGTGGCTAATTGCACACTGGTTGTGTGATATATTTCTGATCCCTATTGTTTTTAGTTCAGTGTATATTTAAAGACCCTGGTGTAACGTTTCATATTTTGTAGGTTCTCCGAGCTCTGAAGTTACTCAACATGACAAGAAAAGGGGAAGTAACTCTAGTCTGACACGTCTGCAGGAACTGCCCGATATTACCACTGCCAGTACTGTCCTGTATCTGGAGGGGATGCAAATGGGTCCTTCTATTTCATTGTGACCTCATTACTGAAATATTTTCTTTAGGGTTTTAGCTGGTTTAAGTTTCAGCAATTCCTGAATTATTCATCGTACTGGTTGAAATTCTGAACAGATCAGTTTGTTGGTATCCGACTGACATATTTTAATCAGATTCATCAGAGAAATTTCCAATGATGCTTTTTGTCATGTAGTCAGTGTTGTGATTTACACAAAATGCACAAATGTTTACACTGGTGACTGAATGAAACAGGCACCAAGTTCTTTTCCCTGGACCAAACATTACTTGTTATGGGGATATTTGTTTATTTGTGGGTCGCAAGCTACTGAATTATTGTTTTGGTCATATGCCCTGAGGTATTATGTGTTTGTACTCAGGAATCTGGATCTGGAATTTGTGAGAGTATATTAAGGGGCAGTGGGGTAACCTAGTGGTTAAAGTGTTCGCTCGTCACGCTGAAGACCCAGGTTCAATTCCCCACATGGGTAAAATGTGCGAAGCCCATTTCTGGTGTCCCTCGCCGTGATATTGCTATAATAAAAGTGGCGTAAAACTAAAACCCACTCACTCATTCACTCACTGAGAGAACAGTAAATGACAGACAAATACTTGGGGGTGGGGCTGCTATGTTGTGGAGCGTTCTAGGTTCAATTCCCCTCATGTTTAAAGCTGGTATCCCCAGAAACTGTTGAGGCTGTGTGTAGGAATAAGGTCCCATGCAACCAAAGCTTGTCAAAGCAGTTGACTGAATGGTGGTCAGACTCGCATGTTATCGTTGTGTATCAAAGTACCCCATTGTATGGATCAGTGCTCATGATTGCCAGGTTACTAGCCCACAAAATAATTCACTTGCCTGGAATTTGAATGTAGAAACTGGGCAAAAGATTAAAAAATTAGATGAGAATAAGATATTGTCAGCATGACACCGGTTTCATCATTAATCTGCTAATTGAACATTTTCATCAGGCCATAATCTTGCATGATTTATAAGTGTATTATAACTTAACAAGTCAGAGAATGTGATATATTTGCAAAATGACCTCATGAATTGAACGTTTTACATACCACTCTCATATAGCTAGAAACCGCCTCCGTGGTGTAGTGGTTAGAGCGTCCGCCCGGAGAGCGGAAGATCGCGGGTTCGATCCCCATCATGTTCAAATATGGTACTTGTTGGTCCCTGCCTGGCTCTCGGCATTAATGGGTACAACAAGGACTGGTCGGCTCGGAGTCAGTATAATGTGTCTGAGTGGGGTATTCATGCTTCACTGCGGCATGGTATCTCAGTTGGCTAGCACTATAAAACCAGCTTCAGCCTGGGCTAGTACAAGCAGCCGCACATACACACGCATGCACGTCGTCATGTGAGCGAAATATTCTCAAGCACGACGTAAAACCCAATTTCACCTCACCTCACCTCATATAGCTAGATTATTGCTGAGGGCAGCATTCATCAACAGACAAACAAACAAACAAAACAAAGTCATCCCATGTGTAATTCTGCCGGGACATTGCTACCACACACACACACACACACTCACTCACTCACTCACTCACTCACTCACACTTAACAGACACACACACACACACTCACTCACACTAACACACACACACACACTAACACTCATTGATTTTGTTGGTTGTTTAACGCGGCACTCAGCAATATTCCTGCTGTATGGCGGCGGTCTGTAAATAATTGAGCCTGGACTAGACAGTCCAGTGATCAACCTACACGATTGGGATTCTATGACATGTGTAAACCAAGTCAGCAAGCCTGACCACCTGGTCCCACTACTCGACTCTTACGACAAGCATGGGTCGATGAAGACCAATTCTAACCCGGATCTTCACGTCTCGGATATAGCTACTTTCAAAACCGTTCTTGCAGCTTTGACTGACGGCCAGCATGAATTGACATAGGCAAGCTGTGGTTGAGTGACAAACCTTGGTTTACGTGGGCCATGTTGAGAGTTATAATACAGCCTAGACACATGTTTCACTCTTGCTTACCATATATAGTGCAGAAAAGGGTGCTCTCAGCATAATACCTCATGTTGCTCTTTGATTATGATTTTAAATGTATTCTTACTGGTGTGGCTGCCAGGCCAGATTACATACATGGCAAGACTTATTGTAGATGTTTGTTCCATGTCTTTTATGATGTAAAATTATTTGTTGATTTATGTAAATAAATGTAAATAGAATTGCTTCTGATTTTGTTTGTATATCCCCGCTACTTCTGTCACTCAACAGATCTGAGACATAGGTGTTTTGTCACATGCTAGATCTTCACGTGTGTGATTGTTTTAGAATGAAAGATCCGTTTGTTCCACTAAAGTGCTTAATAAGCGCGATACTACTGAGTGGTACATAAGCAAACTTTCTAAGATACCATCATTATAAAGCCCCATTAGCATTGAAGGTGAATATTGGATAGTGCCACACCAGTGTTGACCGTGAATATTAGTGCACTCCAGCGTTGACAGTGAATATTGGATAGGATGGCGTTGATATCGAATATTGGATAGTGCACACCAGTGTTGACCGTGGATGATGTACCAACACACCTAATATATTGACGAGCGCCCCCTACAAAGTACCGGAACGATTGATGCGAAATGCATTAAGAAATCGTGCACAAACGGAGTATGAAATTGCTGCAGTTTTTTATTACTAGTTCAAATGTATGTTTCAAAACAAATTTTAAAGACATTTCCAAGTATCCCATACTTGTTTTAAGAGTTTACTTGGAAGTGTCATGTATATGGTAAACCAACCCAGATCGATGCTCGCGAGTTTAATCACTGTATTGTCTGGTCCACATTCGATTTTGTGCACAACGCTTGTGTCAGCTTCTCACTTTGGGGTGACGTGCAATCAGCTACAGTGATACAACAGCAAGACAAAGTTCAGTTCATTATACTTTTCTCACGCACAGTCATTTAATTTATTCCACAGTGGTAATAAACTGTCTTATTGCTGTATGAATCATTACCATGGTTGAGAGGTTGTAGTTCTGCTCATGAATACAGGCACACGTTGCTGTAGTTGCTGCAGTTGCTGGTGGCATCCGACTGATAACGAACGCTTCTCTCTGTGCTGTTCCTGCTGTACGCTGAATCATGTCAGGCGCTCCTCTGGTCTTCCATAATGGATCCCAGAACTTCAGGGCTGGCTTCGCTGGGGAGAGCATCCCGCAGTTGGACATCCGTTCTGTTGTTGGGAGTGCAAGATACTCGGTTAGAATCTTCCTACACAGCCACAGGTGAACAATACCAACCACAATTCAATTATTACGCATTTGTGTTTCGTGTATCGTGCTTCAAAGCTTATTTACAAAATACATCAGATAGGCTTTTCTATCTTTGATAACGTTTAAATGAGAGAGATATGTTCATTTTACTGGGATGTATTCTTTTCTCATATACCATTTAAATATCCGATGCTTTATTTATTTCTGTTTAACGGCGCGCACTGCAATATTCCAGCACGATAGGCGGATCCAGAGAGTGTGTGTATGTGGGTGGGGTGGGGTGTTAGGGGTTTAATGTTCAGTGAGAAAATATTCTAAATGCTGGATTGCCTGAATGATAACATCTGTACGAAATTTATGGATTGGGCATCTGAATCGGAATGTTTGTCGATAATATGCTGATTAAATAGACAATTTTCTTTAATTGATTTATACGCACTCACGGATGCACGAACGCACACACACACGCACACACACACCACCAGTTGGTCAAATGTTTCCTCTATTCTACCTTGAGGAGGCCGTGTGATCACAATCCGTAGACTGTACCAGCTTTGGCGTTGTCAGTGTTGAAACACTGGTGGCAATATTATGGTATTATCTCTATTGTGTCACATATTTTCGTTCAAACCGAATTACACAGATCTTAACGTGCTGACAGTCCAGGTACCGAGAAGCAAACACTCTACTGTTTCGCATTGTCTGAGTCAGGACATTACTGCCATTAAGAGATCCTTTGGTCAGCGAGTGTATCCTATACCAAACTGTGCAGTCATTAGATCTTACACCACTAATTGTACATTCTTGTGTTTCTTTTTAGGGTTCGTTCAACGAAGGGAACGTATTTTTTGGCCCCGAGGCCATCCGAAAGAGATCTGTTCTCAAACTCAGATATCCACTAAAGCGCGGCACCATTACAGGATCGGACGATATAGAGAAGGTGTGACAACACGCCACCAGCAGGCTAGGAGCTTCTCCAGAGGATCAGCCTATCCTAATTACAAAACCGCGAGAGGTTCAGGGCTCCGGAGGGTCTATTCCAACCTTCCATAGTAGATGTCAGTGAGCCTGGGATCCATCAGATGATCAACGCCCCAGTTATGGGGTGTGATACCAACTCCCGCCAAGAGTTATACCAGAACATCCTGTTGGCAGGTGGAAACACCATGTTCCCTGGAATGGAAGCCAGAATCAGGAAGGAGGTATCTGCTCTTGCTGGACCTGACGTGGAGGCCAAGGTCATTGCTCCGCCTGACAGAATTCTCTCTGCCTGGCATGGAGGATCCCAGATGGCGGCTGTGCCAACTTTCAACGAGCTGTGTATCACCAAGAAGGACTATGACGAATGTGGCCCATCTGTCGTCAGTAGGTTTGGCTGAAGTCTGCCCTTTTCACTCTATATTATATAAACTATGTATTCCGATCCTTTACACGATGATACAATGAGGATGTTAGTGTTTCACGTTAATCTTTGAAGTATAATAAAATATATTTAACCTATTGAGTCAGGTTTGTTTGACAGGAAGGTAAAGAGGATAGCCGTCTTCAGCAACCCATGCCGCTCAATGGAATGTTGCTGGACGTGGCAATAAACAGAAAGGTTGAGTTATAAACCTGAGAGTATTATTTTCGTCTGTCGTCTTCCTGTGCCGGAACAGCTTTTACTGTTGCATGGTGTGATTGAACGCCGACCGCATATCCTCAATTTCGGCGAGCGGTTCATCGTGGCAGCTGTTTTTAGTTCACATCTTGAATTCACAAAGATCCAGGTACTGCTCCTGGCTCCATGTGTTTTCCGATGATGAAAGTTTAGCCGGCACATGGGTAGCTCGGACGCATAATGTATATATTTTGAAACTAATTGTTCATCAAAGAATGTTCAAACTCTCGCTTCGCACCATCCTCGATAATCTCCAGGGAAAACGTTGCGATAAATCTCCACTATACCCTGGATGCATTTATTACCTCCCTTGGGTGGCTTTTCATCCAATCAGGTGTCTACGCTGGGAAGTTGAGCGTACCAATCTCAACTCATTTTCGCTTCTTAAATTATCTAACCGATTAAACTTGGCACAACAATTGTTGCAGTGGTACTCTGA